GTACAAAGCACCCCTCGACAACGGCCACCAAAGACCAAGCCATGGCCACGGACTCACGTACGACAATGCACCCAGCGGACGAGGAGGTCAAGGCCACGATGGAGCGAGAGGGGAGCGTTGTATGCAACGCTGGCCACGACAGTCGCGATGAGTATAAATACAGTCCCTCCATGTACTAAGTAGCAGCAACCTAGTTTCCTCGAGCCCTCTCAGCATCATTGCGAACCCGAAGCCATAAGTCTACATCCCCCCATTGTGTCTATACCGTGTCTGCCCCTGCGTCTGCGTCTGCGACTGCGACTGCGTCTGTGATACTCCCCTGCGACAAACTCTCCTCAATCTCTCGCCCTCCGGCACCCCGATCATCCTCGCCCGTCGGTTGTGCATCCGCCTCTGGTCGCCGACCGGACACGACACCTCAGGTCTCTCGGACTCACCCCCGATTCACCGACCTACACTACCGGCAGGCATTTGGCCCTGCATTCAGGGGTCCTGACTCCAGATGCCCCCATAATCGCCCAATGCAAGACACATCAAGCTTCATGCGCAGCACTCCCGATCTCGTGGTTATATCGAACAAGAACAAGTCAAGGGAAGCAGCATTAATCGAAGATATCAGTCGCATATCTGCCTCGCACGCGTTCGAAAGCAGCATCTGCTTCCGCGTCATCGATATCCCCGGACTCCTTGATCAGCGCGACTAACTTTTCCTTCACGCCCGTCGCCATCTTTCGAGAGCCGCAGGAGTAGAACTGCATAACCGAGAGGTGAGCGATCACGAAAGAGCGAACGGCGTATTGACTAACCCGAGCTTGTGCGTTGAACAGCCTGTGGATATCCTCTTTGTCATGCCATATGCGGCTGTTACATCCGTTAACCTCGACACCAGGGCAATGCTCGCCGACATGAGAACTCACTCCTGTACATATTTGCAGCCGGCGCTATCTTCGGATTTCCTGGAGAAAGCGGGGCGTACGTCCACCACGCCATCATCTACCCATGCCTTCGCTTCGTCACCACTGTCCTTGAAGTACAGGAAATCCTGCTCTGGCGCGCGGCAGCCAAAGAATAGGAGCATCTCTCCAGTTTTGCGACCAGCGCGTTTCTGCACTGCGCGCTCCTGTATGAATCCACGGAAGGGCGCAAGCCCAGATCCCTGATACACGATGAACATATGTCCCTGATCGTACCTTATCGAGGCTGAGACTCACTGCACAGAACATCACCACCGGTACTTCGGGATCCGCGGGAAGATGGAACGCTGTAGATGACGCGCGAACGCTGACATGGACCTTGTCCCCCTTCCTCAAGCTCGCCAGGAACGTTGAAGCAACGCCAAGGAATCGATCTTCCCGACCCGAGAGAGCCGGTGCATCAAGCACGCTCACAGTCAACGTAGCGCGCTGAGGGTCTAGCAAGCTGCTGCTCGAGATCGAATACTGGCGAATCCGCATGGCGGGAAGCATGTTCAAGAATGTGGTGAATTCGACCTTGATGGAGGGATGGGCTTCCAGGATATCTAGAACACTGAGGCGTTTCTCCACTACTTCTGTGCGGTGGGCATTCAACAGGGTTTGCAAGACAGGGACGGAGGCCTCCGACGACGCAGTTGCGTGGGATATGAGGGTGTGTAGGTCTCGCGTCGTCGCTGGTTGAGAGAGTTCGACGTAGCCGCTAAGGAGCGTGTTCACGGCGATATCCTTGCCAACAGGGAGCGATGTTGGGCCCACGGCGGTAATGTTGATCTGGGCGGTGATTGGGTCAATCAATTCAGGAATGTGCTTGTCTGTGCTCACCTCTTGTTCATCGGGTATTCCGAAGCGTGCAAGCGCGCGACGTACGTCGCGGTCGGGGTTTCGGGGGAGACTGATTTCATCAGGATCCCATCATCATGCAGACGCAAGGATCACGTACATAGCCAGATAGTCGCCAGCTTGATATGACATCCCCTCGGGAAGCTGTATCTCTACGATGCCCAGTGAGTCTACAACATGAAGATGTGCGGAGTGCAAGTACCGATATGCCTCTTCTCAGCTGCTCCTGGAGCGGTTAACAGTTTGTTTGAGTGCACGGTTCCCAACGCTGCGTCCGTCTGACGGAGAGCCACTGGCCGCGACGTTCCCGGATCAATAACCTTGATACTGAGGTTTTCTCCTGGTGCGGTATCTGTAGTGGCGAAGGTCTAGGGACATGGATGAGCCAAAGGTTCGCAGGTGGTTACGACGCATTTGCCTTCTTCAAGGTCTCCCAGAGCGAAGCTCCGAAGTTGTCGAAGGCTTGGAAGAACATAGCGTCGCTTGCGTCGCCTTCGCCGCGAGGAATGATAGGTTTAGCGCCACGCTGCTCGAACAGCGAATCGCAGAGCTTCGGAATGCGTTGGTAGGTCTGAACCCAGTCGCGGTTGCCGCACCCGAAGACAGCATAGTTCACGTCTTCCAGCTCAGTGCCTTTCAAGGCTGAAAGCCAGCTCACAAACTGAGCAGCATTGTCCGGGGGCTCCCCTTAGAGACGTGGATAAGCATTTCGAAACAAGTCATGATCGACGGCGTACCCTCATATGAGGCAGTGATAACGACGACCGGACCGTCAGTAGGTACATGCCCTGTAGCAGAATCAAGGGTACCAAGTGTAGCACGGAACCCTACGATATCATTCGTAAGAGCCAGGAACGACATTTTGGAAACGAAATGCATACCATGAGATGCCGCATCAGTCGCCAGTCTTTGGGCAAACGCCTCGGACGACCCGCCGTTGGACCCGTAAAGAACATAAACCGGAGGCCGCGATGGGTCAACAGGCGCCGGCGCCGGGACAGAGCTCTCGCTTTCCTTCCCGTCATTGCTCAGCGTCTTGAACAGGGTGGACGAGGGAGCCGCGACCAAGTGGCGTCTCCCTTTTCGCGGACTAACGCGCACGTAGAAGCGATCCGGCTTGATGGTCAAGGTTTGCTTGATCTGCAAGCTGTACGAGGGGTCTTCCATGGTGAGATCGAACTTCTGGAAAATCGATGCGAGCACCAGGTGTGCTTCCTGAAGAGCGAAAGCTCGGCCCTATGGAAACTTTTAGACCAGGTAAGACGAATCAACCTGTGAGTGCCTACAATGCAGCCGCGCATCCCTACAAACCCCGGTTACTATCGAGCGAAATGCATGAAGATGAACTCTCACCATAACCAAAAGGTTGCCAGGCATTAGGCTACGTCGGCAATCAGTTTACTGATAATGGTCACAATGTAGGGTGCCTCACAGGAAGTGCCTCAAACTTCCCGTCGAGCATTCGCTCGGGACGGAATTCTTCAGCCTGGACCACCGTCATCAGTCAAGAGACGAAACACAGCATGCCATGGCACGGCACCCACATCCTCTCCCCATACGGTCGGATCCAGGTGAGCGAAAGCAGCCAGCATCACTATCCTTTGTCCCGCAGCAACAGCATATTTCCCGTTACACAGCGTCGTGTCCTCTTTCGGGAGAACGGTTCGAGCGAAGGCGGTTGGGGCAAGGCGCAGGCTTTCCCGCATACATGCTATACGATGCATCGCGTCAATGGCCATATACCGGAGGTTGATGATGCAGGCGGGACCACTGACCGACCAAGTACGGCATCTTGCTGATGTCACTGTACTGGATGGGCTGATCGCCGAGCAATGAGTCGATCTCTTCACGGAGTTTTTCCAGTGCATGTGGGTTTTTGAGGAGATAATATGTAGTGAACCCGAGCATTCCTGAAATGCGAGCTCCACATCAGCAAGGGACACAGTAGAGCAGGTTCGGCGAACCTGAGGTAGTCTCATGGCCTTCAGGAAGTCGGCGCGTGAGTCAATTGTACCGATTATGCAGTGTGGTTCTTACCGGCAATGAGGAACGTGATAAGCTAGATGGATCATGCATGATCAGATATACGTTCTCGTCGCTAGCAGCGCAGTCACTAACGTTGTATCGTATGTTTTCATCACTAAGACCTTCGCCCGTCTTCGGGTCTCTGCCGTTCAACATCGTGTTCAGGACATCCTTCGAGTCGAATGGATTGGCCTTGCGATCAGCGATGACTGGACAGGTGTTAGATCTGACAGCGAATGCAAGCAAGGTCTATGTCAATTTCAAACATACTGCGATCCGCAAGTTCGGTCATGGCCTTGATATCCTGCTCCCATTTCGCTTGACTGCCTTTCATGAAGGCTTGCACGATTCCCGGGCGACGGGAACGCAGGGCTGCTTCCCCAAGGAAGTCGGACATCGCTTTGACGAATGGTAGTTGGTTTTCCTGCAGAACAAGTCAGCCATATGGGGCAGATCCAAAGAGGCAAGAAACGTACCATATAGAAGGAGTTGAGTCTAGGAAAATCGGATGGTGGCTCAAACGGTGATCACGCATATATGCTTGCAAATCGTACCTGTATGACATGGCGCACAAACTGATGGTGTCGAGCGTGAGCCGCGTGTAGTCTTCCTATATTTCACGCGGTGAGCCATCGGATATATTGGGCTGGAGAAAGGGATCACCTACAATAGGGTCAATAACGTGGGTAGGACCGAACCTGAGGTCAGGACGGTTAGGACGGCCTCCTTGAGAGGTGATATGTAACATACCGCTCCCATTTTAGAAGCAGCTGCGAGCATACATCCATCATGTCGTCGAACATGCCGCGTAGCGCGACCGTGCCGAAAGCAGGCATCAACAGGCGGTCTATGATGCGGCGTTCAGCTCATGGTATACCTCCCAGCTTCGTGACTTACGGGCCTTGCCCCAGTTCGGTTCCGTGAGATAAGCCTACTAAATATCAGGGAGGAGGTCGAAGAACAGATTTGTAGCTTCACGTACGGTGAAGAGACCATCTCCCGCTCCTGCGCGTATCTCCTCCAATGGACCGCGGACCGCCTTTTCGAACCTCTTCTCGTCGCTCAATTCGTTTTGCAGTTCATAAGAGCTGATGAAGATGACTTCGTCCCCTGCAACGTCGAGTTCGATCAGACTACCCGCTACGCCGCCAAAGGCGGTGGTGGATCGGACGTACCGGCAAACGCCAGCTTGAATATCCCGCCATACTGTTTTGCTAGGAGACTGAAGCTGCGCGCGGGCACCACTTGGTCGATGTCGCGGATGTTGCCCAGGAACGGGATGGCCGGCGGTTGCGGGATGGGCGTGGTCATGATGATAGATTGCGCCGGGTTGGATTTGGATTGGGAGTCGAGCCCCAGCTTGCTATCGCCCGGCGCCTCTGCGAAAGCCTTTTATGCATCGTCACATATATGTAGCCGCTAACAGTGCCGGTGGATGTGATGCGCCTCGACCGTATCGGCGTTTCCGAGATGTCGTCTCAACGTGCGCCTTGCGCGCGGAAGGTGGGCTCCTCCGGAAGCAAGACGCCGGTCGCGGTTTGTCGCGGCCTCACCGCTTTACCGTGATCCACACAGAGTGTTGCTTCCGTGATGTACTGCAAACATCTGCTGCGACCTCGACTGGTTGACCGGGATTCCGTACTGGAACGTGTTGATAGACGAGGAGCGCAGCTCCGGCTATCTCACTACCGGAGCACTCCACACCGTCACAACGAACCCATGCGGTCCGGATACAACAGGCACTTACCTTTATCCGTGATATCACTGGCGGATATTCAGGCGTATGATATGAGACGAAGTACTGTCGTAGAACCCAAGTATCAAGGCATGAAGGAGATCCGACTCATAAATCCTCGATATTAGGACCACCGGCTACCTGGTACAGAAGATACTAGACTTTCGAGACGATGCGTCAGACATGAAAGGTTCATCAACCCATAGGGTAACGCGACACCCAGCCCATGCACGCGTATGCACCAAACTCAGACTTGCGGGTAATGTCCCTGCTGAGGTGCACCGCCGGTATACTGCACGCCGGAGCTGATCGTCGTCGTCCCGGTGGGCGCCGGGCTGGCGGCGTAGCCCTGCTGGGGGTACCCCTGCGGCGCGTATCCTTGCTGTGGGTACGCCTGCTGCTGCTGCTGTTGCTGAGGCTGTACGGGATACGTCTGCGGCTGCTGCTGCATCGGGTAGGTTGTCGTGGTGTTTTCGGCGGCGGTCGTGGTGGGCGCGGTGCTAGCGAGGACACCGAGCTCCGCGACGGACGCTGTCCACGTCTTCCCCCGAGACGCGAGCAGGAAGCCCTCGACGACGATGGTGATGGTGTAAGCCATGACTGCAGTGAGATGAGGTCACTAGACGCGCGATAAACACAGGACGAGGCGGTGCGCACGTAATATCCAGCTGAGGAAGGAGAACGCCTCCACGCCCGCGAACTCCCTGCAAGCCCGCGCGTCGATAGCTGCAGCGGCGCGTCAGTCACTCTCCCCAAATCGATGCCTCGCATGCCACTCACGATCCCAATCCGAGCAGCTGCCCTGGCTAAAGCCGACCAGGCTAGACGTATTCGCTGTCTCGGCTCCGGTCGCGAGCCAGAGGATCCAAAGAATCGAAAGCCACACAGCCTCGACGACGACGAAAGAGGTGAACGCGCCCTTGCGCAAAACCTCGATGATGAGCCTGTCCCGGGCCCAAATCAGCGACAATCACCTCACGGGGTGCGCGATGTGCACTCACATCGGCACGACGGTTATGACAGTGAGCAAGGCCGTCGCGACGCCGAGCGCGGCGAACACGAAATAGAGGCCGGTGAAGCTCAGCGTCACGTTCAGGATGTGCGCGCACAGTCCGAGGACGATGATCGCGAACACGGCGGATGCCCCCAGGGTAACCAGACGGAAGAGCGGAAGCCAATGCATTTTTCAGGTAGGTTCGAAATCCTGGATAGAGAAGCTCCGCGGGGCAAGAGGAGGGGCCTGGGACGACCTTGAGGACAGGCTTGGGACGAAACCACCGAGTCGTTGCAGGCCGCGTCCCCTGATGTCCGTATTTAACTGGCCGCCTCGAAATGAGCGCCTATCCTTACTCGGATCTGATAGATGACTTTTGTATAGCTTACAGGCGAGGCACGCCGGAACGGACGGTAACGAGGCCTTGACAAGGTTTTGACAGTTCGCTTGATAAAGTCTCAGCGCGCTGAGACCGGATTGTGGATGCACTGTGTGCGCCAAGCCGTGCGTATTGACGTGCGGTGCGGCAACCGGTTGTTCCGCTATTGGGACCGCGCCGGAAATATACCTACCTACCTACCTACCTGGACTATGCTTTCGCCTGTGCGCTTCAGCCGTCTGAACGACATGTATGGGTGCTTGCAGTAGAAATTCAGTCACGCGTACGGATTCCAGAGGGGAAAAAACAGGGAGTTTCCTGCTGTGGCAGGAGCTGCAAGAGCTCGCCAAGAAGAATGCGTTCATTCTGGTGACCAGCCGTGGGAAGTAATTAGGCTTCCAATCAGGCACAGTTGGTCCTGATTGGACAGGGAGGCACCCAAATTAGGAGAAAATCGAGCTGATCGGCGTGAAGAGGCTGTCCCGCTGAGCATGGTGGGGGCGTGGTAGGTTTGGCAAGCTGTTCAATTTCAGCAGCATTTGCTCATTCACCCCAGCTGCTGCCCACAAAAGCAGGAGATATGACGAGACAGGAACAACGCCAAGGCTAAGGGACTCAGCAGCTCACCATTGTCTAGGCATGCGGTGTTTCGTCGCGAGAAGGCACGAGAAATTAGGTACTTAGTATGACAGGAGGTTGTGTAGTGGCCAGGTTGCTGGATCATGAGCGTGTACTTCCCGACATCATCGGGCATACATCGCATATGTAGGTAAATGGACGTACGTAACTGGGCGCAGATAACTAGGGTGTCCTATATAACGTGTGTAGCAATAACCGCCATGTCTCTATTGAACGTTGCCAGATTTAGCGCTGTATACAGTGCATATGCAGGTATGCACCGACCTGTTGAAACGATTATTCGGGGAGTCCGTCCATTTATCTGGACGCCGGCTGCCACTGGACCCAATAGTCCGTTCGTGATCAACAGACCGAGTCTGGGCGGTACGCCATGAGTGAAACTGGTATTGACTTTTTTGTAAACTATTACGATGAGAATCATCCCGGGGGACACAGACCCGTGCATCTGTTCACTCTGAATTCGCGACGACATCTTGACTTCCGATGTTACCAAGGAGAGGTTCGAGTCCTGGATCAGTGTCAAGCACGACCTTGTACTCGTTCTAGTTGGGCGCGATCTAAGGATTGACAGGGCGCGGAACAAGCAAGAGCGCTCACCGCCAACACTGATGGACATGCTCGCGCCAATTGGACTGCAACCTCGCGCAGATCCGCCTTCAGTCTTTCGTCATCTGCAGATCATCAGTCGCCGCGCGCCACGTTTAGGAGATCAACGTCTTACCTGGCGTAGTCCGTCGGGACTTGGAGACATCAACCCAGCATCTCACGATGCCATCTATGATCGTGCCCTTCCATCCTCGCATCCGTACACTGCACTCGCTCATGACCACCAACAGAGCACGGACCGCAACAGTGCGTAACCGAGCAAGAGGCATCTTCTTCTCGGTGAGATCTGAAGGGGAGCATAACGGGTGGACAAGCTGTGGGATCAGCGCCTGTGTGATGCGGTCCTCAGCGTTACTCCCAGATGACAGAAGCAGTTTGACGCACCTTTAGATACCTGACAGAGCCGATATCGAGCGCCCGGACGACATCGGGCAGGACTTCCATCGACGCTTCGATCGTGGGCATGTCTTGGGCAGCATACATCCAGACGCTGCCGATGATGCCATCGCCGAGCAACGCGCACAGCTTCGAGAAACGTTCGGCCGAGCCGGGAGACGTGACCAAGTCGATGAGACGCAAGTGAGGAAGAACAGCGGCGCGGATGAGATCGGGTGTTGAAGGATTGTGAAGGTGGGTCATACACCCTTGGAGTGACTAGGAGAGGCTGTTCGGCAAGGAACGATCGATCACTACGAAACATAGCGTACGAGGAAGAAAAGGGAGTCGACTCCGGTCCGCTTGAGGAGGCTCGAAGGTATGCGCTCGAGTATGTAACTGACGATATTGACGCCTTGCAGTTTGTAGCGAGTCTCGTAGTCGTCGAGGAGAGTCATCGTTGGCGGGATCACGAGATGCCACACTTGCTCGTATTCGTTTTCCTGTTCGTTTGTGAGCACGAAATCATGAATTATTGATCCCAAAATGGCCTTTTACCTTGATATGGCGCACACACCATATCAGTACGTTAATCATCCTACGTTGAGGTTGCGCTTTCCACATCTGCGCTTCGTAGTAGTCCTGCGCAGCCATGGGACCCCCAGCACTTCGGGGCAATTTCCGGCCAGTCTCCATATCGAGGGATGGATGTGGGTTTGAACGGAAGACGGGTTTGACATGCACGTCTAAGACCGTTTGCAGGAGTGGGGTGTCAACTGGACCGGAAAGAGACACCAGCTCTAATCATTTTAATCTGAGAATAAGCTCGACATGAAGGCAAACTCGGCACACCATTGATGATGGAAGGGGCCCCGCCGATCTCATCGTCGACCACGAATGCAACCGCTTGAGCGATCACGTCTGCTCGCTTTTGAATGGAGGGCTGGTCCGTATGGAGCAGTTCATCCTTCAGGTTCGCCAACTGAGCAAGTTCGTCCGCTGTGGGCAGGGATGTCTCGTGCAGGGGCTCTGGTTCCTGTTGATCATCCAGTCCCTGGAGCTCATCTGGTGGTACCGCGGTCGAAAGGAACTCTTCAAGTTCAGATTTGGCCGGTCGTTCATCCATACTCTAAGCAGAGCAGATAGGATATATAGTATCAAGACATATAGCCAAGTCGTAGATATGTCGGTTCTGGTCACGGTGAACGAGAGACGACGCGTCCGACGAGCAACTCCCCTTCCGCCACAACCGCGTTCAGCAACTCATCATGAACAACTCCCTGCTAAGTAGGACTCCAATGCACGTACGGAGGGTCCGGGAAACTCATTAAATTTGCATTCCTTCGCATTTTATCCCAGATCCTTTCAACATCTCGTACCCAAGTGCTGTGCAAAACTCGCTCGGGGCTGGGGCCATCTTCTCTCGTTATGACACCTCCGGTCGCTTTATCGTCGCAGGCCGGAACGACGGATCAGCGGCTGTCTGGGATCTGGACACAAGGTCGCCCATACGATGGCTAGAAGGTCATGTCAAGGGAGTCACGCATGCAGAGTGAGTCCGATGTCTTGTTGCCCAGGACGAACTCCTATGAAGCTGACGAAGTCCGTTGTAACTCGACAACATGCAGTTGGTCGAGGAACTCCAGGTACCTCTTGACGACCTCGAAAGATTGGAACGTAGTGGTGTGGGACCTCGCGGCCGATTTTGACCCGCCTCAGCGGCATACTACCGTGCGCTTCGATGCGCCAGTTCTTCAAGCTTATTTTCACCCCAGAAATAGGCGAGCATATGAATTGCTAGCCGCAAAGGTGATTGGCAGCTCATGTTCTTGTTTCAGCAAAATCATGGTGGTCCTCCTCACATCAGGCGACGCGTATCTCGTCGACTTACGAGATGGACACAGCGGTCGGACAGAGCTTCTGGAGGTACAGGATGAAGTGGATGAAGAGGCCGACGGGCATCGACACCAGTGAGATGTTCCTCGCTCCGCTCTTTGATCCTGCAATGCTCAACCCGGAACTGTCCCAGTATCGCTGCTATGACGGCAGTCCGTTTCGACCCTTCTGGTAAGCATATATTCGTCGGGACATCCAACGGTTCCATTATAGTGTTCAATACTCGGACAAAGACGGTGCGCTACAAGCGTTCCTAATCTACCCTTTCTCACACTCGCGAAGATGGTAGGCCGACATCGATCATCAGGGGGTAATGGCTATATCAAAGGCATTGAATTTGTACGTTCTGGACGGTATGTATGCTCTCACGTTGCTTCCCATATCGCCTTGACAATCGTATTCAGACGAATGGTCACGAACTCGTCAGATCGGACAATCCGGCAGTTCAATGTCCCTACATACCCTACGCCAAGCGCCGAGGAGGCTCTATATCTCGAACAAGAGCTGGAACCGACGCACAGATTCAATGATCCTATCAACCGAACGGCTTGGCACGCCGTGGCCTATTCCCCGGACGGGGAATGGCTGGCAGGTGGCGCGGCCGACCCAGCTAATCACAAAATTTACATCTGGGACATCTCGAACGATGGCCAGTTTGCTGCGACGCTTGACGGCGGCAGGGAACCACTAACATATATTCATGTACGTTCGATTGCTTTTCGGTACTGGGAGCTATAGCGGATGATGTATTGGGGATAACAGTGGCATCCGTCGAAAAGCGCCATCGCGTCGACGACTAATCAAGGCACTATTCTCATCTGGCATTGTCCGACGCCGGAGCGATGGGGCGCATTCGCTGGCGGATTCGAAGAAGTGGACGAGAACGTCGAGTACGAGGAGAGGGAAGACGAATTTGATATCGTGCGTTGGCCAAATCTCTGACGCACATAGTTGCATTAACGACGATACACTCCGCAATACGTATAGGAGGATGAAGCAGAAATAGCGCGACGAAAACAGATAGCGGAAGAGTTCGAGGTCGACATCGACGGCATGAATGAAGAGCAAGTACAAGAGCATACGGTATTGGATGGCGATAACGAGGAGGATTCTGCATGGGCAGAGGAAGATGCAGACGATGACGTCCGAGGATGGAAAATGAAGACCGTGATGGAGGAAGAAACCGACTTTGTATAGCCCTGAAACCCGAAGAGAATCGACCTCACAGGCCAGGAAACATATACTGCAGGCCGTAGGCGTGCCAAAGGGGATATGGTGTTTATGACCAGTCGGCATAAGACTCGGGACTATCCATGTATCTGGGCGAATCATGCGGTGACTTGATCGACAAGGGGCTATAGTTATGGGCAGATCTCAGGTTGAGGATGAGTTCGCCTGGGTTGGCCGGGTTGACCTGTATTGGTATATCTTGTCTAGTGCACCGTAGTCAGGACGTGATTGTATCACCGGTTCATGCATGAGCTTACTCCTCAAACGCCTTGATCAAAGCGATTTTTTGCGGCGGCAGTCTCCCGTTATGGACCGAGCTCTTGCGGGACACTTTCACCCTCATGGTTGTCGGACCTTGCTCGACAATGTTATTGTATACTGCTCGCTCGACGCGTTTGATAGCGTCAGGCGTGCGGAGATGCTGCACATCAAGTTCCGTGGAATTTGCCAGGTCGTTACGAGCTGGTGCATGACCCAAAACGTTAGTTCGTTTTCCGGAGAGGCATAGCATAGCATACCATTCCAGTATGCTTCGTCAGCCTTCTCATTCAACTCATCTAGTCGTGCTTCGGCCTCATCTTTCTGCACCTTTAGCACGAAGGCGTCCCACACTCGCTTTTCCTGTACTGCCCTCTCTCGCTCAGATGCGAGTCGTCGCACTTCGACTTCTTGCGCCTCTGCCTGTTTCTTATAGAGATCAAATTCCGTCAGGCTAGGTTTCCTGGGCTTGTCCTGGATGTTTTGTTCATTCTTCAGCTCCGCAGCGATGAGGTCGAGCTTGGGCCGCTTAGTCGGCTGCGCCACCCAGCAGCGACTCATGAGATCCCATAGGTTCTCAGAAATCGTAAGACCAAAGCATTCTTCCTTGGTCGGTCGAGGGGGCCGCTTCCCTGATAGGATCTGTATGAGGACTGATGCATCGAGAGCCAAGTGATAGAACGGTGCTTTTTTGGTATGCAGCTGATCAGAATGTAAGCGACACAGTACAACAAGTCGCCCAGAAGCGTACCTCCAAACAAACACACGCAAAAGAGTACACATCGCTCTCCGGTGTCCGTCGGAACCCAATCTGCTCGATAAGTTCGGGGTCGAGTAGCTCTGGGGCTAACCATCGGCTATTTCCCCCACTGGTCCCCAGCGTGCGCAAACTCGCCGTGGTGCTGAACACGATAGCGAGGCCGAAATCGGCTAGGCGAGCGTGACCTTGAGCATCAACCAGGATGTTCGCTCCGCGCAGGTCCCCGTGAACAACGTCCTGAGAGTGGAGGTAAGAGAGGCCTCGGGCTATCTCCACAAGCTACACGCATGTAAGCATAACACAATTCGTCATATGCTGGCGGTGAATATCCTACCAGTCGATCAACAACAGCTTGCGATGGTGGGTGGCAGCGCTTCAAGTAGTCAATCACAGTCCCGTTGGTCATCCACGGCGAGACCATAGTCAAAAAGGGCGAGAACGTGACTTCGTCTACGCCGTAAAAGGGGAGGACATTGGGGTGCCTCAGCAAGCGCCACGTTATGGCTTCTCTATGAAATTTCTGCGCGAGCGAGTTAGATTCACCTTGGGATCGACGAGCATGTCTAACCTCATGGATTTCCTCGCGATCATGGTCAGCTTGAAAGACTCGAAGCCGCTTCAGGGCAACGGGAGTTCCTTCGTATACGCCTAGGAATATGTCTGCAAATGCGCCACCGCGTTCTGGATCTCGTCCATTGGTGTATTCAACGCCCTGGACGAACAAAGCAGAGGGCAGCATCCCGCATTTTTCCGCGAGCCTGATTGCAAGGCGAACGAGGCGTCGACGGAAGCTGCGACGGTCGTCATATGAAGGAACAAGGCCATCTTCTGAAATGTGGTTGACTTCATCGTAGGCGAAAGGCTCAAGTTTGTCGATGATCTGGGCAACTCGCCGTCTATCAGTACCACCACCCTGGCATTTTCAAAACACGCACGTTCTGGAGCAGATCCAGGAAGCCTCTAGCGTGCTCTCCCTCAAGGGCAAGAACCTGCTTCTTCATTGTGTCGTTGTGCAAGATAAACTGCAGATAACCGCTGATCGCGATCTCGTCTTCTTCCAAGATGCGGGTCATCGCTTCGCTGGCCGTAAAACCTTCCATATCCAACATAATCTGTTACGCTCATGAGCTAGAACCGCGAAATAATGATACCATCATACCGAGCATAACCGCTCACGGTATTGGTGGCTATTCGCGATTTTGACTAACAATGGGGCACTGTCCATGTCGCATAATATACCTTCAAGTTTCTGTCGAAGTTATGCATCAGAACGGAGAGTAAGAATATGGAAACGAACGCACAAGAGTCGTCCTCGAATCGGCGTTTCGTAGGCGCGCAGTCTCCTGGACATGGCCTGCAAGTGCCTGCAGCAGAAAGGAGCATCGAAGTTGCATCGAGGGAGGTTCTGAAGCTGCCGTCGGCTGGACCACTGACCTGATATACTGGGCCGTCCAGAAGCTGTGAATCATCGAAGGCCATGATCAGCTGTTCTACGCTGCACGGCAGCGATCAGATGCAAGAAGGTCTGGTATGGTCGGCAAACGGAGATGGCAATGTGCACTCCTTCCCCGTATTAATAGGCGGCGCCAGCGCCTGTGCTGTGCGAATGAGCACAGCGACTGAGTCGAGAAGGCTGCTCGTGGGAAGCCGTTTCCCTCCATCTCTGCTCATGTCCAACTCGGAAGGTCTGACCATTGGAGCCAGAAGGACTCACAGCCAACACCGCCCTGACCGGATAACTCCGAGGTTGTCAAGGGCACAACGGAGGACTCAATGGGTCCGTCTCTTCATCCTTTCCCGAGCCGTATGGGGAACTCGGAATGCAGCGATAGCATTGCGCAATGAAACACAGCCAGAAACTCTGTCTTCTGTACGTTTTATTGCTCCCGTCTTCACAGTTCATCCTTCTTCATCTCCGAGGCTTCTACAGGCAAGCATAGCGCTGGCGTAGTGGCGGTAAATTCATACTCGCACTTCTCAGCCTCTGCAACTGTCAATAGGACGTTGTCTGTACCGCAAGACAACGACAGCTGTACCGTGGCGATTAGCAATCAGATCTCGGGAACATAATTCAGATGGGGGACATAACGCACCTTGACGCTGCGCATAGGACCATTCCAGCATCTAGCGCCCTGGTCGTATACTTGCTTAGAGTAGTACTCCGGAGTTCCAGGGGTCACGGCTGAAGATGGGTGCCAAGACTTGAATTTTCTGATAGCGGTATGGCGTCAGTTGTTATAACCGGTGCCAAACGGCGCCACACACCCGAGGCTGAAGGTCTGACCGCCTTTGTTAGGCTTTTGACGAGCTTCGTCAAAGAGGCAGACTTCATAGGTATATCTAATGGAAATTAAGTGCTGACCAGACGAAGGCCAAACGACTACACTTACTCTCCGGTATCTTTCTCGAGGCACAGGCTTTCCAGCTTCTTCCACTCTCCTTGGGCACCGAAGCCCTTGATGTCGAAGAGGTCCTCCAGATTCTCCTCTGCCTCTTTCTTCTCGTCCCTGGTGAGCTTCAGGCTGTGCTCGGCGTCGTGAAGCGCCGAACGAGCTTTCTCCGCAGCTGTAACGATATGGAACGGGGTCAGATTGCCATTTAGCGTCTGACAGCGGATGCGCAGACACCGACCTGCTGATGTATCTCCCGACGGCTTGACAAGGCCGAATGTCGTGAGCCACGAGGCAAGAGTCTCCCGGAATGCCTCATACTGAGGCAATAGAGATTCTGGAAGATATGAGGAAATGTCGAATACTACGCCAGTCTTCGTGAGTACGTGAGCAACCACGTTTAACCGGCACATACATATCGAATTGACGTCCGGCGCCCCGGAATGCCTCTCGTGCTCGATGAGAAGAGAAACGTGGTCCGTATCGAGCAGCTCGTCCAGTTGGGATGTCAACTGTCCCTCCGTCCACATGCCCGGCTCCAAATCTTCCTCCTTTGTCTCCGACTCTCCGACGTCTTTGACCTCGTCAGACCCTTCCTCAGAGACGTCTTTCCCAACATCGTTGATGTGCGGAAGGCCAGCGAGGAACTCCCATCCACGAACGGCTTCAAGAACGGCCATGTCTTGGTAGTTGGGGTTGTATCCGGTACGAAGAGCATCGAGGATGTCCCCAAGAGCCTTCTCGCGCTCTAAATGTTGCTTATGAACGCGTTGTAGGGACTTGAGGGCGTTGTGGTGCGTGATGAGAGACGTGTAAAGGGCTGCAAAGAATCATCAGCACACAGCCGATGTAGCAAGAGACGAAGGACGAACGCGACTTCTTCTTCTCTTCGAGCGCGGCGGCGGAAAGGGATTCGGTCCGCTCAAGAACATCTATCATAGGATTAATACACCAACACCGAGCACGGAATGAAATGCTACCTCTGAGACGTGCTACCTCCTTCTCTCGCGCAGCAATCTCCAGATCACTCCGAGCAATCTCTTCCTCTAACCTCTTCTTCTCCTTCTGAGCGAAGGCGACGTACGTAGAACGAATCTTCGCGCCCTGTAGAGACGTCAGCATAGAGCGTCACTGTGACAAACAGGTCGCAGCTGACAGTTTTACGCGTCTTGAGCTCTGCGTCTCGCTGCTTCCTGAACTCTTCCCCTATTTGCTTGCAGATGTTCGGGCAAAGGCCAGGCCGTTCGTCCGAGCCATCACAGCACTCCTTCTCTGTAGTGTACTATTAGACATGCCAGATGACATCAGCACGCACAATATCAACATACCGCAGAGGCCGTCGTTGACACGCGTCGAAGATATATTTGCGCCTATATGCCCCTCGTTAACGCAGTAGAAGGTGGTCCCGGGGCAAGCACCGGTGCCTGGTGCGTTCGTTCAGCACCAAACGAAAGCCAAAACGGGCCAGGATTACTCACCGGGTTCATCGCTGCCGTCTGGGCAGTCACAGTAGTCGTCGTTGACAGCACTCCATGCAATCTCCTTGGAGCCGTCGAGGCACCGCCAGGTGGCAGACTCCGTAGGCACGTAGCGTGGTATTAGTGCGGGATGGACGCCATGTGTTTTCTCAAGCGCATATGCGGGGAGAACCAACGAGAGTAGTAGCCAAGTCTTCATCTAGACTGGCCAGGACATAAGCCAGTGAACAACAAGAAGGGAGAACGGTAAGGCGAGTGTAGCCAAGGTGAGTGCAGTCAGGCGCGGTTACAGTTTGCTTCTCGCCGCCACGTATGTGTGATTTGGTTCTGGAGCGATCACTCTCATTCAGCTTCAACTATCATGTATCGATATCTTGCGAGAAATATAGCAACATTCGTCTCATAGACGTGTTCTGATATGCTCTCGAGCTAACGTATATGCTTCCAACGCTGCAAAACTCAAAAAAGATCCCTGGGCCGCGCATGCACCACGGTAGTCGATGTATGCAACTGCGTAGTTACGCATAGGCAACCGGATTGAAGCCCTGACTGACAGCCGTCAACCTGCATCAAGTTCTGGAGGACGGTAATCGAGCAAGCTGCGCGTGCTACCGACAGTGCATCGGTCTGGAACCTGTGATCCCGTAAGAAGGCAACAGTACAGCCGTTTCCGAAAAGGTTGAGCGCAGCGCGAAAAACGGGCCATGTCGTGGACACACCCTAAAATGGGGTTACAGCCAGGACGTTCGTCGATTTGTGTATCTCGATGGAAGCACATTACTGTATGATACCGTCTCTTCGGCAGGGCTGTCTATTCGGCAGGTCACACATACGTCACATGTCGGAGCAGACACCCCCATCAAGCATTTCGTACTCCGCTTACACTGGCCGAATTACCGTACAAGCTAGTAACAGATTATTCAAGCTGCATGCAATGATAGCACCAGAGTATGCTGTAGTAGAAACCTTACGTGCTTATGGTAAATAGTGTACTGGCCTTTGGTGGTATGAGCAGCGGCACTGTTGCTGCGAGCATATCCTGGGTTGGTGTCGAGGCATTTTGCATGCTGACCATCCGGTTCCCCTCTCTCTCCATCCCTCAAAAGCCTACTCCGTAGTCCAGAAACACAAATCATACTGGTGCCGCTGCGAAAGCGGGTCAAGACGTGTTTGCAAGCGAGGTAATCGCGTTGTCCGAACACATCGTGTGGCGCTTAATATTTAGACTCCGCCCGGCTATGGCTCGGCACTCCATCACACTGCGTGACTTGCATGAAGTTGCATTTCTCGACTTTGAGCAATGAAACCCGTTGTGTGACCATTGGAATACGTTCGGAGGCATGCTATAAGCTGGTGGTCAAGAAATGAAGTGGAAAGCTGCTGCGGAACACGAGATGCCGAAGAGACGATCCTGCCGAAGAGACGGTATCATACAGTATTGTTGTTGTCCAATGAGCGCCCGGGCATAGGAGAGCCGAAGGCTACCACTTTTGAGATGCGAAATTCGATGTGCAATGCCTCTGGAGGGCTTCTGAGTCGCGTCAAATGGGTCCTCCCGGTGGACCCTTTTTCACCCGTTCTGACAACTTCCACTCGCCTATACTCTCGTTCACGGTAGATTACGCCACGACTGAACACAGTATGCTGACGATGTTGCCCCTCAGTGCGCGACGCCGCACGATATCTCTAGCAGTAGCAGTAACCCTGATATAGGGGTCTTTACCAACGTTCTCAACGACGAGCTCCCAAGTCTTCCGGCAACTTCTCGTTGTCGAAATCATCGGTAGACACCCGAAGCAAGTACCTCACGGTTGAGGGGCTGCACTGTGTCCCTGTTTGGACGAAGGAGTATTGATATTGGCGATCTATATTCCCTAACACTACCTTCGCCTGCAACTCCTTCGACCCTACAGTAAATCCTTCTGAATTTCATGCTTAGCACACTGACACATGTTCCTCTGAGCTCCTCCCACGTGTATTCATCATTTCTATGCGGTCCAGGGGTGCATAATCGTTGAGTTCGTCGTTGAACACGATGTGCTGGCGGCAAACCCAATTTTAGGGGCCTTCACAACGCGCGGCTCGTTTTTCGCGCTGCGCTCAACCTTTTCGGAAACGGCTGAGTCATGACCTGCATGTACTGAACGTCGATTCACCTCATAACTACAGCAGCTAAACATACAGAGATCGCGTACGACCATATCTTTTGGTGCTCGACTCTCGTCTGAACAGAGCATTACCTATGAAAAGATTCAAAACGTTCGAGTCACCTTCCGGACGCCTGGTCCCCACCCCATGACCTCAGTACCTTCTGCTCGTGCCGTCAATACATTCAGAAGGCGCTTCGGTAAGAGAGCGGACTCGAAACCAGCATGATCTTCTCAAGACGGGTGTGTAATCATGTCGACGACTTCGTATGGCGCGACTTGTACTTAAGTGAGTCTGTTCGCTAACGCATCCCCTTCCTGACCGTTAGAGCTACACTCCTTTCAAGTCGCAAGCCACGATGTTAATGAAGCTTAGTAGCCTGGCAGCCTGGCTTGCGCTATCTGGCGGACTTGCCACAGGCCGAGACGTACCTCCTTCGGGAACGAGCACGGCTTGTACGTGCAACATCGGAACCATCCCGGTCGCTGTGGACGTGCGCATACCGAGTGATCCGTCCTTGCCTATCAACACCACTGACACAAGGCGTATTCATGAGATATACGATATCTTCGGCGTTCTATGCGCACCCAATGAGGATGCTTCCTCCGGCCTTTCTGGTATGCTAGACCCTGTAACGCCGCCCCTTCTTTGCACATATTCACCTCGTTGACCCAGATCGAGTCCAGTTGTTGCTGCATGGTAACACGTACACGACTGCTTACTGGACCTTCCCCTACAACGGATTCCGCAACTACTCCTACGTCGCGTATTCGTGCGAACGCGGCCTGTCCTCATTCGCCTTTGACATGGTCGGGTCAGGCCTCAGCACTCGCCCATCCAACTCATCCGATATCCAACTATTCGTCGCCTCGAATGTTACAAGCTCCCTATCCGCCATGCTCAAAGATGGGACTGTCAGCCGCGCCCTTGGAGGTAGCGGCAAGCGATTCTCGAAGGTCGTCGCCTTCGGGCACTCTCTCGGGGCGGTGACGCTCAACTGGGTAGCGATCGCGCTCGGGTCTCGCACGCCCTTCGACGCCTTCGTGCCCACCGGGCACATCCATGACCCTGGATTCATCGTTATCGATCCAGTTCAGCACGTACCCGCGCGCGAAGTCGATCCCGCGAGATGGGGCAATCTCGACCCAGGGTACATCACGACGCCCAACATCTCCGCACGCGCGACCTTCTACTCCACCGATACGACGACGTTCTCGTCTCAGGTCCTCATGATCGACGAGTTGACGAAGGATCTAGGTTCCTCGGCGATGGCCCCGGCGCTCGAGGGAGCTGTGTATGTACCGGCCACCGGCTTCACAGGCCCGGTCGCGATCGTGGTGGGCGAAGACGACCAGGTACATTGCGTCAGCCCGGGGAACGACTTCCTTCCCTGTAACATCACGAGCGTCCTAGCGCAGGAGAGGCCGTTCTATTCCGACTCGAAGAATGTGACTGCGTTCGTCGTACCGAAGACAGGTCATGATTTAGACTTGCAGTTCACGACCAACGAGACTTTCCAGCTTTTCACTGACCTGGTGAATGAGCTCGTTTAGGCTTTTTATACGATCACACCTCTGGTTGTTCAGAATTACTGGTATGTTGGTACATATTGCGAGCCGTTCCGATAAAAGTGCTACATTGGGTAACGTGGAGACAAGGAGGATAAGGGGAAAAGTCACAGAACCCAGGGGAAACGATGGGAAAATGCGCGACCGGTTCGCGCGGGCGTTGACGCGACGCCGCGACGCTAGTCTCGTTACCAGCCTGCCTGAATCCGACGAGCAAGCAAAGTGCCTTCAGGCAGTCTGGGAGGTTTCCGTGGGAATTCATAAGCTCAACGAAAACGTGACTTTCACGTGATGAAAAGTCAGAATCGGATTGTGATCGGAAGTGATCAAGTAAGAGCGAGTCAGAAACGCAATGTGATCGTTCAGTTACGAATGTGACTCATCAGTTTACGAATGTGACCCATCAGATTTGCGTTCGCGTCCTACGACGCCGACGACGCGAGACAAAGTCCTCTGATGTGGCAAATGCCACACCCTTCCCTGCCCACTACATTTGCTGGCTCTCACTATACCGCACAAGCTGTCAACAACTCGAACATGGAACAGGCTGATGGCTCCCTCACTAGCCTTTCACAAAAGCCTGAGCTACTGGGAGAAAAGGATTGTGAAATGAATGTGCAGGCTCCTCATTCCGCCGAGAGCAGGGAGGATCACGATGTTTCCAACACAACTCATGGTGCGTGGTCCATATCATACCTTCAGGATGTCTTTGACGACATTATAGGCTCAGACTCATCGACTTCTACGATGTTTCAAACCCTCAGCACCCCATCCCCTTTGCACTCGTTATACCACTTGTCAACACCTAGCACTAGCCGTATTTCGCCAAATACACATCATTTCTCCATTCCAGTCGCTTCTACATATGAGGGATTCAGTGCTTTCCTATCGACATCATCATCTGAGGAAGGTCACAGCCGAAAACGACGACGAATGTCGCATACTGCAACCCCGTTCCGTGTGCCTCAAACTTCTGGGTTAGCAAGCAACTACGACGACTTTTTCTCTCGGGCATCGTCAGAAAGTCCAAGGACATCGAATACCGCTTCTCCGTCGACTTTCTTAGTCTCATCGCAACGTGCCAGGATCACATCTGCGAACGCCCTCGGACTGAGCCAGGAATCTGGATTCGCTACCCCTTCATCAGCGCGTGTTGTCCCTGCTATGCCAACAAACCTCGATACAGATTCTGTCCTGTCAACTCACTGCCCGCGGCCCTGCTGCCAGTCTCGCAAATCCAAAAAAGACCGATTTATGCTTGCTCTGGCGGAACTCAAGGATGGTGTCATAGCCTTGTCCGACTTTTTTGCTACGGTCTTGACGGACCCTGATTACGCGGGCTACCAATCTCACTTCTACGATGTGAAATCAGGACACATGGCCCAGCTCCTGAGTACGATCTGGGCACACAAGACTGGTCGTCAAAGCATGGCTGAATGGATGCGGCCCAGGGCCGAGGAGCTCGTCTGCAGAGTCGTGTACGACGAGATGGATCAAGTCAAGCGCAACATGACATTGAATGTGCGCGACATCACAGACAAACACCTCAGTCACTGGACCTTCAGCACATCCGTTCAAAATCCTATTGCTGAGGCGGCGCCGACACTCTGTCGAATTCTCACATCGGCAGCACAGACATCCGAAGCTCAAAAGAACAACACCAAGAAACGACCCGAGGTTCTCGTTGCTATCATTGTCGCACAGCTGGCCAATCACAGGTCCCGGTTCTGTATCTCATTTGCCGGAGGATTCTCTCTCATGGCCTACTTCACCGGATGCTCGGAACTTGCAATAAACCTCCTCAATAAATGTGGTCTCTCAATCTCATATGATTCTATGATGACAATCTTCCCCGCTCTTGCGGACTCCCGGATCGAACTGGCACGACAGGTAGCTCATTCGTCAGACGGATATTCCCTTGGCTATGATAACACAAATGTCAAGACGTCTATCCATGTGGAGCAGCGACAGGATGCACCGGCCAAAGTTCAGTCCGGCACGGCTGCGTGCATCTATACACTCCATAATGTTCACGATAGCGTCGCCCTGCAACTCAAGCCTATCTTAGCAAACTGGCGACGTATTACAAGTCTTCCTCGGGCACTGTCTTTTAAGCAGGATATCCGACCGACTCCCGAACAAATCCAAGCTTTTGATTCACAGTCTCTTGCTCATATTCTTCATGTTCTGACGACTCATGTGGACGCATTCAAGGATTTCCAAGACCATCCCTTACTCGCATATCAACCACGTCGTAGGTTGTCCAAAACACGGCGACAACAAGCCTATCCACTGCGGACAACTACAATAGAAGAGGCTAGTATCGCTGGCAACATCCAGGTCCATGATAATGTTCACCTTGAACAGCTTAATATGACTCGTCAAGATCTTGAGAACCGCGCTATTCCAGTCTACGTTGATCTTGCAACAAATCTCCGCATCCGCAGTGCTCAAATTCTTCGCGCTAGGGACATCCGGACATGTCCTCGCATGATCGACTAGCCTGTCTTCAACTCGGTATCGGACTCTTCCACCTTCTCCTTAATCTTCTCTGGTGTGTCCTTGGTATTCATCGTGGTAAAGACGACGAACTAGGTTCTCTCAGCTGGTTCTTCCTACTGATGTCCCGTACACGACTCGGTGCCCAGCATCCAGACTTTCATCTCCTCAAGGCAACACTGATGCAAATATTTGACGGGCTCATTCTTCACTTCTGGCTCGTTGAGTCTGGCTGCTCGGATTTTGCTTCTTTTGCATCCACAAAGTCTACCGCAGAGGACCTGGTAGTAATCGCACGTCATATTCAACGCAAGTACACAGCCATGGGAAGCTCAAGCAATGACGAGACCAGAGATTCGGCTCGGGAGAACATCAAGCGACTACTTCGTGATCTGATGTATGTTCGCGAAGTTGACTATGCAATCCGTGATGGCGATTGGGGCCGGATCGAAGACATTCTTGGTCCACTCTGTATGATTTTCCGTGCAGGAGGCTCCAACAGTTATTCGACGGAGATTATGCACCTCATTCTGCAGCTCAAATACATCTGGCCAGCAAATTTCGCGTAAGAGGCATATGCTAGTCTTGTTGTCATGCTCACATGTTCCCGTGTATAGTGACATCATGCGCGATAATATGATCCTGAACTTGACGGGCAAGAATCTCCCGGTTGATTTGAACATGGAGCATCTGGTCCGTATTGGAAAGGTATGTATACCATCGATTCTTTGCTCTGCCACTGACACCGTGAAATAGAGCATGCTACCAAATCACGGATCTCCAAACTACTGGGAGATTTTAGGTGATGCGTCAGCAGCTATACCGTCTCTCCAGAAAGCCCGTGATGCCTATGTTCATGGCCTCAAAGGCAATTACATGGGGACCTCACACACAACACCCGATACATCAGCAGCCGTATGGTCTGTGATGGATGCTGCCCATACTCACAAGCTGCAAACAACAAACCCATTGCGCAAAGCGGTCAAGCCCACAGTCGACACAATACTCACTGGCCGTAACAAGTTGCAGTCAAGCTCTGTGGATACGTTCAACAAGAAAATCCAAGCGATGGGCTTAGGTGTCGATGTTGGAGTGGAGACCGATGAATTAGAACCTCTGGCAATTGACGTATCAAACCTAGGTGACAATTGATACATCATATCTAGTTTACAGATTGTAATGGAAACATGTCTGTTCGGGCTCTCTTAGAGCGACAATTAGTACTGTGTACATTCTCCTTGTTTCCGTACGTAAAATCCTGAAGAACTTTGAAAAGCGGCCTTGCCCACCGCAGTTCCCATTCTGCCGTTTCACCGAGCATATCAACAATCTTATGAGAATTAAGCAGACCATCCTTGCCGTCCATCTGGGCACGCGCAATCCGTGGAATGTCCTGGTCTTCAAGTATATCCTGAGGGACTAGAGCATAGATAGATTGCGCAGACTTGAACATGTCCTGCCGCCAGGTCCGAAGCAAAGTCTCAAGTGCTGGGCGCTCTGCAGTGGGCCGGTATGTTTTGCGAGGTCGCTTTTCTCCACGTGGCATATCCAAGATGTCAATGACAGATCTCGGCGCTTGGTATGGGAAAAATGAATCCAGTTTGAATGGGGTGCGGGTTTCATCGCCTGCATGCGGACGATCACAGCACCAAGGGCCTGTAGTGTCGAGTGCTGGCAGTAAAACTGAACAGAGGTACGTATTGCAATAATGAGTATACATACCACTCTCTGAGGTATCATGTAGGTAGCTTGCGTAGCGAGCACGCAAACATGACGCCGACTGGAATGTGCGGACGCAGGCTCGACTTGCAAGCTCTTCACGCTTGAAAGTTTTCTTTCTGCTCTTTGGATTGATTGGGGTGATAGGCATATCAGGGCTTGCCAATTCATGATCATCATCATCAATGATCGCCTCCTGTACCCATCGCTCTGCCATAACTAGAAATAAAGCTGGAATCTTAGGATCACGAGCCCGTCCAGCGCGCTGGAGATCTTCAGCCTGATCCTGACCTATACCATAGTTGATGATGAGCGAAACACCAATAGGGTTGAGTCCCTGAGCCAGACAAATATTGTGAAGGGCATCAAACGCAGCACAGTAAAGTCCACTCACGTTCGATGCCGCTTGTGAGCAGACCAAAATCTGGCAGCTTCTCGTTGGAGAGTTGAAGCTATCATAAACATCATCAAGGTATCTTAGCGACATGTCACTGTGATATTCCCGAATAATTCCATGGCTACGGAGGTCCTCTGAAAGCCGGTTTGTGAGATGTACGGTGATTTGTCCTATCAACGCCTTGTTATTGACAAATATCATCGTCTTCTTCAAGCCCCCAGTAGGTAAAGGGACCGGAACAACACGGTCCAAATTCTTGAGGTTCTTGAGATCGCCGTCCACGATGAGTGTAGCATAAACAAGATTGGGTCGGTTCAGAGGACAACGAATGGATAGAGCATTGTCGGAGACTCGTATCAGGCGTTTTAGGGGACCCATGACATGCGGAGGACAGATAGTCGCTGACAGAAGTGTCCAAGCACAATCAGGTACCAGTCGGACACGGAGCTCGCCCAGCTTTCCATAGCATGGACGATGTGGTGCCTTTCCACCACGCTCAAAGCCAGACAGAACCACATGATGGGCTTCATCCACGAAAACACGTTTGATCTGCTTGACAAAAGGGTTCTTGTCATTTGCTCGTGCGAGCATGAGCTTGGCAAGCCGGGGTATTTGACCTGATGTCTGGTCGACGAAGAACTGCTCAGGTGCCGTGATCAACACCTGAAATTCCTGACCAGGGTGTATACTCTGTAACCGTGGTAAGCGTAGGAGAGGAACCAAGCAAAATGATCTACCTTCCACAAAGCTTTGTCATTCGGTGTATCATGATTTATGGCGATTGCGCGTATACCAAACAAGGCAAAGTCTTTGATCTGTGACTACTAGTTAGTGTACAGATGCAAGATGAACATGCTGATACTGACCTGACTCGACTGCAGCCGCTTCAGTGGCGAGAATACAAGACCGAGTTCGGCGGGACGAAGCAACCACGCAATTATCATAGCATAAGTCTTCCCAAAGCCCGTTCCTGCGCTAAGCACACAGTCCCTATGATAGACGCTTGCAAGGCCAGCCTGAAGCTGCATGTCGCGAGGAAGGCGTGATCCACCAGTATACAGAAAGATTAATGAGCAGGCAAGCAAGACATCCCGTTTAAACTCTGTCGAAGACTCTTGAAGATCGGCGATAGGGCTTCCGTCAAGGTGTGAGGAGGAACCACGAGCATCTTCTGGGAGAGCTGCCCAACAATATGACGGAACTTCCGGGGCGTTGGCGCCAGTAGCGGCAAGAAAGGATCCAGTGCAGTGGGCGACAAGCTCAGAATAGCTCAGTTTTCGAAGCTTGTTTGCTTCCTCCAAGTGCAGATCCATGGGCATAGCATCCATTGATGTCATAGCGCAGTCAGTTTCCGGGAGTTTGGTGCAGTATCGAAGCAAAGCTGACCATGAGGCCAAATTTTGCATTAATGCAAAACGCGGAACTTAGCCGCAAAACGACGCGCGGCCGCAAATCTGATGGGTCACATTCGTAAACTGATGAGTCACATTTGTAACTGAACGATCACATTGCGTTTCTGACTCGCTCTTACTTGATCACTTCCGATCACAATCCGATTCTGACTTTTCATCACGTGAAAGTCACGTTTTCGTTGAGCTTATGAATTCCCACGGAAACCTCCCAGACTGCCTGAAGGCACTTTGCTTGCTCGTCGGATTCAGGCAGGCTGGTAACGAGACTACCGCGACGCACCGCCATCGCAATATCAATCGGGTCCATTGAGCCCGCGTGCACCCCGAGCTTGAGTGTTACCGGAGGGAAAACGTGGTATATCTTTTGGCTTCGTCTCATGACTTCTCAGGGAACAGACCTGTAAGTTCGAGTCGAAAATCGTTGCGTGTTGTCGCCTAAGACTGACGATTAATTATCGGCATTCTGTATCATTGGATAGATCGGACTCGGAGGTGCTTAGACTCGGAAAAGAGGTTGAAAGTACCATCGTGAGCTCGCTCCAGGATCCGGATCGACCTCGCCACTGTGCGCGGTTCTATGTTGCGTGTTTCGATGTCCTGTGCGAATATGATCCCTTCTCGTCCACGAGAAGGTGGTCGCGGCGTCACTCCGCGCTCCTGGATGCTCTGATGAAGTATCTCTCCCATCCCAACGTCAGTATCTTTGAGCTCGCGGACCGCGAATACTGTCAATGCGATCTATCGAAACCGCTGGAACAGCGAATGCATCGCACTGGCGCCGATCCCACCCTACAACGCTGGGAATGGCCCATGAGCGTGGTTGGCTACGCCATCGTTGTTTTCGCGTCGGCATCTCCGTCAAGGTTGCGCTCCATACAGTCAAGCAGACATCCCACTTGGCCTTCGTCGACCGCTCAGCTCATACCTTACGGGCTCCAAGCCACTCTCGATTCTTTGATCGGAAAGATCGATGCCTACATCCCGTCAGTGTGCTGTGCCATTCACGGCATCACGGTCGCCTTCGGCCGGCCCAAAATGACGAGGATGTTGGTGGACCACGTCAGCCTTCCCATGTTGCTGCACAACTTCCTATCGTACTGGGAAACCTCTGCGAGTCGAAACCCGTTGAACAACTACTGGACACAGGCGCGTGTGATCCGCGACGTCGCGAACGCGACGCATACGACGCTGAGGCTCATGGTGGACCTGTTTTCGTCGCCTCCCGACGCGCTGCGGAGGTTTGTGGAGCGCTCGGGCGCACCCCACGACAACTTTGTGGTCCTCATGTCCAGCCTAGTGCACTTCGGGACGCGCGCAAAGGCCATCGCCCCCGACAACGTCGGTGACAGCCCATCGCCTACGGAACGCATCATGTACGCGCAGTTGGACGCCGTCCTCTCCGCATATCGGTCGATGGGCGCCACTCTACATTCGATCCTCGAACTCCCGGTGTACCACAGCGAGCGGTATCACCCATCGATGCAGCAACCGCCCATCCCGCCGCGCTGGATCTCGCTCTCCAGCCGGCTTCACGCGATTCAGAGCCAGGCGGAGGAGAATCCGAGCTGCTTCGGGCCGCAATGCGAGGAGACGGAGACGACGGCCATGCGCAAGTTCTACTTGTGCGGCGGATGCGAACACATGACGTACTGTTCGAAGGAGTGTCAACGCCGCGCATGGAAACACGAGCGAGAACCTCACAAGTGTGTTAGATTCCCCAGTCTGTATCCATCTTTGTCCTCCGTGATCGGTTACCTCTCGTGCAGGCCCATATGCAAACTCATACGACAGATCGAAGCTAAGGGCATCTCTGCTCCGGTTTGGGCGGAGCGCAACTTCATGCGCGGCATATCCTCCGTGTACTCGGATTTACTCAGACTATCGGAACATATCGACCAGCTCGCTTGAGCCGATTTGCAAATGTACCACTAGCGAGGGGACATCGTACGGTGCTTATATCAACAGCCTGTCACTCGGATGGGTCTGTGAACCCAGCGAAAAAATAGTATCCATCCTGTGTGCACAACATGACAAGGCGCGGGCGCGTCTACATAGAATGATCGTGAGCTGCGTAAACGCTGACGACGACCTCTGGAAGAAGACGTCGCCGGGACCATCCGCGCCGTATAAATATAGAATGTTGGTTTGTTCGTGAATCGCATCTTCCTCCCGAGTTCGTCTTCCGCCATCCATCGTCTCCCCATCCACTCTGGCAACCCCCTCCTCCGAACTTCCCGGGGTCCAGCTTCAACAACCGGAGACCGGGTCCCTGCATCGTCACGCGCTGACGACGAACCCGCCCTCTCTCTCGTCGAGCGCTTCTTCCTCGCGCTCGGTCCAGATCCAATCGATCGCGCCAAGCCAGTTCGTCGTCGAGCTGGCCGTGCCGTCCGCGGCGACGGCACCGATTTCCACCAGGTTCAGCGGCGCGGCGTCTGTGCATCACGATACAACGCGCGCATCAGTACAACTTCTTATTGCAAGTGTTCGAGGCGAGGGAGACGACGTTTTTCACCTTTGTCAAGACCCGAGTTGAGGTGCAAGGTCGCGTGGAAGTCGAGGTGAGGGTGGGACGCGCGCGCGGCGAGCCGATGCGTGAGGAGGTGCGCGGCTAGGACGAAGAGGGTGAGGAGAGGGAGGAAGAGCGTGCGCAGGCCGAAGGTCTTGCTGCTCGGGCCGAGCGCGAAACGGGGCCGGTTCGGGCGGAGGGAGAGATAGGTTAGAGGAGAGGTCGGTGGTGAGGGAAGCTGTGGGAGATCATGTCGAGCGTCAGCGTCGAATTGGGATACATGTGGGGAATGCGGGGGGCCCAACCTGGAAATTTTCGAGCGTCGGCGAGTGGGTTTTGGCGAAGGTGACGACGCGCTCGCGCAGGGAGGGCTGCTTCTCCGGCGCGAGGAAGGCGATTCTGAGACACGGCGCTGGTCAGCGTACATCTTCAAGATGATTATGTGGGAGAGTTATGTGCGCGTTGTAGTATGAATATCACGCTCACCCAAAGTCGTGCTCGTGCGTGGGCGAAGAGGGCGTAACGATGATTGCCGGCAACGGGTGCTTCTCCGACGCTTCGGGCAGCGAGAGATCTACGAATGTGTATGTGCATATATGCATGCGATATGGCTATGCAAAAGGCGTACCGAGCGGCGCAGGGATAAGGGCGTAGTCGAGACGCTGGGGGAGGCGGTGCGCACGCGGACCTGAACGTGAACGAAGTGAGTGATTAAACCCAATTGGAGTTGTGAGACATGGAACATAAATGGCTAGAGTAAGGAGGTAGGGCGACCGTACCTCTGGGCATAGCTAGCTAAGAATAAAAGGCGGGGTATGTATGTATAGACGAAGGCGACGACGAAAATTCCGGAATCAGATGCAAAGTGTGATTTGCGACGAGCTAGAAGCGGACAAGGCTAAAGCTGCTCGACGGCGGAGATTGTTTAAAAACGAGTGTGTGTTGCGAAAGAGTGTAAGGCGCCGTGGAGGCTGACAGCAAGAGCAAGAGCAAGGAGCAGGGGCAGGTGGTCGGCGGCGAGGAGGAGGAACAAGGGACCGAGCTCGCTGGCTGGGGTCGCCAGGGAAATCAGCGCGAGCGGGCCAGGCCCGGCGCTTATATCCATCACCCAACCTCCGGAGACCACGCACTTTTATTTCCCTGCAATTTCCCAGCGCTCTTCTCTTTCTCAGATCTCCATCGCCAGACCTCCGTGCTCGCCATCGCCGACGGCGACGAGCTCAAATCGCGAGAAAAATGCAAGCCCTACGACCGTCGCCGACGTTGCACTACTCGACGCGCCCGCTCGCGACCGCTGCGCTCCCATCGGAGGCGTACGTGCTCGCCCTCGCACGCACATCGACGCACTACGCTGCAGCCGCCTCGGCGCCCTCGGATGCGATCCATCTCTTCGACCGCACGTCTCTACGCGGCGTCGGCACCTTCCCGGGACACCCTGGCGGGCTCACCGCCCTGAAATCACTCGAAAACCTTGGCGGGAGCACGGCGCCGCTGCTCGCATCCGCTGGGCGCGACGGCGTGGTGCGAACATGGGACGCGCGCACCGGTTTTCAAAAGCCTTTACTCGAAAGTACGTTTCCTGCCGTGCGCTCCGTTCCCGGTGTATCGTCGTTGACCGCTCAATGAAGACGTTCTGTGATCGAATACAGTGTCCGTGCCGCCGACGGGCAAACGCCGCGCGGTCCTCTCTTTCGACGTCTCCACCGACGGCGCGCTGCTCGCCATGGGCTCGGACATCCCCGCGCCGGGCGACGACGCGCTCCTGCTCTTCTTTGACCCCCGTGCGCCGGGCGCGCCGCTCCGCACGCACGCGTCGACGCATTCGGACGACGTCACCGCCGTTCACTTCCTTCCGCCGCACCTGCGCGCGGCGCACGCCGGGAGCGGGAGCCGGTATGAGGGCGTGGCGCGCGTTGTGTTGAGCGCGGGCAGCGACGGGTTGGTGTGCACGAGCGACGCGGAGCAGGCGGACGAGGACGAGGCTGGTGTCGCGGTGGGGAACTGGGGGTGCAGCGTCGCACGGTGCGGGTGGGTGCCTGTGCGGAGCACGTTCGGCGCCGGTGCGCGAGTTTGGGCGGCGAGCGACATGGAGACGTTCAGCATCTGGACGGACGAGGTGTGATCACATTCGTGCATTTGTCGGAATTCGCACTTCGGGCTGACGATCAATGTTCAAAGCTCGATCAGCTGTATAACGCTGACATCCGCGAGCCTTCTCTGCACGAGGCTGGGCGGACATGGGTAACCGACTACCTCATCGGCTGCTACACGCCTTCCTTGCCCACTTCAGACCCTTTGCAAGTGTTCGTCGGGTCCAATGAGTATGTAACCTTTACCTTCTGTACGCATTATCCCTGATCTCATCACCGCTCTCCCCTCAGAGGCGATTTCGCCCTCCTTTCACCATCATCGCCATCGCAAGACCCCTCGAGTTCGAGTTCTGGCTCAAACACCCCCTTCTCATGGACGCTTCAAGGCCTCTTCACCAACGCTCACGCCGGCGTCGTCCGCAGTGTCTTATATGACGACCAGGTGCGTCCCCTATCCGTCTTACTCCAACGCGTCCATGAACGAAAGTTATCTCGTCGTAAACGTATCCCCAGAACAACGTGGTCATCTCGGGTGGCGAAGACGGCAAACTGAACGCGTGGTCTTGCCCACCCGGCCTCTTCTCCTCGGCCTCTCCCGAAGAGGCTTCGGTTCTCGACCACTTGGCGCCATCGCGAAATGACGATGCGGGCGCTGAGATGGACACGAGTATGGACGTGGACATGGACATGGCTGACGTTGCGGCGCCGATATCGGCACCGAGGATGGTGTCTTCTCCTTCGTCTGGGAGGAAAAGGGAGTACGAGGATCCCACCGATGTACGTGCACATCTTCCTATGCACGTATATGCACATATACTCACATGTTGGATGCAGGGTATGTCAAAGAAGGCGAGGCGATGAACCGAACTACACCAAGGTCACAAAAGGCGCGAAACAACGGTGGCCGGTCGCACGTGGGATCATATTCCGGTTCGTCTGGATGCGCAGGAGAAGGTCTGCCACACGATCGGGCCCTCCGTGAAGGCGACGGGAAAGGTGCCAAAGGTGTTGATTGCCATTCCCCTCGCGAAAAAAAAAAATGGGAAAAGCGGGGCGGTGACGGCTCCAGCGTCCGCTTCAGTGTGCTCGGTTATAACGAACAGTGCTTACCAGACCAGGAAACAGTGCAGTGTTGTATCAATAGTGGGCTTGCCCGACGATGCTTTATCTAACAATGTATCCATCCGACCAAAGGCGAAGTGTATAATGTTTTCCTTGACGGTTTCAACGCAAAAGACAGCGCGTCGATGAGCGACGAGTTCGAAACATATGGGTGCTATAAGGATTTATATGCATATATTCATTCGCATATATCCATACGCAACACGTCCCAGCACGAACATCGCTTGTTTGAGCGGTTGCAAGCCAGCATGCCGTCGCTTTCGACGACGGTCAGTTCCTTTGCTCTTCATGCAGTGAGTTGGTCGATGTGATCGGCTAGAGTCATCAACGCCCGGTACAGCTCGGGAGCAGCGCCTGCAAGGCTAGCTGCCATGATGTTGTCGCCCTTCCATACTGGAGCACGAACACCACTAGCTTCCAGGTCTTGAATGAGCTTACATATGGGCCTGGTCGTATGGGATAGTGATCAGGGCTCTGAGGGACACAACTGCATATATGGGCTCACTTGTGCGGCGCTCGCTGGTCTTTCCATGCCCGTCTTTGACACTCCTTCGAACAGTACGTCATATGTCCGCACCCGCCGCATACGTGAAGTTTACGCCCGGCTGTCGCCTCGGTCTCTGAACACGCGGGCCCGAAACATCTCGGGTTATCCGCAGCTTGGCGGGCGGTCACCTCCAAACGGCTGAGGAGCGGCACCCACGCCGGTGAAGCGCTCGAAAGTCGTAGGATCCTCGGGTGATATTTCTTGTCGTCCTGCGGGAGATTTAGCGCCGCGTGTAGGACGGCGCCCGTGGACGCGTAAGAGTAGATGACGCTGTCCAACATTTCGTACACCATCATGTCTGTAGGAGACCCCCGACGCAAGAGGTCCTTGGGTACGGCCGCCTGGATCCGTAGCCAAAGGATCAGCAGTCGGGACCATTGGACGACGAACTTATCTAGGGGGGCTCCTGCGCGTTCCGCGAATCTTCGCAGTGCATCTGCGGGCGAGCCGAAGATATCCGCGACGAGCTCCAAGGTCTTGAGCACGGCGGTCGCTGCGGTGTTGATGGTGCTGTGGACAGCCGGGTAATTGTCCAATGGTATCTGAGCGGTGAAGTCTTCCCAGATGGAAAGGTAGTTGTAGAGTGCTGTGGGCAAACGGGGGTGGTTCACCAACATCTTCATCACTGTACATCTACCGAAGACGACTCCGATGTTGTGCAGTATATGAAAGGACGACGGGACACAGTTATGGACCAACTCGACCAAAGAGTCTAGAGTAGCCTGGAGCCCATAAGGTACGAAATCCGACGTCGCCGACGGCCAAGGCGGATGACTGTCAGAATGGAATTGAGAGCGAAGCGATGGGGGAGTCGAAATGTAGATCTTCATGGCAGATGCCACCATCGTAGCGATAAAATCCCACAATTCCGTTGAGACATCGACGCTCACGCGGTGCATCCGATTCTCGAGCGGAAGTGAGAGATCGCACCGACATCGTTTTGTTTCCTCAATTCTCGAGCGGAAGTCGGCACCCGGGACACATAGAAATTTCATCAGGGTATCAAGGAGCGCACGATGACGGCGAGACCATTGCTTCTTCGACTTCAGGTCATAATGGCGAATGGCGTCAAAACACGCAGCATAGAATCGGTGACAATGCCGTGGTTGAGAAGGATCATGAAGCGAGCGCACGAGAACGCTGTCTACTTCGTCTATGGTCGGCGGTGTACTGTACGTTAAAAGCTGTCAGCATCAGAACAGCATAGCTGGCAAGCCGATCCAGGCTTACATATTTGGATTCGAGGCCATATAAGAACGGGAAGAACGGTCGAGCCCGATAGTAGGGAAAGGAAAACAATTGCTTGCCGTTCTCTCACTTGAAGCCTTCGATCAGGTTAGATGGATGTAGTGTCCGGGAATGAAAGCTGCCTTTTTCTCACAGCCCTGAGTTCCGACCTCGCCCGGCGAAGTCCGAGACACCCACGTGGCGGCGTTCAATAGCGCCGAGCGGGGTCGTTTTGTGATTCTGAAGTGCCTCCCCCTGAACCTCAACCTTGCGATGCTTCCTCAGCACAGTTTGACCTCTCGGAAACATACCCCGCAAGCCTGTCAACAACGCAATTGCGTATCCAAGAGAGCTGCCAAAAAGGAAAGACAGTCGTTATCAACTGAACTTAGCTTCGGCATCGCTCAAGTCTAAGGTGGCTGAGCTGAAGCACGCGGGTTGCGATGAATGTGATGATTTTATATCATGATATATATTCAGCCACATATGTTCGTAGATCTACTTGCGCACAGTACCTTGACACAAACATTACTTGTCTGAGCGGTAGCCAGCCAGCGTGCCGATTTTCTACGACAGTCGGTTCCTCTGCTCTTCAAGTTCATGTATTGAGTTTGTCGATGTGGTCCGCTAAAGTCATCAACACGGGGTATAGCTCGGGTGCAGCGCCTCCAAAGCTAACCGGCATAATGTTATCACTCGACCATACCGGAGCGCGAACACCTCTAGCCTCCACGTGTCGGATGAGCATACATATGGGCCTATTAAACAGGATTAATGTAAAGGACTCTGAGAGATACGACCATTCATGTGGACCTACTTGTGAGAAGCTCGCTGATCTTTCCACGCACGCCTTTGACACTCCTTCGAACAGTACTTCATATGCCCGCATCCCCCACACACATGAAACTTGCGCCCGGCTGTCGCCTCCGTCTCTACGCAACCTGGCCCAAAACATCTCGGGTTATCCGCAGCTTGGCGCGCGGTCACTTCTAAACGGTTGTACAGCGGATTCCATGTGGGCAAGGCTTCTGATAGTTGTAGGATCCTCGGATCATAATATATCTCGTCCCGCGGGAGCTTGAGCACCGCGTGTAACACGGCACCGGCGCCCGCGTAGGTGCAGATGACACTGTATAGCATGCTGTTTAGAAGCACCTCTGCGGGACGGTTCTGGAGCAGGAGGTCCTTGGGTATGATCGCCTGAGCGCGCCGCCAAAGGGTTAGAAGACTTGACCACAGAACGACGAACTGATCTCGGGGAGCTCCCGCGCGAGCCATGAATCTTCTCAGTGCGTCTGCAGGAGATCCGCAGAGATCCGCGATGAATTCCATGGTCTTCACTGCGCCGGTCGCTGCGGCAGTGATGCGAGTTTGTACGGCCGAGTAATCGTCCAAGGGTATCTGGGCGGTGAAGTACTCCCAAATAGATAGGTAGTAGTAGAGCGCTGTAGGCAAATCGGGGTGGTCGACCAAGATCTTCATCACTGTGGATCTGCCGAAGGCCACTCCAATGGCATAGAGGATATGAAAGGCCGACGGGATACCATGACGAACCAAATCGATCATAGAATCCAAGGAAGCCTGAAGCCCATAGGGTACGAGATCCGATGTTGATGAGGGCCAAGGCGGGCGGCTTTTGGACTGTAACTTCAAACGAAGCGATGGAGGAGTAGAGACGTAGAGCTTGGTGGCGGACGATACCATCGTAGTCATAAGGTCCCATAATTCCGTGGAGGCATCGACGCTCGCGCGGTGCATCCTATCTTCGAGCGGAAGCGACAGGTCGCATCGACATTGTTTAATCTGCTTAATGCGAAAGCAGAAGTTGGCACCCGGCGCACAGATAAATTTCATCACAGTGTCAAGGAGAGCACGGTGGCGGCCTGACCACTGCTTCCTCGACCCCCGCGAGTCCCAATGGCGTATGGTGTCAAAAGATGCAGCATAGAATCGTTCACAATGGCGTGGTTGAGAAGGATCCTGAAGCGAGCGCACGAGAGCGCTGTCTATCTCGCCTATGATTGTCGATGTACTGCGAACCACAGCTATTAGCACTGATAGTAGGTAGTAAAGCAGTATGGCGGCAGATGAATCCTGTCTGGGGCTTACATATTCGGATCCGAGGTCATTTGAAGGCAGGAACTGAGACCGAGCTCGAGGGTGATAGCGACAGGAAGACAAAGACATTTCCGTGCCGTCTTATAGACTCGAGGCCTTCGTTACGTCGGTAAACATAGTGTGGCTGCGGCCAGGAATGCGAGTGGCATTGTTCTCGCCGGAGGTAGGTGTATTGTGGCGAAGGGAACAAGCCTGGTTGCCGCGCCGTCAAGTCCGAGACAACAACATGACGGCGCTGGCGTTCATAGCGAAGTAGCAGGTTATCCTGCATCCCGACGACCACACCCTTGCGACGCTCCCCGACAGCTCTCTGCATAGACTGTGGAGACCTCGGAACAACGCAATATATCGCGATCCACGATAAACTATACATCCAAGAGGACTGCCGAAAACGGACGACAATCCCGTTTATCAACTACACCACGGTCATTCGCTTCGTACGTGTCTCTGTTAATCGTTTTGTAGCTTGTTATACAACGGAACTCTTCAGAGACTATATGGACTACCACCGCGAACTCCGAACTCGTCGTGGATCCCGTACATCAATCCCTCGATTACCCGTTCGAGCGCGTGAGCCCTCAGGCTCCATGCTCGTCTCAGAACCCTCGTTCTCTCCGACGGGGAGGCAAGGCCCCTCCACTTTACCCAAGTCTAGCAAAACGGGGTCAAACAAACGACCCCGACCCTTCCCCGAGTCCGATCAACCTCGCGTCAATCGTCGTCGCGTTAATGACGAACCACGTACAAAGCGGACGAACCGCTGCCAACGCGCCTTAGACCAGCTGCAAATAATGCACGAACATAAGCAAGACGTACTTGCGCTTGTTCAAGAGGTGATGCAAGGCATACATCGGGTGCAGGTCAGGTTCGCCGACCTTCTGAAGGAAGGAGTTCGACGGGCGGGCGATTGTCCACCGGAGGGCTCTACCAGGCGTAAAGAGAGTCGCGAGGCCGCGGTGTGAGTTTGTATGTCGTGTTTTCCTCGTCACCGCCTCATCATGTTAAGTCGTAGTGCTATCAATGAGGGGAAACGTGCACCGTCACCCCTCCAGCAGGGACAGGAATCGACAAGAAAGGGTTCGGCACTCCGGCCTCAGGCTGAGACCCATGCCGCGACGTCGTTGCCACCTAGCCACGTACAGAAAGCACCCGAAGACTACTCAAAGGAAGAGCTCGCAGCTCTATACCGCGCCAAGCTCAACGCCCCTCCCATACTCTGCACGTGTCAACCAACTGCCTCACAGCAGCAGAGCGTCGGCCAGACGACCTTCTCACGTCCTAGACCCCGGATTGGTGTGGATGCGCAGGGGTATGCCTTCGAGGATTGGACTGCTTGCCCGCGTCCGCGCAGAGCGCGACGGTCTCTTTTGCTTAAGGAGAAGATGCTCGCTACTCAGTTGTGGACGAACGTCAACAGCGAAGTGGAAGATGATGCGCACGTCTTCCCGGTGCCTCTTTGTCCTCGACCTCCTAGAATGTTCTCGGCACAATTCATGCTCCAGTTTAGGCACATCCCCAGTGCGGTTTCTGACATGTTGGAACACTGGCATATCGAACGAGGACGGTGCTTGATGTGTGTGGCGAGGGCGATGCGTACGTTTCCTCTGTGGATCATTTCATGGAACGCCTTCAGTAGGACGGTGGAAGATGGTAATCCTGTCTTTGCGAACCCCGGACGCGATGAATTGGTGGAATGGGATGAAGCACGGAAGCAGTGGCGACATCTCGTTCTCGACCATTGGCAATGGATACCCCTCGAAGAGCTGGAGGAGAGGCCCAGCGATAGCGGCGCTGATCCCAAGATTGCCAATGGATGGTCTGGGCATCCCGTACCAAATTCATGCAACGTCTCGTATTGGCGCATTGTAGATACATAACAATGCCAAGTCCGAAACCGTGGGAACACGCTCGCTTGGTTGCGGCCATAGCGACGGAGCAGCGATCCCGCTCTCAACGTCCGCATCCTCCCCATTTGTTATCTTTAGATCAGAGTGGCGATGTTCAGCTGGGTAATACAGTACCATCTGACGCGCTAGGCATCCTACCTTCACTAACACGCATAAGAGCAACGCCGTCGTGGCCTTGTCGCTTACAATTGCACCACCAATCCTTGTGGCCTTGTCTCGGTGGCCAATGTCACGACAGCGAGTACTGGATGGCGATGCAACTTCTAGGATCGCTATTGTTTGACAAGGCCAACGATGCTACCGTGGCCTTGGACAAAGCAACGTTGTAAATGCATAAAAGCGGGCGCTTTGGACTCGTTGGGACCGTCAAGACGTCGACATAACCGCTCCCATGGCACCCCGCTCTCATCCCTCCCTGTCCGATCCCGTTGTGTTCGCTCGACTCGCGTCGCAAAGATATGAATTGCGCAAACGCAACTGGGCTTTTTTGCAGGCTCCGTCCAAGTCTAGTCCACACGTCCTCTTCGGTAACTCCTCCAATGTGTGGGGCATCCGCTACGTTGCTCCTGGTCAACTTCAGGCCGAGGTCAAGATTGAAGGTCAGTTGTGTTCTTATATGCCGCGTGCTCCAGTACTCATCGACTATGTTAAGACTCACCGGCTGCATCCGCCAGCGACAATGATCCGGCACTCGTAGCTATAGTCTCGCGCGTCGACGGTGACCCTGAACAAGCACCGGTGGCTCAAATCCGGATGCGATACAAGACCTCCACTGTCCCGATTCATGTACGCTTATCCTTTGCATTTCACTCGTCACGGTCAGCACCGCTCACCATCCGATAGGTGGACGGAGTGTTATTGAGATTCGGACAAACCTACGCACTCTCGTCAAATGCTACTGTTCGTATCGATGACATGAGTACGTAACCGTTCGTACGTGGCACACTCTCCATTGCTGATAAGTTTCTAGACTATATATTCAGGGTCTTGACGGATCTCTCAAGCACCCCTTACCGCACGGATCAGTATGAGATCAGCGAGAAACCTTTCCTTGTGAAACAACAGCTGAGTGAGTGTGCATGCCCAGAGCTCCGTCCCTGATCACCGACGCCATCTTCAGAAATTGTCCAGGCAGCTGTATCCCATGCAGTTCACCTCAAGACTGGTCATGCTGTGGTTGCCAAAACCACCACCGTACCGAAGGCGAAATTGAGCCGCGTCGCATCCCATATCAGGATGCTCGAAGGGTTGAATCACAAGAACGTCACGCCTCTGTATGATTTGTTCATGGAGCCCGTGCATGGCAAAGAGCCCATGCGAGAAATTTGTGGGTAATTCGTGAGGATTGCTGAACTCTGCGTTGACCTTGGTTTGCCACAGGTACGGTCACGCCTCTTGCAGCGTATGGCAACCTTTACGACTTCCAACGCCTTGGTGAGCCACAACCGGTAGTATGATCATATGCCGAGGCCCTAATATGGTACCCATTTGTAGGCGAAACGCAAGCCCGTCACGTCGTAGCTCAGGTCATGGATGGAGTGATGGTATAACAACACTGCCCTCTATATGATTCTAGGCTGACAGTGATCGTAGTATCTTCATGATCAGGGTATCGTCCATGGAAATCTAGTGCCACAGGTCCGTCCCATCTGGTCGTATCAACTATCTTCCTTCCTTTTAACACGAAGCTTCATCGTAGAATATCCTCGTGTACGATGTGAGCCAGTGCGGCATTCCCACGATCAAGATCAACGGATTCAGCCTCGCGGAACAGTCTGGTGGAGAAGTCAACAGTGCACGTCGATCAATGGTCATGAGTGCCAAATGGGCCCCACCAGAGATGATAGAGCGTAAATATACGCAACTTGGCGATACTTTCAGCGTGGGGGCTTTGATGTTCTTCATGTGAGTGATTACTATACAGTCAATAGCCCTTTTTCTAATCGATTGTGCAGAATCTGGGGCAAACCATTGTTCGACATCGAGGATGACTCGGGATCCGAGTCGGATTGTGAAGAGACGGACTCCGAGGGAGCGGATTCTGAAGAGGAGGAAAACATGACCTTCGAAGAGCAGATGCTCATGAGGAAGTCCAACATCACTAAGAAGCGGAAGAGCGTAATGACCTTGGAAGGTGCGCCGCCAATTAACGTATTCGAACAGCAGCTGAAAGCACTCTGATCTGCAGCGTGCGACCTCCTCGACGGTCTGACGAAGGCTGCCATGGACAAACGAACGAGCTTGCGAGATGCCAGATGCCATGACTGGTTGGACGGACGACGAGTTCCAGCTCCTTTTTCGAAGCACTACCTTCACGACGATCCTCTGGTCAAGACCTACATCGAATTTGGGTGGCAACAGCCCTCGCGTCCTTTCAGAGCCGGTATCTTGAATAGCTGCTATTCGAACCAGGATTTGCTATCAGACACCAAATCCAACGCATCGTCCGACTCTGAAGACTACGGGCCACACCTAGGGGTCGAATGGCGTCCGCACGTCCCTCCGGACTCGTGGATCCTCACGGACGGCAGCGCTGAATGGGATGATGGTAGCTCTCCGATTGCTACCATCTACGCTGTGCCTTTGTCTGGTGTCCCCATGGATGTTGCTCCGTCGCCCGTCTCGGATGATCTGGTCCTTGAATCCGATGAGGACGACGACGATTCGAACACCGTGATTGCAGACGACAGCGATGAGATGGACCTTTACCTCCCAGGAAAAGACGAAGAGGGCAGCGACGCCGGCCGTGCCTCGATTCCTCGTCGCCCGTCTCGCAAATCCGCGCACGTTCGCCGCAATCCCAAAGCTAAGCGCTCCGAATCGGTGACAGATCGTCAAGTGCTCCTGCGAGCGTCGGCCAAGCGGACGTCGCTCAAGGCCAAGGCAGCCGAACTCAAGCACCTGCGGGCGGAGATGCCGAACGTCTTGAACATGATGGTCAATATGCAGAACGCAGTTGACAATCTGTGTGCGACTGCGAATGGCATTATGGTGGCCCTGGACGCTCAGCAGGGCGCATCGTCAGCCTACCGGCTACGCAAAGCCAAATAATGTTCGCGGGGTGACGACGAAGTATGTTCATGGACAATTCTCTTCGCACATTCCATCTCCCATGCTCCACCACGCGCTAATGTTGGTCAGGGTAACTAATTTTCATACCCGTACCATCGGTCTGTCTCGTAACTATGCTAATATGCCATGTACCCTATGATCTATATATGCCATTATCCTCAATCACCAGTGACGAATGTCTGAGGAAGAACCAATGGGTCGCCGTCCACTCAATGTGCTTCTCTTTAATCGCTTTGCTCGTCTGAGTCCTGATCACTCCAAGTCAATCTTGTCCGTGACGTTCACCTACTAACGCGGACGAGTGTAGGCAGATCTATTCGGGACTGATAATCGTCGTAGGCATACATATGAGGGAACGGATACAGCCGGAAAGAGATCGGTAGCGGTAGCAATACAGTACACGGATTCATCACACAACAAGAAACACGGATACGACATGGCATCTGACCATGTGGTGAATACAGGTTATGCCTCGAAAGATACGACCGGCATTCTGCCCTGAAGAGGGTAGTAGACAACATTTGCTCATACGAGGCGCAGGAATTCTTCCGGCTCCGGCGGTATCGCATGAAAGCCGAGTCGCGTAGGCCGCGCGGGCATGCGCGCCTCCTCTGGCGATTCCAGGATCGCGAGGTGGTTCACGAGCGTCTCCATCACCGCCGGCATGTTCACGCCTTGAAGCGCAGGGCTCCTTCCCGCGCCGTGCGCCCAGACGAGGCACTCCAACCCGCGCTCGCGGAGGAGCGCGAGAAGTCTACAGATCGGCTTGTGCGGCGCGACGGCGTCGGCCCACGCCGCGCGCTGGCATTCAGGCGAGCAGTACTTCATGTGCTCGCACCCGCCGCAGACGGAGAAGCGGCGCATCGCGACCGCCTCCGTCCACGGGCACCCGCGCGCAAAGCAACGCGCGTTCTGCCCGTACTGACGCGTCGCGCCGTCGAGGGACGCGACGATTGGCATGTACGAGTTCTCCGCGACCCGGGCGATTGCTGGGGATATCGTGGGCCCGGGCATCGCGGACGTGGACTGCCGAAGGTGGAGCACGCCCCCGATGACGGGTGCGCGGTCGAGGATGTCGAGGAGGTAGGTGTATGAGTTTGGCTTGTGCGGCGTGTTGAAGCGTCGGACGAAGCCGGGCGGGAGGCTGTCGCGCGTGGCGGTGGCCCAGTCGAGGATGCGCGACCATTGAGTGACGAATGCGTCACTCGGTTGATCGGCGCGGAGAAGGAAGGTAATCAGGTCAAGCGGTGGGGAGGATATTAGGTCCATGAAGTATTGGGAGGTGAGGTCGAGGGCGAAGATGGTACTGTACGGCTTGTCCAGGTTACGCAGCTTTCGGGGGTCATGCTGCCATGCTGCGTCTGCGTAATAAACAAGAAGAGCATATAGGGACGAAGGTAGTGTTTCGTGCTTGAGCAGGATCTGCAGCGCGGCCGTCCGCCCGAAGACGGCGACTATGGAACGCAGTATGGTCAGGACCGACGATATCCGCAGCTCTACCAGATTGGCGAGGGCATTGATGGTGGCTTCGAGGCCATAGGGTGCCACGTCATCCGTGCTAGCGGGCCAGGTGAGACGTCGTTGCGATTTTTTCAGCTTGGAGCGAACGCTATGGTCCGTCCCGATGAAGTGCTCGACTGCCGATCCGATGAAGTCGCACATGAGGTGCCAGCAGTCCTTGACTCCGGGTCGTGAGGCCGTCTGCGAGCTCGATTTGTGCAGTGTTTTGACGAACGGCTGCGAAAGGTCACAATGACAAGTCTTGAGCGATTCTGCGACGGCATGCAGTTCGGCAGAGGATCGGGGGTACGAGAGGAACCTCATCATGGTGTCGAAAGCGTCCGGGAACCTCCCCGGGAATTTTGACCTCGATATTTCAAGTTTGCCGGTGTGCACCTCGTCCAGCATATCGAGAAGACATGTTTCGTAAAACGAGGCACAATGTCTTGGATGAGAGGGGTCTTCGAGGGATTGAACGAATGCGGTTTCGACTCTGTCTATGCGTTTTGTCGGCCTGTAAAGGTGGCCCGATGATGAGTACTCAGGACGCTTTTGCAGAGGTTCATGGCAGGTTTAACTCACCGCTGTGGTTCAGTCGTCTGCGGACCTGAGTGACCCGCCCGAACCAAAGCTCGCTCTTCTGCCATCTTGCGGTACAAGGAACCGAGGACAGCTTCAATATTGAACCGAAGTTGCTGTATAGTCGATGATGACCGTCAGAGGCCGCGATCTTTATTGGACTCGAGCGAATTGCGACGTACCTTGTTGATACAGGGGTGGTCTCGTCTCTATCACCGAACGAACTGGCTGGATCCTGACCTGCAAGAGAGCAGTCGACAACTAGTCAAGCAGATACGTCCAGATAACGCTGCATAAGAGCAGTTCATGCTGGGCGGCAGCCACAGCCTGCGTGAGGCGGTGGGTGAGACCGAAGTAAACGCTGTGCAAACGTCGTGTATATAGAGCGTTCTCTCTTGTGCTTTGCCATGACCTTGCTCTACGAAGTTTCATCTCAATGCATAGCTCACAGTCTACGGAATGAAGCTATACAACATCGATAGCGCGCATGAGACAGAACTCGAGATAGCTCTCAAGACAGCTCGCGATCGAACTGAGCTTGGGCAAAGCCGTGGCAGACGGAGTTCGAACACGGCGCATTCGCGTGGAGGGGTTAAGCCTCGTCTTCGACTCAAGCATGTCCATCAAGCAGTCAGTTGGTAGATGTGATCGGCCAGAGCTTGAAACACCGGAAGCAGCTCGGGGACAGAGTCACTTGCTGGCATGATGTTATCCGCTGCCCATACGGGGGAAGCAATCCCTCGAGCTTGCAGCTCTTGTATCAGTTTGCACATCGGTCTAGGATACCACGGGTATGGAGGTGAGAGGCTCGAATCTTTGTATGGAGTGGAGACGTACTTGTGAGGTGCTCTTTGATCTTTCCATGCCCGTCTCTGACACTCCTTCGAACAGTACTTCATATGGTTGCACCCCCCACACACGTGGAATTTGCGCGCAGCCGTAGCCTCCGTCGCTGTGCACGCCGGCCCGAAGCATCTCGAACTTCCCGCATCTTGGCGCGCGGTCGCGTCCAGACGGGCGATGATGGGCATCCAGCTCGTCGACTTGCTCATGCTTAGGATCGCCGCGTGATACCGGCGTTTGTCCCGAGGGAGTTCAAGCGCCGAATGCAGGATGGCGCCCAGCGAGCTGTATGCGGAGAGGAGGTCATCCAGCATCTCGCCGAGCGGCGTCCCGCCAGGGTATTTTCGAAGGAGCGCTTCGGTGGGCATAGAGGCCTGGGCGCGCAACCAGAAATCCAGCAGTTGGGACCACTGCACTAGAAACTTATCGACAGGAGGGCCCGCGCGCTCTGCAAACTTCCGCAGTGCGTGTGGAGGGGCACTGAACACATCCATGACGAACATAAAGGATTTGTGTATGGCGTTCACTGAGGAAACGACGATCTGCTCCACTGCGTAGCTGTCCGGGATGACGTTGGCAGTGACGCCTTGCCAGATAGAGAAGTAGTGGGATAGAGTTGAGGGAAAACGAGGATGGTTGATCAACATGGCCGTTACTGTGGCATTGCCGAAGATAGCCCCGAAGACGCGGATGATGAGAAAGGACGACGAAACGCGGTTATGAATCATCACAATCAAGGAGTCCAAAGTGGCCTCGAGACCATAGGGTATAATATCTGATGGTGATGATGGCCACGGGGGGTGTTCATCGGATTGAAAATGTGAGCGCCCGGAGGGCGAATTCGCAGTCGTCCAATACGTGTTCATGGCGTACGCAACGATCTCCGCCATGAAATCCCATAACTCCGTAGTGCCAAGCACCAGAACGCGGTGCATCCTTGCTTCGAGAGGAAGCGAGAGGTCACACCGACAGTCGGCCGTGTACGCGTTGCGAAGTTCGAAGTCGACTCGCGGGGCGCAAAGAAATCTCATCAGAGTATCGAGGAGCATGCGGTGACGCCGCGGCCATTGCTTTTTCGATAGTCTACCATTGTGTGGGCTGATGGCGTTGAGACAGGCAAAATAGAACAGTTGACAATGTTGCGGGTGTGCCGGGTCCTGGAGCGAGCGTATGAGAGTGCTGTCGATTTCAGCGATTAGCGACGGCGTGCTATGAAGGCGAGGTAGGGTATTCGTGAGCAACGCAGAGCCCAAATGTGATACTCAGGGCCCATCTTGCTCACATGTTTAGTTCCGAGGCCATCCGTAAGACATTGGGCAAGAGATCTAGAATGCGGAACGGTCGATGTTCTTCGACAAATTGCTACTAAGCTTAATTGCGACCACCAACGACCCCGTAGTTTTCGCACGCCCGTGTACGGGGGTGTCGTCGCCTGGTACTTATGGCAGGTTAAATGGGATACTCATGACGATGCAGCTCGACTTCAAGTCTTGTTACATGTTACATGAGACGAAGCTACCGCATTCACAAAACTACCACGCTCCGGTACACGCGCGTCTTAAATATATTTCCACCCTTACCCCCAACAACGTAGAGCTCGTGTGCTCGTCATGCAGCAAGCTGATCGATGTGATCTGCCAGAGCTTGGAATACTGGATACAGCTCAGCCATAGAGGCAACAGCCTGCACGATGTTCTCCCCTGCCCATACTGGCTCGCGAACACCTCGAGCCCGCAGTCCTTGTATCAGCTTGCAGATCGGTCTATACAGCATACGATGAAGATGAGGGGGAAATGTTGCATAGAAAGATGGATGGACATACTTGTGAGGTACTATCTGATCTTTCCATGCCTGCCTTTGGCATTCTTTCGAGCAGTATTTCATGTGGTTGCACCCTCCGCAGACCTGGAGCTTCCGTTCCAACAGCGCCTCAGTCTCTGGGCAACCTGGTCCGAAACATCTCGGGTTTTCCTCAGCTTGGCGCTCGGTCGCGCTCAGACGATGCACGAGCGACGCCCAGCTATGCGAGGTGAGTCGTAGTATCATTGGATGATATAACCGTTCATCCTGCCCGAGTCCGAGCGCAGAGTGGAATACCGCCCCCATGGACGCGTAAGCGGACGAAAGGTGTTCCAGCATTTCACCCAGCGGCAGAGTTCCGGGTAGTTTCAGGCGGAGGAGGTCGGTGGGGAGCGAGGCTCGAACCCGGATGCAAGATTCCATCAGTTGGGACCACTGGACGATGAACTTATCGCGAGGAGTACCTGCGCGTTCTGCGAACCTGCGCAAGGCGTCCAAAGGCGCCCCGAGAAGATCTGCTGTAAATTGGAAAGTCTTGTAGACGGCGGTCACTGCACTCAGGGTGGCGTGTTCTCCAGTCGAGCGACCTAGAGCTATCTCGGCGATGACGTTCTCCCAAGTGGACAGGTAGTTGTAAAATGCTGCGGGTAAAAGGGGGTGATTGACCATCAACTTCGTCACGGTATGAGCGCCAAAGATGACCCCGAGGAGGTGAATGATGTGAAAGGCGGATGGGACGATTCTATTGGCCATCTCTATCAAGGCGTCTAAAGTGGCCTCAAGTCCATAAGGCACGAGATCTGAAGCTGATGACGGCCAAGGGGGGTGTTCTTCGATTCGAGCTCGTGAGCGAGCAGAGACAGAAGCCGACGTGAAGTCATTTATGGCGATCGTCAACAACGTAGTCATAATTTCCCAGAGATTCGCATCCAGCGTGTGGGCAAGGTGCATCGTTGCCTCAAGAGGAAGCGAGAGGTCACATCGACACTCGTTCATGTAGGCGGTGCAAGATTCGAAGTTGACACCTGGGGCGCAGAGAAACTTCATCATGGTTTCGAGCAGCGTACGGTGGCGTCGAGGCCATGGCTTCTTCGACAATCGGCGGTTATATGGTCCTATGGTAGTGAAACAGGCTGCGTAGAACTGATGACAATGCTGTGGGCGGGCCGGGTCCCGAAGCGAGCGCACTAGAGCGTCGTCGATCTCGTCGACATCTATGGACAGCGACATACTATCAGCGCCGGGCAGTCGTGAGCAGTATAATCCAATGGACCAGAAAATATACCAACTCACAGCTCTGATTCGGAGGCCATCCTTTGACGAGAAAGTACTTGCGAGCGAGGTGGTCGTGTTGCTCAAACCGGCGTAGACGCAACACGCGATCAACTTGCAGCGGCCGGGACAACGTGTACTCCCCTTCTCACGCCCAACATTTGCAGGCAGCAGGCCAGCTGCCAGCCTCGATGAACTGAATCCAAGGTCGATTGCGGCGTCAACGACGGTGCAAACTACTTGTTCATATCCTAAGATACTGTATCCATTATTCGACACGAAGTCATGCATAAGTTGGAGACAGTGCCGTGGCACGAGACAGTACTTGCGTACGGGACGTCTATGAGCAACTCCCGCCGATTCGTGACAGTCGTGAGCAGTACAAATGCTGAGAGAACAAGTATCTGGAATTACGCTGTTAATTTCAAGGCCATGCACAGACCAGACAGGGTAAGCCTGTGGAGGAGGGGAATCCCAACAGCACGCTCGCGACGCGACCTGCTGGCAAAGGACTTGAGCTTGACGTCACACGAGTCGCGCGACGCGTAGCTACTTCGCACGCCCGACGACGCCGACCAGCGTCATTCACAATGGTGCAGAACTGATTGTCCATCTTACATTTTACATTCACAAATATTGTGTACAACCAAGCCCCGAAGCCACAGTTACACAACCGTAGATGGAAGTCGGAATGTGTCACGCCTTCCAGGATCAGAGCAGGTCAATGTGATCGGCGAGGTCGATGATCGTCCGAACCATGGTCCGGTAATCGAATTCATCATCGGGCACCTGGCAGAGATTGACCGATGCCCATACTGGTCGGCGAACTCCGAGCGCTTGCAGCTCCCTTATGCGTTTGCAAATGGGCCTGTACCAGGGAGCCAAGGATGAGATTACGCGTCAAATAGAAGATTGTGGATGAGAAGTACTTATGAGGTGCCCGTTGGTCTCTCCACGCGCGCCTTTGACATTCCTTTGAGCAGTACGTCATGTGCTCGCACCCAGCGCAAACACGGAACTTGCGCGCAGCCGTTGCCTCAGTCTCCAAGCATCCCGGTCCAAAGCATCTCGGGTTATCCCTAGCTTGGCGCACCGTCACACCTAAGCGATCAAAGACAGACGACCACGCTTCCGGAATGCACCGCTGTAGTATGCTCGGATGGTACTCTGTGTTGTTCAGCGGCAGTTCGAGAGTTCGGAGTAAAGTTGCGCCTGTTGACGCCAAGTGGAAGGTGGTGTCGTCCAATAACTGCAACATGTGGAAAGGGAGGTCGCTGGCGACAGAACACCGTGCCTGGAGCAAGAAGCGCAGTAGTCGAGACCAGAGAACGACGAACTTATCGCGAGGACCACAGGCGCTTTCAATGAGCTTCCGCAAGGCGCTGGGGGCCGATCCAAACAGGTCCGAGACGATATCCGAGACCCTGGCCACGGCAACCACAACAGCAATAATATCGGATTGTCGAGCTGCGTATTCGTCCAAGGGAATTTGCTCCGCGTGCATCGCCCAGATAGACAGGTAGTTGTACAGCGAGAAGGTAACGCGAGGGTGATCTAGCAACATCTTCGTCGTGGTTGGCCTTCCAAAAACAACAATTATCGTGTGAACAAATTGGAACATGAACGGGACGCGATGGTTCATGGTGTCAACAAGAGACACGAGAGTCGCCTGAAGCCCGAACGGTACAATCTGCGAAGTCGACGACGGCCAAAGGGGGTGCAAATCTGTCTGCTGAGAGCGGTGCGATGGAGAAGTCGACAAGAAAGCTTTGATAGCAATCACAACCATCCTAATCACGTGTTCCCAGAGCGTCAAGGAGAACTTTGCAGGCGGAGTCGCCCGATGCATTTGCTGTTCAAGCGGTCTTGAAAGGTCGCATTGGCAGAGTGCCTGTTCGGTCTTCACGAAACGTGACAAGTTGGAGAAACCGGGGAGGGTGATGAACTTTATCAAAGTATCGAAGAGCGCATAGTGACGACGCGACCGTTGCTTCTTCGTTAATCGGAGGTCATATTGGCGTATCACGTCGAAACATGCCGCATAGAACTGGTGGCAGTGGCGCGGATGGGCCGGATCCTCGAAGGAGCATACAAGGACATCGTCGATCTCGTCCACAAGCGACGAGGTACTACAGCCGCGAAGTGATAAGAAGTGTGGTAATATGAAGCAGCGGCAATCGTGAACGTACATGCGTGGTCCCGAGGCCATCGCCAAGAACTACCGTTCGAACCGTCGTAGTGCTCGAAGCCGGTACACGGGTTCCGACTCTTGGTAGGGTCGCCTAGGGGCAAGTAAATCAGGTGAATGCCACTGAGGTAAAGACAGGTAAAGAACACGGCAAAGCAGGGTTGGTTGTAAACCGAAGGTAGCTCGCGGCTCAACTTTGAACCTTGCAGTCACGCCCGTGCACGGCACATAAGTAACTTACTCAACTGCCGTCACACCCATTTTAATTTGTGAACTTGCAAGCTTTGGTACTGTACACAGTTTCGGAAAAGCTGAGCTGCTAGTGCGCGTTGAGCGCTGAGCGGTTTCAACGTGACCCTGGGATCGAACCGGTTTTGTCAACACAGCGACTGAACAGCGGTCGAGCACCTAGTACCTAGTTAGATGGAGCATCTGGTCGCCGCTATATACACGCTATCAGCCGTTGTAGCTCAACCAGGTAGTATAGCCGTGAGGAAAGCGCAAGGCGTTCCAAGCTGTTCCAGGCGAATCAGCGTTGGCGGCAAATCAAGGTCTCCTAGCTAAAGTTTGCAATGACACCGTAATGTCTTCCGTACAGAGATTGTCTAGAAGATCAATATGCTGGATAAGAGTTTGATACCCCTTATACGCAACAGCCGAAGTAGCCGCTTTTCTTTGCAAGGCCCTCCTTGCACCACACCGAAAGGTGCACCCCTCAAGCAAGTGCATCTTTGATGATTTTGCATACAGGCCTAAACCGGAGAATCAATCTACTATATACGCAGATTTTTTAAAATAAAACTCACCTGTGAGATAGCTGAGGGTCCTTCCACCCGCACCTCTGGCACTTCTTCGAGCAATACTTCATGTGGTCGCATCCAGCACATTTACTGAACTTGCGCCTGGCGGTTGCCTCCGTTATTGGCAACGCGGCCCTCTACGAGCTGGCCCGTCCCCGAGGTCAACGAGTCGTTTGACCGCCGCGTCGACCTTCTCCTGGCTCGAGGACGAGACTATCACAGAGGCTTCGTTATAGAGGGCGAGCTTGGCCACCCCGAACCCTGTGGTCAGAGGTTCACGCAGACGGGACTTCCGGCGCACCGATCCCGCTGGCGCCGCCTGTGACGACGACGCGCTTTCCCGTAAGTTTGCCTTGCGGTCGAGACATTCCGGTTCCTCTGACACTTGCAATGAAAGAGCATCGTCAACACGCCCCGTTTTTATACCGTCGAAAAAGCATCCACTCACCTCATCTATTTCCACGATGCAAGTCCGCGTCTACGAAGATAGAGCCGCAGTCGACACGTTTTTTTCAGTGCGTAGAGCCCTTGACGTGGGTGCGTCCTGGTTCCTGTGGCCCCCCACGTCGCCAAACCCGGGGTGAATGCGCAGGACGATCGCATTTGCCCTTTCTGGCGAAGGTCTGAACAGATCATTGGTTATGTGTGGGTACAACCACGTGGGGTCAAGTGGGTATTGAGACCGCAGCAACGAGTGACTTCTGTGGTACTCGCTACCCGAACGATGCTTGCACCGCCAGCGTAGCAGGGGTAAAAATGCGCAGGTGCGTGTACCCACTGCGAGTACATCATCCACAGCAGAAAGAAGCTTTGGAAGGGTAATGCCGAACCTTCGTCGCGGACGCGTTCGCATTTTCCTGATTTGCATCGTCTGTCGCGGGACATAACGAGGCAGTTCCGTCCTATGGGGCTCATATAGGGCCAAAAGCGCAACACGACAGCTGTCGTCGATCGAGGTCCTCGTGAAGGAAGCTGAAAATCGGACTTTGGACCAAGGACTTGCTGCTATCAACTGGGAATGATCCGTTGAGGATGCAAGACAGTTCCCGGAAGCCTGGCTCCCCAAGATTTAGATACGCCGCGACACTATATCGAGCGTATCAGTTCAGGGAGGGATGCCTAGTGGAGGAAGATGGGAAAGGTCTGGGAGGGGAGGGTGGCAGGGTCAAGGTGAGGACCTTGCACGTCGCGTCCACGGGCGTTATCTGGGGTTGGCTATGCTGCGAGGATGTGATTTCAGAAGATACAAGTGTTTCGGCGTCTAGAGTGAGAACTTGGTGACGAAGAGTCCAGCCCTAGATCCTGGCCTGAGAGTAGCCCTGCGTAAGGGAGGTGATGAAAACGCCCCCTCGCGCCGAACGCAGCCTATCGGCCACCCATCAATCCCGCTTCATCTTCTTCTCCACGCTCTCGTCGAAAGCGACCGGCCCCTTCGCTCTCGCGTCTGTCTCCTTCCGCTCCTTCTCCTGTGCGCGGCTCTTGCTCGTTCCCGTGGCGACCGAGTACAGAACGGTCCCAAGAAGTACGAGCGTCGCGCCGCTCCACATCATGCCCATGTCGACGGTTTGACTCTGGGAGCGGAAGAGGAGGACGCTGACGAGGAGCGAGACGGCCTTGCGGACGGCGAGGACGAGCGTGACGGTGAGCGAGCTCACGCGCGCCGTGAGCTGATTGACGCCCGAGACGCAGACGAGCTGGGTGAGCGTGTTCAGGAAGAGCGGGATGTAGCCCGCCGGGATCGCCACCGTCGTCCCCGCTCCCGTCCCAAAATCAGAACGGAGGTCGAAACGGACGGGGAAGTGGGGGAGGGCGAGGACGGTGGTGGGTCCGCGGCGGATGGCGGCGAGCTGGGCGGCGATGTCGTGCCGGAGGAAGAGGAACATGGGGAGCGAGAGCGCGTGGAGGTAGAACATGGATTCTTCCCAAGGATTGTGCGTGAGCGAGCGGGAGTAGCGGCTGTACGTCCGTTCTTGGACGATGCCGAGCAGGCCGGAGAGGAGGAGTGCGAGGGAGAGGAGGGAGATGCCGATGAGGTATTGAGACGAGAGGGCCTTGCTGGTGTCGGAGCTGGAGGAAGCTCGTGGGGTGGGGTTGTATGCGGAGAGGGTCGTGAGGAGGACGCCGGCGGAGACGAGGGCGATGGAGAATATCTGGAGGGTGGAGTATCTGGGGTCATGGTCAGTATGTGTGATTCGGCATTTGTAAGAAAGAGACGATAACTGACTTGCGTCCGAGGACAAGGTAGCCGAGCACCATGCTCACGACGAGACCCCCGCTTCGGAAGATGATGTGGACGGACATAGGGACGTCATACGCAAACGCAGCATTGTTGAGCAGCGAGATGAGACAAAACAGGGCGACTTGTATCAAGTACGGGGTCAAAGGTATCTGCCGCCGTTTGAGGCGGGGTATGGGTATTATAGCAGATCGGGAGCTCCTGCTGAGCTCCACTTGGCGGGGTAGAGCGGAGAGCGCGACAACGAGAAATTGCGCAAATGTTATAAGTGTCCCTGAGCGCGGAAATGAGGATGTGAGTTGTTCTAGGGTGAGGGCGTTGCTGAAGCACATGTAAGCCATGATGAGCAGAAACCGAATACATGCTCAGCGTACCTGCAGCAACCGCCGAATATCAACGATAACGTGGTGAACCAAGAAAGCAGAGCCATGTATTCAGAGCATATAGAAAGCAAAATTCAGAGCGAGGGGTAGGATGTGGCTAGTTCGTTGTTGCTGGTACACGGCCGCACCCCTACAGGGTCCAGCGCCGGTTTGGTCGGAGCGCAGAGGCGAGGACGCGATCACGTGTGGTACGCGTACTCGTCAGTGTCGGTCGCGTGCGGCGTGTCAATGTCGATCGCCCGCCCGTCCCGCCCGACGGCGACAGACACATCTGAACCACCGGAGGTGAAAGATATTCGCTCCAGTCACTTCAACTGACGGCGGGATGGCTGTCCGATGCCCGCCGCGCGCACTTCAAAAGGGCGCCCCGTCCCCTCGCCGTTTCCTCCCCCCCTTCCTCTTCTCCTCCACACATCCCGCCCATACCTACTCCCAACTATGTCGTCTGTCGTCGAGCGCACACACCCGGCCTCGCTTGCTCCCTGGTCCTCGCACAGTCCCGAATTCCTCGCGTGCGTCTCGCAGAAGGTGTCGAACGAGATGGTCAGCTTCATCGCCAACAAAGGTGAGCCCGACTTTCACCGGTGCCGTACGCGGGGGATCGGCGGTTTACTGATGCATACGGATCGCAGCGCGAGAGGTGATCCAGATCGACGACCCGTCGGCTTCGGAGTCCCTTCCGAGCCCCCCGCAGACGCCCGCCAAGACGGACGCTGAGGACCAGCAGCAACGAGCCTCCTCCTACCCCCTTCCCTCCCTCGAAGCATTCATCATCAGCATTATCAAGCATTCCAGAGTCTCGGTTCCCAGTCTCCTCACAACCCTCATCTACCTTGACCGGCTTCAGACGAAGCTCCCCAAGATGGCCAAGGGTATGTCATTTTTTTCTGCGCAGATTGTTACCTTGGCTAACGTCACTCGCCACGATAGGAATGCCGTGCACTCGTCATCGCGTGTTCCTTGCGACGCTCATTGTCGCATGCAAGTACTGCCACGACTCGTCGCCGAAGAACAAGCATTGGGCGAAGTACGCCGGGCTGTTCGACCTCGCGGAGCTCAACCTGATGGAGCGCCAGCTCCTCTTCCTCCTCGACTTCGACCTCAGCTTTGACGAGGCAGAGGCCGCCCGCCACTTTGCGCCCTTCATGCCGACGTCGAAGGAGACGCGCGCCGCGGCGGTCGCCAAGGTGTCGAAGGCGCGCAAGACCCGCACCGGTGGTACCGCGCCGACCACGCCCATCCGCGCGCTCGCCAAGCAGCTCTCGGCCACGTTCCTTTCCGTACCCGCGCCCGTGCAGATGCCGCTCCCGTCGCCCTCGACGTCGTCGGAGTGCAGCGCGACGACGACGGACTCCGAGACGGCGTACGAGTCGTCCGCGACCGAGTCCGAGGCCGAAGAGGACGACGAGTACGCGACGCCGAGCAAGCCGTCCGCCGGCGGCAACAAGCGGTTCACGCTGCGCGCGATCCCCGTGCACCCCCGCGTCGGCGGCGCCCAGCAGCAGCAGCAGCAGCGGAACCGCGTCTCGTCTGCGGACACGATCGTCGGCAAGCTCCCGCCGTCGCCGTCGCCGTCGCCCGCGCGGAAGATCAAGTTCGACAGCCTCCCCGCGCACCGCGCGCCGTCGTCGCAGAAGCGTGCCGCCTCGGGCGCGTCCGCGTACCCGGTGTCGCCTGCCGCGCTCTCGGCGTCGGGCTCGCTGCGCGCGCGGCAGCCGTCCGAGTCGTTCCTCACGCGCATGTGGGGCGCTGCCACCCGCGGTGCGCAGGGATCCGAGTGCGATACGCCGACGACGGGGAGCACGCTTCGCAGGCTCACGCACCGGCGGTCAAGCGCCTTCCGCCAGGCGCCCGCGACGGAGGTCTAGGACGAAACATAAAGGAACTCGAAGGCGTCTGCTTGATATACCGCTCCCCAGCCTCATCTCTGTGAAATGCTACGAAACCTCCGCACCATTTGCTCATCGACGATTCCAACGACATACCCCCCCTCTCCGCTCCGCATCCCGGTTCCATTCACTATCCACCTTCCTTTTCCGTCCACGCTAATCCCTTTTTTATTATTTTCATCTGGACATTTCGCTATTCTACACCGCTTGCCACACAACTTAATCTCTCTCTCTCATCCTCGTCTTGAGTACTTAGGTAGTTAGGTAGTAGATCCGGCCTCCGATTCCACCACCAGCACGACCACCACCATCACCACGCCCTTGTCTCAAGTCACCCACCCCACCCTCCAACCCCCCTAACTAATCCATCCATTACTGCCTGCCTCGTAGATAATCAACCTGTAGCTTTACTAGCATTATCCGTTATGTATCGTAGGTAGTATGTGCGAATTTTGATTGAGGACGTCCGCGTCCTTGTTTGGAATAGTATATCCGCCATCGGAGAAATCAAGTAGGTATGTGCTGGTCGCGGAGTGCGCGCGGTAAGGACGTCCGCATCCTTGTTTGGAATACATAGTATATCCGCGATCGGAGAAATCAAGTATACGTAAGTATGTACTCTACTAGTCGCGGAGTCCGCGCGGCGAGGACGTCCTGATCACTCCCGACCTTCGGGATCTCGACGGGATCTCGGATGGACCACACAGGATCGAAGTAAAGGGGCGTCGGCAGTGCAGCAGTAGGAGGAGCTAGAAGGTATAAAGACCAGGTCATGGAGCGCTCGTTTCCTCACCTCGCAACGCAACCACTCAACTCCTCTTTCCCCGCGGACATCTGATCCTTTCACCTTCCCCCCTTTTTTCAACCGGATCTTGTCGACTGGGACGACAGTATCACAGCTTAGGCTCGGAAGACACATTCGGTTCAAGGGACTTTCTCTATAATCCGTGCGTGCGCCCGTTTATTCTTCGTGCCCTTGATTTACGGTGGCTAACCTCGACGTCACTCGCGACAGTTTCCAATTCATCGGCTTGTTTACCCTTCCTCACACAACCTTACGGCCGCCCTTTAATCACCCATACCTTACACCACTCCGCATAATCACTCGCGTCCCCAAACGAGAAAAAGGATGAACTCGAACATGGACATTAGCAGCAGCAGCCCGTTCACCACCGTCTTCTCCCCGCGCTCGCAGGGCCGCAGCACGCAACCGTTCTTCATCATCCTCACCCCGACGTCCTGCCGGTCCGACCACCACCACCATCACGAAGAAGTGTGGACGACCGCGCCGTCGTCGCCGCTCAAGGACGAGGACATCGACGGCGAGGAGATGGTCGACATCGCGACCGCCGCGGTGATGGGGCTGGGCATTCGGGAGTACGCGCCCGGGTCGGAGGGGGAGGGCCTGGGGCTCGGGATATCGATGATGGACGATCTTGGCGACGTCCTCGCCACCGGAACGCGGCAAGCTCGCCGAAGGGAGGGGGGCGCCGAGGCGGAAGTCAACGACGCCAGCCCGGGGTTCGAAGAATGGGTTACCCCTCTACAGGCCTTCTCCCCCGGCCCCGCCGCGCCGCCGGTACGCCGCTACGACGCGGTGCGGATCGTGGGCGCGGACGAGGACCCGATGGAGGTGGAGCAGGCGATGGAGGATATGCTGGGCGTGCTCGTGCAGCCGCTCGTGCAGCCGTATGGCTGGACGTTGGAGGCGTACGCGGAGGAAGCGGCGTTCGGGACAGGATGGTACTGGGATGACGAGTGTTATTATATCTAGGGCTTGGCGGGCCGACAACGCGGGCGGTGTCGGGGCCTGAACAAAAAACTAGTTGGGTTTCAGGATGCTTCCGGGTAGATCGTATATGCATGTGTACATGATACCCACCAAAAATGGGATTCATCTTCTTCTTCCGCGGATCGATGTCGTATATCAGGCGTCAGTGTTTGATTTCTGTCTTCAAGACGCGGTTTGCTTTTGATTTGGGCACCGGAGCTGCGGGAGAATGTCAGGAATGATCATCCGTCTTTGGGGTGCGCGTACACGGACCGTTCGCATTCTCCGTGATGTAGAAACGGCGCAAGACCATGATAGCCTCCTCGCGGAGGTACCCTCCCGTCGATCTGTAGCTTGGGTGCTTAGGGTGCGGCAGCCTGCGTAGGTAACGTCAACACGACCGCGAGAGCACAAAAAGACTGGGAGCGTACGCGCTGTTCACCCCGAGCACGCTCCCGTTCCCGCCGAACCGTTCGTTGCCGCACCCGTAGAATACTTCTTTGATCCCCATCTGACGCAGGGCGGACCCGCACATGATGCACGGCTCGACGGTGACGTAGAGCGTCGTGTCCGACAGGGGGTAGTCGGTGACCGTTGGTGTCAGCTCGCGGTCGGCGAGGATCGCGTCGATGGCTTCGAGTTCGGCGTGTCTGGTAGCCTGGAGAGGACACGTCATGAGCTCGGTTGGTGCGGTTCCAGACAAAGAAAAGAGATATGTGCGTACGTTGCGAAGTTGGTTGGTGCGGTTGCGAGCCTTGGCGATGATCTTGCCGTCCCTGACGAAAACGCACCCGACAGGAACTTCACTCGCAGCGAGGGCTTCCTCGGCCTGTTACTACATATGCGATATATCACCTCTTGCATCTTAGATATTAGATGATATGCGCACCATTTTCATCGCTTCTTGCATCCATGCGATGTGCACAGAATCGTCGTTTTCTCCCGCCGGCCGTACAGCACTGGAACCAGGTGCAGTTGTCATTCTGCTGGCTTCTTGTTTATTTTTTTCCTCTTATTCATATGTTACTGAGTGGCGCCGTGGGATGTAACAAGGCCAGAGACGCGTAAAGAACGGCCGAGAATGACGCAGGGACTGACTCGCTGAGCAAAGCGCGAAAGAAAGCATGTGACGCGAGCAAAGCTCTATTAGAGCAGAGGTGCGTTCACACGGTTGAGACTCTCAGTGCTCAGACGAAAGACCGTTGTAAGTCTGCGTTGAGCGGGGGAGAGAAAAAGTAGCGTACATGTCTCGTCGTACGCTACTTATATATCTACGGGATCCCGGATTACGAGTATATGTTATTCGACAGGCGGAGTGGTCCATGACGACCGGGGGAAGTATAACGAAGGATAGCAACGGCTCGGGAGGCGCGCGGACAGAGCCGCACCGTTACATTCGCCCTCCCAGAGACCGAAGGTCTATGAACTAAGGAAGGTGAGGGATGTTAGAATCGAGATCCAGATTGTGCATTCATGGTTTCGCGGACAGCCTCCAACAGTATGCGTTCGCGCAGCTGGGCGTCGGACATCGCCGGTGCGTTCCGGTCGCGTCTATCGGCACCCATGTAGTTGCCGCGTGCGGGGCGGTTCTTGCGGATGGGATGATTGCCCGGGCCCGAGGTTCCTGAACGAGGATGAGGGTGCGAGTTGGCGCGGTTGGAGCGCTGCTGGTTGCGGCGCTGCTGACCGAACACGGCGCGGATTTCCGGGGAGAAGAAGATGGCGCGAGGGGAGGGGCCATGGATGTAGTAGCGCGTGCCGTTGACGTCTCCCGGGATGTACGTCGAAAAGCATGCCTTTCTCTTTGGCACGAGGTTGTTGAACTTCGTGACGAAGTCGTAGTAGCCGTCAGGCAGCTCGGCGGAAGCGGGGACGGCGTGCGACCGGATTTTCTCATCGAAGGAGAGGAAGCGGTTGAGCGTGCTGTGCGCGATTACTTCGAGGACGAAGCCGCCGTTTCCATCCGGGGAGCGCAGGATGAACTGGCGAGCCGACTTCTTCATAAAGATGAAGTACCCGAGAGCGAGGAAGTCGTCGACGGGGGTAAATGAAGGGTCGAGGGTTGAGGGATCCTCATTGATGATAGCAACGGAGCTCGCGTCGGAGGTAGCGATCGACGGGTGATCGGTGGGTACCGGGAACACGGTGGTGGCCGCGACGGGTGTAGGGAGCTCGGGGGCAGGTTGATCGATGTTGGGTGCGCCAGGCCCATGGAAGGCGTTGGCGGGAGAGCCGGTATCGATTCCAGTGGACGCGGCCCCAGAGTTTACGGCAGGACCGTCGTAAGGGGCACCACTAAGGACGGCAGTGAGGTTGTTGGCGGTAGGTGAGTTCAGGAATTCGTTGATCGTGTCATCGTCGAAATTCATGAGCGTATCCGTATCCGCCATTGTGGTGGTGAGTGAGGGATGGGTGCGGCGAGACCTGTGTCGTCGACGACGTCGGGCCTTAGGTCGATGGGTAGTTTCTCTTGCTGACTGCACGGTTGATCCTGTATTATATACGAAGTCGTTAGTAACCCGGTCGTCGATGAGTGATAGGCGGACACCGCCAGCATAAACTTGCGGATCATCCGTGGGTGGCCTCCCTTTCCCGTCCGGCAGTTCGGAAGCGGAGGAAATCCCTAACGCGTCGAAGTAGTGCTTCAGCTGTTCGAACCCCTCCACCCTGGAGAGCGGAAGCCAGGTCGTGTCGCCGGCACGCCATCGTACCTCGAAGATAGTGTTCATTCCCCGTCCTTTGTGCGAAAGTATTCGATCTATAGCCCATTCCGACGTTTCTTCTCCGAAGTCCGCGATCTGGGTCTCGGAGCGTCCAGGGAACAGTCGGTCGTCGTTAGGCACATGTACTCGGAGTAGCGACGAGTGAAATACCGGATGAACGCCTCGTTGCAACAGCCGTGCCGGCAATTTCAAACGATAGGAGTTGTTTCCGAAGTCGGTCTCGACGAGATACGGGCCAACATATTTCGGTAAGAGTTTGCGCGCACGTCCCTTGGGGAACGTTATGTTCTTCGTGGAAACGTACACTAGGTCTCCTTGAACGAAAGGGGATGGTCGTCGTCGTCGGTTCGCCAATCGGGTCTGTTTTACGCGAGCGTCGAGGATGGCGTCGTGTGCGGACATGATGGCGTTCTTCATTCGTTGCGCGAAGGCTCGGACACCCGGATATTCGTCCTCCTTTGGCTGGTCCCAGATCATAGATCTGGGCATGCGTCCTGTATCCAGGAAGAACGGGGCGAATCCGGTACTGTCAGATCGAGCGGCGTTAATAGCGAATTCGATACCGGGGAGTTTAGCTACCCAGTCTCGTTGGTCGTTCCCTACGCACGCCCGAATCATTTGTGTGATAGTACGGTTCGCGCGTTCAGTAGAGCCATCCGATTCCGGGTGGTAGGCGCTGGACATGTTTAGCGATACACCAATCAGCTTGTTTAGATGCTGCCAGAAGGAACTCGTGAATAGAACATCGCGATCACTTATTATCCGTTTGGGAAGTCCATGTAGCCTGTATACTTCTACGAAGACTAGCTCGGCAATGTCTCTGGCCCGGTAGTCTTGCCGGCTCGGTACTAAATGGATACGGCCTGTTAAGAGGTCAATGACGACGGTAATCTCATCATACGATCCGTCCCTGTCTTTAGATACCGGCAGTGGTCCCACAAAATCGATTCCTATTGCCTCCCAAGGTTCTGTGGCGACAGGGAGTGGGTTTAGCAAACCGTAAGGCTTCTGATTGCTGGGTTTGCTGCGCCTGCAAGTAGTGCACGAGTCGCAATATCGTTGTACATCAGCCACCATCGTCTTCCACCAGACGCTATTTCGAAGATAGGTTACCGTCTTCGATGGTCCTAGATGGGCTAGGATGGAATGTGCGCGAGTGATCACCAGTTCGCGGGCTTTCCGTTGTCCAACGAAGCAGTCGGGTATGCATAACAACTTCGTACCTGATTCCCTCAGATACACGATGTCGTCTTCGCATACGAAGTTCTTGTAGTGGGATGGGTTGGCTAGAATATCGCGGTAGAACGGGTCGTCGGTATATTTGCCCTTGAGGCAGTTTGGAAAGTCGTCGTTGGTGTCAGCGAGTATCAGCGGCAGTGCTGGCGCGCGATCATGCTCATCACCTTGCTCGTCCTCTATGCATTGCTCTGTGTTGTCGTCGATACTAGGTTCTTGTTTCGTAACCTCCTCGCCCTCCTGAAGCTGCACCGGTAGCTTCAACGTAACCCTCTTGATGCGTTTTGCGAATTCCTGCGCGGTCTCAGGTCGGCCCGATTCCGCAGGTGCTATGTCGGTTGCCTCCTGGCGTGCAGGTGTCGTGGCGGCCGGTCGTGCCTTCGGTCGGTGACTCCGCGCGCCCTCCGTTCGCGGTACTGAACCTTGTGCGCTCTGTGACGTTTCCTGAGGACGAAGTGGTCGGGGTCGGAGTACGGCCATGCTGGCCTCGAGACCGGTTAGGATCATTGGTGAGTCCCGACGAGGAGGTCGCCGGTCATCATACTGAACCATTTCGGAAGCCCTTCGCTCGGTTCCCGGGGAGTCATTAGAGTAAATTCGCGATAGTGCGTCTGCGAGGTTGTTTTCAAGCCCCGGTACGTATACCACCTCGAAGTCGAACTCAGACAGCTTTTCTAACCATCGTGCTTGTCGGCCAGTCAAGTTCTTTTGATTCATGAAGTGAGTAAGCCCCTTGTGGTCGGTATACCATCGGAATTTAACCCCAAGTAGGATGTCCCGGTGGCGCATCATGGTTTCGAGTCCGGCGAGTAGTTCGATTTCGTGCACGGCGTAGTTTTGCTGAGCGGCGGACAACTTTGCCGAGTAAAAAGCGACAACGGGTGCGGTTCGCCAGTCGTTGCCCTGGCGAATACATCCTCCTACGCCCGTCAAACATCCGTCGGTTATGACGTGGACGGGTGCCGCGTCTGGTCCATAGATCATCGATACGCGATGGACGTGTCGGTGCGCCTCAACAATCTGCTTAACCTCGTCAAAAGCGCGTTGTTCGGTTGGGCCCCATCGGAATACGACGGTGTCTCCCGTTAACCGATTAAGGACGTCCATGGGGACTCGTATCCCCGCGCATCCGTCTGCAAGGTACCCTACGGCGCCTAAGAATCCTCGTAGTAGATCTCGGTTGGTAGGGACCTTCCATGACGCGATCTTGTCAATTTTTGCTCCGTCGAGATAGATACCGTCATGTGTAACTATGTGCCCAAGCAACTTGATCTGGTCTGCCAGAAAATGCATCTTGGACTCCGATAGGAAGAACTGGTTTTCCCGCAGTGTGTCGATGACGATTTTGACGCAGCGAACGTGCTCGTTAAGGTCGTCGTTATGGACGATAAGATCGTCCAGATATATCTCGAGCCAGACTCCAATGTACGGCGCAAACAGGTCTGTCATTACGGCCATGAAGGTGGCGATGGCATTACAATCGCCCTGTTGTAGTACAAGACTGATCATGGTGCCGTCAGGTGTAGCCATTAGGGTGTGCTCTACATCTTCCGGTTCAATCCGGACCTGCTCATATGCGCCCTCCAGATCCATCGCTGTGAAGAACGTGCTGCGAGCGACCCGGCGTCGTATGCCGTCCTGATCCGGCAGTGGCGACGCGATCTTCTCCGTATTGTCGTTTCGCGCCCGTAAGTCTATCGTGTTCCGCATACCGCCGTTTGGTTTGCGAAGGAACATCAGTGGTGCCGCGTTGACACCGTTTGCATACTGCCATCGACCGGATTTTAGAAAAATGTCACGTTTTGCGTTCCATAACTCACGGAAGCCTTCCGGGCACCTTGAGGGGCGGAACGGATAGCGCTTGGTTCGGTCGATGATCGGGATTCTATGATTTACGCGCCGCAAGGGCGGTAATTGGGTTTCAGTTGCCTTTTGATAGAGGGGACGGGCGTACTCGTGTAGATCCTTTCGGATATCCTCCAAGTTACGTTCTTCGAGTCGGGCCGACCTAGATGCAAGCAATCCGACATCATCGCCGGGTTTCATGACGCTGGGTTCGTCCGTGCCGATCATGACCCTGGGGGGGTTCAGCCCGATCATGACCTTATGCTGCCATATGAATGGAGTGCCTAGAATTAGATCATACCCGTCGATGTTCATGATGTCGAAGGTTCGTTTGCATTTGACGCTGGCGTACTGTAGGTCAACCGAGGTGCAGAAGTTTACCTTGGTTTTGGATCCTTGAGCCGCGAGCTGGACGGTAACCTGACTGTCGAGGGGGGTCTTCGCAACTTTGAGCTGTTCGGCGAGAGTTGTCGACATGAAGTCGCCCAGAGAGCCGGAGTCCAGAAGGGCCCGACATTCATGACCGTTGATGCGGACCAGAATGACTATAGGTTTCGGGATGCTGCGTCCAGTGGTGCGGGATCGCGCGGCATTGCGTTGGAGGGAGGGAAAGCTGCCTTCAGGGACCTGTTTGACGCGCGCCGCACAAATCCGATACTGAAGGATGCTCTCGTTTCGCCACGTCTCAGGACGAATGTCATCAAGCACGCAAAACTCGTCGACGACCTTGATCGATCGTGGCCGCAGAACGTAGTCGTCGTCTATCACTCCGATAGGCGCAGTCTCAAGTTCCTGCCGTCTCTGTTCAAACTCGGTCGTCGTTTGCTTCGGAGCCTGAGGTACGTGTGCCTGTAGCGGTGGTTCCTCGCCCTCCAGGTTAGCCTCGGGGATCTCGCTTTTGTCGGATATGCTACTGTCGTCGCCGTCCCAGTCAGTAACCGAGTGGAGACTAGGCACCGCTTCCGTCGTTTCGCTCAAGGCCCAATTGCTACAATCGGTGACGGTTTCAACTCGCGGTGCGACGGAGAAACCCCGCGATGTGTGTCTGGTACGAGCATGTACCCACCAACTAGCGGCGTATCCGGATACGTTGGGCGTAGTGGCCGGAGTGTCAGTATCGGGTACGAGGTCGTCCCGTTCCTGATGTTCGGTAGCTGATTCAACGTTATCCGAGGTTTCGTCTTCGCAGGAGAAGAATGTTTCATCGCCGTCGCCGTCAGAATCCGACGAATCCTGACTTTCATTATGGCTTGACGAGTCGACATCATCTTCTGGTTCCTCGGTCCGGTTTGTTGGTTCAAAAATACAGGAGTCGGCAAGATAATCTGCCTCCGTATAGCCCAGCTCTTGTTTCTCGAATTTGTACGATAGGTTGATTAGTTCGAGGATGCGTTTGCGGTACCATCCAACGAAGTCGAAATTGAAGCGGCCAAGGTGCAACACGGGCAAGAAGATTAGTGCCGATAGTACGGGCTCGTTGATTACCCATGCGATCTCGTTGGTCCGCGTTTTGACCATGCACGATGCAACCGCCGTCTCCTGCGGCCATATGGGCCATAGGTGAGGCAAGCGGTGTATTCCAAACATCATCTGATGTTCGATCCGTTCTTGCACAGGGTCTCCAAACCGTCGTCGGTACACGGTTTCCCCTTCAAGTACGTGATATCGAACGTTTTCCGGGCATGTGAGGTTGGATCCTACCGGATTACTATAATACGTCTCACGTACTTGGGACATCAAGGGAGTAATACCGCGTGTTCGTAAGTAATCCAGGTTATGCCATAGCTGATCAGCTCGAATCGCGTGATCCCATCGGTCGGCGCGAACTTCGGGGGTGAATCGAATGTCAGGGGGGTTTCCCCAGACGTCGAGTCCATTATCAAGTACTACACCGAGGTTTCCATACTGCGCAACAACCTCGGACAAGGTGCTCGATCGATCACTCTCGTCATCTACCTCGGTTTCGGAACCACTATCCTCCGAAGATGCGTCTTCGACTTCTGTCTCGGAATCGCTATCGCCGAAAGTTTCCGCGAGGTACATCGCATTGGCCCGTAACTCGTCGATGATTTCGACGGGTTCATCCCCCGAGTTTTCTCGGTCCGAGTCGTCTTCAACCAGCGGTAGTCGAACGGCGTAGCTAGTTTTTCCCGGTGGTTTGGTTGCCGGCCCTTTAACCCTTTGTCGGTCGGGGCAGTTACGTCCTAGATGCCCAGGCTGCGAACAGTTCCAGCAGAGTCCATTGTCGATGTGACGTTGACGCTCTTCGTCAGACATCTTGGGAGCGTCCTTTCGCGGTGGTTTTGGGCCACCTCTGGACCCTGACGGGGTCGCGTTCGTTGTTCCTGTTCCTTCGGATTTGTTCGCTGACGGGGGACGTGGATCCGAGGCTGTTACCGTGCCTCGCTTTCTGCTGGGTAAACTCTTTGTTACTTTTGGGGCAGTAACCGCGGACCCTAAGTGTACTGAGTTCTTTACGGCTCGTTCGGCCTGTATCGCGGCGGCGACCGCGTCTTCAAACGAGTCGTGTTCAGGGTGCATTCCATAGTGGTACAGACATGCCGTGATCTCGGGATTAAGTCCCTCCCAGAACCGTTGGGACATGCGGAGATCGCTGATCTCGTTGCCCAAATCTTCCCGAAGTCCTTCGAGTACAGATGCGTAGATTTTGACAGCGGATTCTTGTTGCATCCACGTGTTGAAGCGTTTGCGGACAGCTCCGAGGAAACCGTCGTCAAAGCAATAGTTGAACAACTGAAGGAAAAAGTCGTCAATGCCCCAGTCTTCGGGGACTTTAATGACCTGTTTGTAAAATCTTTCAGCCGCACCGGAGAGGTAGCGCCGCAATTTCTGAACATGCCATTCCGAAGTGACCTGACCGTCGATGAGGAATTCACAACTTTCTTCCACGAAGCGCTGGAATGCGTCGAGATCCGATTTCCCAGTGTAAATCGTAGGTGGTTGAGGCTTAATGATGGCCCGCGGAAGCGATTGGCCAGCCGCGATGCACCTTTCGATCTCCGTCGTAGCTCGGTGCAAGTGGGCAAGGCGTCGCTTGATAGTCTGACCGAGCGAGCTTGATGCAGGAACGTAATACGACGGCTGAAGGCTGATGGGAACGCGGTTTGCGGTGCGTAGCGCGGGGGCGCTTATAGACTGATATCCGGAGCGAAGGAAGGAGCTTCTCGCGGTGTTACGATGCGGGCGATAGGTCGGCGCGCCGTCGGGCTCGAATACATCTTCATGAGGAGGCGACTCATACTTAGGCCTAGTTTGTTCGCGACCTATACTTTCCTTAGGTTCCGATTCGATGTAAGGTGAGCCCGGAGACGGTGTGCGAGAGACTTTGGCTAGAAGTTCGTAGTACTTCTGTTCGAGCTCATCTCTTTCCTTGACAAGGTTCTGTTTTTCGCGTACCGCTTCTTGTCGTGCCCGTTCGGATTGTTGTAGTGCATGGTCACGTTCAGCTAAGAATACGTCTCGAGATCGCGCCGCGTTGGCTATATCGATACCAAGGCTGTCAGGCGATTCAAGCTTAGGCGCGACCGAAGAGCGACGGCTATTCCAATAGTGCAGTTCTAATTCCTGCTTCGCCGGTTCGAGCTCGCTATTACCAGTATCGAGGAAGTATGCCGCTCCGACAGCATCATGACGATGCACGTTCGAGGGCCCCGCTTCCTGAATCGGAGACGCAGGACGGCCGGTGTGTCGCGCAACACCTTTTCCTTTATCCATCTTGGGGGCGGGAGTAGGAGTGGCGTGAACCGGGACCTTCCATGCGTTACCTTCATCAGGTACGTCTTCCATAGTTACCGAGCGATAGATTCGCTTCGCAACTGGCGTAGCAGGTTCGGGCAGGCGCGGCGCCCGTTTCGGCTCGGCTTTCGGCAATTCTCGCAGCTCACGACTGACCAAATCCTCGTCGCGAGGGTCGTCGTCGACTTCGGTGAGAACAGCGAACTGATTGTTATTACCGATAGCAGCTTTTACAGTAACCTTTGGAGATGGCGACCTCCTGGACACGCGGGTCCACGCGCTCGGATCGTCACCCGCAGCGCTTGAGCTTCCATCCTTGGAGGAAGCGAACGTCTGCCCATCCGAGATGGCAGACGTTAGGCCAGAACCGGCCGACCCTTCGCGGGACAGCGGAACGGCGGTCACAGTCGGCGCGGTCAGCCCGACACCAGGGGCATGCGCCTGGATAGCGCTCCAGCCCCCGGGTAGAACGACGTCGGTGGGAGCACCAGGCTCTGCCGAACGGTCGTGGGTACTCTCGGTCTCCATCCCACGGGAATCGACCCTAGGGATGGCGGGACCGCGTGTGTGCGCAGCGTTGCCAGCGGCCTCCACACGACGAGTGTCGCTGCGCAGGACGCGGCGAGTAACATCTTCCTGAGGCGCAACCATGGCAGTGCGCGTATAGGAGATGTAATGACGGACTCACAGGGATTCGGTGACGTCCTAAGATTAGGGTTTACTCGGGTGATCAGACCGAGTAGAGTCCTAGAATCAAAGGATGTCAGTTAGACAAAGGTTTGAGTGTAACTCACGTAGACGTGGGTCAAAAATATGTGACGCGAGCAAAGCTCTATTAGAGCAGAGGTGCGTTCACACGGTTGAGACTCTCAGTGCTCAGACGAAAGACCGTTGTAAGTCTGCGTTGAGCGGGGGAGAGAAAAAGTAGCGTACATGTCTCGTCGTACGCTACTTATATATCTACGGGATCCCGGATTACGAGTATATGTTATTCGACAGGCGGAGTGGTCCATGACGACCGGGGGAAGTATAACGAAGGATAGCAACGGCTCGGGAGGCGCGCGGACAGAGCCGCACCGTTACAAAGCAAGGGTCGAATAATTCGAGCTTTTCTGACTCTGACCTCCACCCGGCCGCTGCATGAGCCAACCACCGCGCAGCTTCTTCCCGACTTCAGACATCGTCAGTGACCACCCCGAATACTATTATGATTGTTGCCGACGACTCTGCAGGACCATGCCGTGGCAGGTCTCGGAGCGGGAGTCGTCGCGGTCCTGTGCATGCACCCGCTCGACCTGCTCAAGGTCAAGCTCCAGGTCGCGACAACCCCACCGAAGGGTGGCATAGGGCGTAACATATGGAGATCGCTCACGGATATCAAACATGAGGGCGGGTGGAAGGGTTTGTATCGAGGCGTTGTCCCGAATATTGCGGGCAATGCGAGCAGTTGGGGACTTTACTTCTTACTGTTCGTGTCCTCTTTTGCTTGTTCAGGTTATGGTGTTGACGGGCCGATTAGGTACAATTACTTGAAAAGACATGGGACGGGCAACGACCCCAACAACAAGCTCTCGGCGGGCAAATATCTCATGTATTCAGCGGAAGCGAGTTCGCAGGCATTCGTCTCTTCCCCTCAGGCCTCTCTAACCAACATATCTCTCTCCACCATCAGGTGCCGTAACTGCTATCGTGACCAACCCCATATGGGTGGTCAAAGTTCGCATGTTCACGACCCGACCGGACGATCCCCACTCGTATCGGGGACTATGGCGTAAGTCTCCTCGATGATGATTTTATGGCGATCGTGAGCTAAAATCACGGCATCAGATGGTCTATCGACGATAGCGCGTACTGACGGTGTGCGTGGGCTTTGGCGGGGCACCTCCCTTGCCCTCGTAGGCGTCAGCAACGGCGCGATCCAGTTCATGGCCTACGAAGAAATGAAGCGGTGGGGGTTCGAGCGCAAGAAGAGGCAGTTTGCGAAGGAAGGAAAGCCGTATACCGCGGCCGACGATAAACTTGTCTGTTGCTACCGGTATCCTTCACATACGTTCACGCTGACATTAATCATCGCGTCCAGTCGAACACATCCTACACCCTCATGTCCGGCGCGTCTAAACTGTTCGCGTTAAGTACTACGTACCCGTATCAGGTCATCCGATCGCGGATACAGAACAATGCCACCACTCACTTATACCCTACCATACCCGCGTGCATAAAACGGACCTTTGCCGAGGAAGGCTTCAAGGCGAGTAATCAGCTTGTAGAGCGATTCATTGCCAATCTGATATCCCTCCGTCTGCTAGGGCTTCTTCCGTGGTTTAGGCACGAACTTCGTCCGCGTCCTCCCCGGTACATGCGTTACATTCGTCGTATACGAAAACCTTGCGTGGCTATTCCGGACGTCGGCCGCCAAGGGCTGGAGCTTTGGACATTGACGAATTGTGGCAAAAGCTCTGGAACACCCCTAGATACGATCGCAATGTGCACAATACATCTACATAGACGCTATAGTACTTTAATGGCCATAAATTGCAATTCACTTCTCTCTAGTGATTTTCCGCCTCGTCGCGTAAGGATGTCCCCAGGCTTCGCTATGCTTCCATCCCGATAGCGATGTTCCATATCTTTTGCAGCAGCACGGCGTCCTCGGCCTTCGATCCCTCGATCTTGGCGAATCCTATCGTGCTGAGCGTCGTCGAGTAGTTGCGCAGGTACGCGGCGTACTGTCCAGACATTCACGTTCAGAAACGCGCACGAGACGAAACGGGGAGAAAGACCGCTCACCGTCCGGCAGAAGTGGCGATACCAACCCCAGGTCTCCCAAGCATCCCAGTCATCGTCATTCCAGCCGGCACGGTCGTTCCACGCGTCTTCAGTGATCACCTTGGAGGCGGACGAGGTGGAACGGTCAGAGGTGCTCGACAAAAGCGAGACGAATCCGTCCAGGGCGGCGGACAATGCCGCCTTCTGTTCGCGAATTAGGCTCGTGTGAGCTTTCAGTGCGGAGACCAAGGCTGGCGATTCGACCACCGGAGTAACATCTACTGTGCACGCCGCAGGACATAATCAGATCCGTCTGGAACTTCCACATGATCATCGCCACACGTACCAGGTTTCGCATCCGCATCCACCTCCATACCCACGCCCGCGTTCTCCCTGGCCCTCGTGTCATCCTCCTCTTTCCGCAGCTGCGTGACCTTCCTCTTCGCCACCAACACTCGCCCGTTCGCCTTGTCGATCGCCGCCTTCAGCAGGTCCCACTCGTACGCGCCCACGCACGGCCGGCCCTGTCTGTCCCGCCCGAGCTCGTCCTTGCCGACCGCCCCGCCACCGTGGTGGAACGTCCAGATCACGACGTCTGTCGGGTCCACGATCTGGTATTGCATCAGCTTGTCGAACACGATGCCGATCATCTGCCGCGAGCGTTTCCAGAATACGGCCGCGGCGGTGAGGATGTCCGCCTTGGTGTCCGCGTGGGAGGAGGACGCGCCCCCGCCGGGCTGGGCAAGGTGCCGGAGGATGGGCAGGTAGCGCTCAATCGCGTTGAGAAAGTGCGAGAAGGAGCGGGAGCCGATGTGCAGGAGCGACTGCACGGCGACGGAGCGGATGACAGAATCGACATTCACGTCCTCGGTGTCGGCGCGGTCCGCGAGCTGATTGCGCAGCTGGTTGAGGTGGCTGATGACCTCTTCGGCTTTGGAGCGACCGCGGAGAAGGTTGAGCACAGATTGAGCGGCATCGTAATGCGGGCGACCTGCCATATACAGTGACATAAGACGGATGTCTTACGCTAAGCGGAAGAAAGACGCACTAGGATCGTCGTACTCGAAGTCAGGGCCTGGTGCCTGGTCGGCCATTGTCCCATTCTCCGGATCTTGGAACGGAGGGGGAAGACTCTTCATGATACGGTCGTAATACGCCAGCCGGATTTCGAACTCCAGCGCGCGGCGGTGGAACAATCTCTTCGGGTGTTCGAGCGTCAGCTGGAGATCCGGAATCCTGTCGCACGTTCTTCAGCTTTCGCCAGCCTATTTCACGATAAAGGGAAACTTACCACTCCTTCCACACCCATTGAAATCCGAAGTTACTCATGTGCACGCTGAACCACTCTGCGAACCGTCTTCCGATCTCCACGTCCAGCCCCTCGGCGAGCGCCGCATATAGTCGCCGAATAGACTTTCCGACAGCAGGGCCCACAGTTTGCGGGGACAACTTGGCAAGCTCGACGATGAGAGCAATATAGTACAACGACTTGAAGGACGGTTCGGGAAGAACGAATGCCGAACCGAGGATCGTCTGTGCGAAAGATCGTATATTGAGCGTCTACTGGTGGCATATTAGGTGAAACAACGCCGATGCTGACCTCGATGATGGTGCTCTCTAGCTGCCATTCCTTCCCTGAGGGCTTCACCTCGCCCCCGTTGGTTTCTGGTGCGGGGGCGCCTGCCCTCGGCTTGAATGTCCCGACATGGACCCATTTTGGGTATTCAAGGAGAATACGAGCACACTCCTTGCGGTTGACCTCGAAGATATCGATTATGTCCCGTAAATCGGCGCGGATGGCGTAACCTGCAGGAGTAGTTGCGTCCGGCGTGACCTACAATTTAAATGTCAGCGCCAAATCTCGTCGAGATGAACACGAATGAAGGATTAATATGCACAAACCTCGTTCTCAAACAACCGGACGTAGTACTCCGGCCACTCTTCCTTCTTGACGGGCGCATCCTCCCCTTCTTCTGTCGCCATGCCATCGAGTTCGATGACTTCCGGAGGCACAAGCACTGAGGGGAGTTGAAACAAATCGGCGGTGAAAGGTGGGAGGGTGAGGTAGGGTTGGAGGAAGACGGCTGAGGTTTCGGCGAAGGGCGGGTCAGAAGCGGAGAGGGCAGAAAGTGCAGCCAGGGCTGCGTCGAGAAGCTGAGGGAGTCAGAGTCGTGTTAGTAGAAGGTATCTTGATAACAGATCCAATATGCTCACCTCAGCCGCGTTCTCAGAATCGGAGTCGGTATGAAGACGGACGAGGGGCTGCACAAGCCTTTTCGAGGCGGGCACTGAGTCGACGTAGGTCTGAATAGCTGATATGATTTCGTTCACATTGGTCGAAGAGTCTTCTACGAGGGCTGGGCCAGCCTATAGAGAAGCCCAAAAGAAAGAGAGGTTAGCGAGTGGCCCGAATGGGAGGGCAAGCGCGAGTAGGGATGATTGAACGCGAAGCGACATACCCTCATGAGCCCTTCCGCTGCGCACAAAGCAGCTTTTTTACCGCGTCCCTGGGAGACACCAAACTCATCCAGGACAGCAACGAAAGATTGCAATAGAGCAAACATGGACGAGGGTGATATGACAGACGCAAGAGTGAGATGGGCGAAGAAGTGAACCTAGTTGAGCAAGCATGAGCGTCTATCCATGTTTCGATATATATGGGGAGAGGTAAAAGGAGGGAAGCGAAGTGCAGTGGCAGAGTTAACTCACGCATAATCTGGTCTCTCGCCATGCAAGCTTGTCCAAGAATGCTTGGAAGCCCTTCCAGAAGTCATCCAGTACTTGCTTTCCGAGGGAAGGATTCGGCTCATCGTAAAGCATGCGGAGAAGGGCAGCATAATGGGGGATTTTGAACGGTTGCTCCGTTACACTGAACAAAAACGAGGTAAACTGCGCGTCAACTCAGGTCTTTAGGCCAAACAGTAGATGGTAGACGAACCCTATCCGGAAACCCTCGGCAACAGCAGGTATGTTGGATTCGCCTTCTTCGCGAATTTGCTGCGCGACGCGGGCGAGCTCTTGGTCTGCATCCTATTTTACAAGCTGAGCAGTGCATATCATTGGTGATGGGATGCAAGCACGCACAACTTCTCCGAGTTTTATGATGGTCGAACGCAGCCTCTGTTCAGGTGTCTCCCAAACGGCCCCTCCGCCGCGTTTGTCGTAGTCAAACTCGTCACCACCTGTACGTGAACGTCAATTCAATAAGCAATCCCCCAAACCAAACTCGTGCGCGAATGGAAGGGCTCGAGCAACCAGTATGCCCGCGCTGGTGCCCCGCTGCATGAAACATACCTTTGTGTCGTCGCCGCCCTCCGCCACCTCCGTGCGGGCCGTTCCAGGGGCGCTCGTAACTCATTTCAGACCAGATAAACGGATGAAATATGAAGTATAATGAGTGATAATTGAAGCCGACCAGTCGACGCAAAGCTGGTGGTGACCGTACGCGACGAAGTCCCGAAGCGCGCGAGGTGCCGTGCTCGTTGACCTGCTTCTACGACGACCACGCGAAAACTCGCGAGGCTCGCCGAGTGGTCCTCTCGTTCCTCTCCTCTCGGGTTCTTTGGATTGCACACTCCTGAAGCGGGTTTCGTACATGTAGACACGGTCTGGTAAGCCATCCGAACCGTAAACCTGGCCGATGCAACGCCGAACTAGCATATGGCAGGTATGCTGGACACATGCGATGTTTTTGGTCTTCCACGGCCAATATCCTCGCGAGAGCAGTGATCAGCAATCATTTGAAGCGGACGTACACGACGAGATACATTCGAAGCGTGCCCTCAGACTGCGGACCGCCATGGATTTTTCCTTCCCGCAGAAGGTACAGCGCCAAAGCTCATGCTGCACCTACTCCTTCCGAACCTCGGCCGACCTACAATACCGTTGCCCTTCCCTCGCTCGAAAATCACGTTCCTGATCCCGATACCCTTGGCCTTGTTCCGGAGCCCCCGACCTTGGAAGGGGCCCCAAGCGTCTCTTCTCCATCTCTCACAAAGGCCCAGGTTTCCCTTGCAGCTGCCCAAAGCATACGTCTTTGCTTGATCAACGGGCAGACCCGAGACGCATTCTACGTCGTCAACTCCTTAATCGAGTCCAAGTATCACGGCGTGCCTATGGCAAAGCGGCCAGCGTCGTCCCGTCGTCGACGACAACATTTGAATCCGATTGATTTTGGGAGAGCGGTGCCGTCGCGACTGGCTGCCCATGCCCTCGTGCATGGGCTGATACGGCAGGGTTTAACGGCGAAGGCTGCCAAAGAGGTACGCACCTTGATGGAGGACGGGATGAAGATACGAACCAAGACGCTGGAGGCATGCCTTTTGAGCCTCAACCCATCAAACCCGCCCATGCAGACGCACACACAGTTACCTCTGATCCTGAAGAAGAAACCCGTGCTCCCACTTCCCAAACGAGTCTCTCAAGACCAGGCTGTGGGTCCGGAGGTCCTTCACCTCCGTGGTAGCCTTGTGACCGATCCCTACACCCGTTTTGCAGTCCGACTTGTTCTCGAAGCTCGCCGTCAAGGCTACAAACGTACCAAGCGTTCGTATAACATCGCTGCCCTCCTTGCCCTAGTCCAGGGTGAACTTCTGGTCGCTAGTCTCATCTATGCTACGTCCGTGAAGGATCACAACGCGAACGACACGCCCGCAGCCACCGAAAGCGAGGCGGTTTCTGCCCCACATGTGACGCACACCTTGCGTTGGCGCAAGGAGCGCGAACGCCTCGCCTCCAGGCCAGTTATGCAAGCCCTCACGTCAACGATCCTATCAACGCTCACTCAACCTCGTACTCCTGAGGGCGACAATTACCCGTCATACGACGCGGCGTTTCAGGCTTTGGCGAACCTTGCTTCTCTTATGGACGATCATCTTGTACCATCGCAAGACTTGGCAACTCTCATTAGCGCGTTATCGTCGGCACCCTACGACAAGTCAGCCAAAGTATGGATCAGGAAGCGAAACGGACCAGACTGCCAGGTTTACGCCGGTCGGTACTTCGAGCGGGTGCTCGATCGGTTCATGGAGTCTCTCCTCGCCGGAGGTGGTCCTCCGAACCAAAGTCCAGGAGTTCAGTCAGCGGACGATGGCGCAGGTAGCGGAAACAGCGGACCAGGCAAAGGCGTTCGACCCATTGGTCCGATCAGCCTACGTGCTTACAACGCTCTCATACACTTCGCCCTCCGTCAGCGCTTCTCGCCGTACCTGGCGTCCGCCTTACTTGAACACATGTCCGCGTGCCGTTCGCCACCGATCGAGCCTGATATCACCACGTTCAACACGATCATCCGCGCGTCCACTCTGGCCAGGAAGACCGACACCGCCGATTCTGTCCTCCGGCTTCTGGTCCAAGCTAGGAACGGCGGTGTTCTCCAACGACTTCCGGAGCAAACCGAACCTAAATCCGCTCCTCCCGTGGGGGCAGACACATCGGTTTTCTCGCAAGCCGTGCGGCGCTACCACAACGACGACATGGACATCAGCAGGCTTGCCACGTTCTCTCAATCGCCTGCAGCAGAGAAGAATCTCCACGTGGACGCCTACACGCTCTCAATCTACATCTCCCACTTGGTGGCCACCGGCCGTGCCGAGGTCATCGGGGACGTGTTGTTCGAAATCCTCCCAGAGATCAGCCTCGTCAACCACCCCGCTTGGGGCAAAGCGACGACGTATGAAGAAAGGCGACACCTGCGCCGACTGAATCGTCGCGATGCCATTCGGCGCGCCGCGCAGCTCGGCCCGTGGTTCTTCACGGCGGTACTCAACGCCCTGCGCAAAGCGGGCAGAGTGGGCCTCACCGAGCGCGTCTGGCGGCTTGCCAAGGACGCGGAGCGGTTTAGCTGGGTCGAGGGCACACGAACGCAACGGGGCGAAGGAGGGAGCGAGGGTCAGATCAAGCCGTGGTGCCTGCCCGTACACGCTTATACCGTGATGATGCAGTCGTACGTGGACGCCGCGCTTCGGGGCTTGGCGATCCGCGCGGCTAGAAAAGATCGGGTCGATCAGTGGATGCGTGGCATCGAAGAGGACATCGCGGGGATGACCGATTCCGAGATACGCCAGGGGACCGGGCCCGGGTACGCGAACTGGATCAGCGCGAGCGCGCGACTGCTCCGGAGGCGACAGGGGGCGGCCGAGGAGCGATTGCGTACCGCGCGGCGCATGGGGCTCATGCTCTATAATCATATGCAACGCGCAGGCGAATCCATCCTGCGGTCGCTACGCGAGGTCAGCGTCGCTGAGTCGGCCGGTCTGTCGACGCACATGCCGTATGCCCAAGTTCCCATTCCGGACGCGAGGTACTTCAACGCGGCGCTGGACTTGTTCACGCGGCGACCCGGGATGTACCAGAGGCGGGCCCGGACTGATCGGTTGCATTGGAGAAAGAAACTGCGATGGGTCAAGAGGTTGTATGCTCGGTACGGTAAAACCCCGAGGGGCCTCGAGTACACGCCCCAGCTTGAGCTCATCGCCAAGGACATGGCGAGGTGGGGATATACCATTCCGCCGGCCCTGAGGACGGTGTTTGCGGGACGGTGGAATGCGGGCACTTGGGGATCAAGTAGCAGCGGACGGGAGGCGAGGGAGCTCGGAAGGACTAAGGGGAGGCCAAAGGTGTATCCACCAGTCAGGCCGCATAAGCTGGCCTTCAGGCCCCACCGGATCAAGACGTGGAAAGCGAGGGGGTTGCCTCTGGGGCGATTCAGACCGAGGGGCCAGAAAGAACGGACATACGACGCGATGCAAAATTAGATCAAGCATATTCATACTAATTCGCCATCATGTATCATTATATCATTTGCTTTCCGATCCGGCGTTTCGCAATCCGTGCAAAGCCGTGGAGAGGTCAAGACCCTCTGTTATTGGGTTGTAGATAGACAACGGTCATGGTCTTCTGCACGTCCCTGGCTTTCCACTCCACCGCGACATCCTCCACCTTCTGCAGTGCTGCATTAATGGTCGCTTCCTGTTCCGCCGGGTCCGGCATCGACTGACGTTTCTTCCTCGCGTACACCAGTTCGACCCTGTTACCCCTCTCCAACTCTTGTCGCGCCTTCTTCATCTTGTGCTCGACGTCGCCGGGCGCGACGCCCCACGTCATCTGCAGCTCCTTCGTCTCCATCTGCTTCCCCTTCGCCTCCTTCGCCTTCAGTTTTGCAGCCTTCTTCTTCTTATACTCCTCCTGCTTCGAGAGCACCTTGACTATGGGCGGGTTCTCGCTGACGAGCTCGACGAAGAACTTCTCCTTGTCTATGCGGGCAAGAATGTCGGACAGACGCTCGGGGTCGCGGAGTTTCCCGGTCTCGGGGTCGACCAGCTGCACTATCGGTTTGTTGATCTTGGAATTGCGGGGCAACCCATAACTCATACCAGCCGGGGAGGAAGTGCTGACGGCACGAGCGCAGGAGGGCCGTATTCGAGGTGCTCGCAAGGCTAGTGCCGCGGCACGGAAACGAACGAACGTCGCCATCCTCGGATCTCTTGTTGCAAAAGGGGTTATGGGCTTATTGACCGAGACCCAGCGTCCCTATGCATAAGAACGCGTATTAGCTGCGGTCCGGGCAACCTTGTCAGAGAGCGTTTGAGTAACACACCCTTGTGATGATATCAAAGTAAAGAGAGTAATTAGCTCCTTGTTGTGACCCTGCACTGCAATACTAGCTCGCTGAGCAATGAAATCGGGCGATCTAGGACAGCCTACATACCACGTCGTCCGGGTCGAAGGATGTAGACTGAAATCCACCACACGCCATGGCGCGCAGGGGGCGATCAATGACGCACGTGAGCAGCCTGCGACGGCGACGAGGACTGGCCGTCCCCCTTCCAAGTTGTGTTCGACTGATTCATTTCGCTCTGCAGAACACCTCGCTCTCTTGATGGAATGAAACACCGTGGCGGGCGATTTGGGATGCTACCCTATAGTGAACTATCATCCGATGACGAATGGGATCATGGAAACCCGGTTTACTAATCACAACTCACGAACGCTTTGGTGCAAGTTCGGAGCGCTCGGAGCCTCCTGAGCGTACTTCCTGCAATGGGTGCACGGATGACTTACTGTGGGTACATGCACCTGCGCAATCCTTGCTACACTCACGGTGTTAAGCGTTCAAGCTAATTTTACGTACTTTACAGTCGACACCCACTTGTGCCCTGTACCCACATATTCGATGACGTGTTGCCATACTTAGATCTGCGCGCGAAGCCCACAAAGCGGGAGATAGACCCACATCCCCGGAAATCCAATCCATATCATACCAGCTACTTACCAATGTCTTCAATTGAGAAGTTTCCCCTGACGAGGTGAGTCGATCGACGCAGTGGTATAAAGTGGATCTCGACGATGCTCGTTCCTCCAAGTGCGAGGACCAGATGCTCCAATCGCAAGACAAACCCCGAGGAAAGCGCGTTGTCATCATCGGCGGCACTAGCGGTATAGGTGCGTCGGATATTCCGTCTGCATGAGCCTCTGACCACAACTATCACGCAGGCTTCGGGGTGGCCAAGCTCGCCCTCTATAGCGGTGCTTCTGTGATAGTCTCGTCTTCGAATCAGACCAAAGTAGACGCGGCGGTCAAGCGACTTGTTGACCTCGGGACAGGCCAGCATGTGGAAGGCCGGGTTTGTAACATCAAGGGCGGCGAAAGCGCCGTCAAGGTATTCTTCGAAGGCTTGCCCGAGTTCGACCATCTAGGTACGCAGCCTTCGATGCGGTTGCTTTCGTACTCATTCTTTCGATAGTCTACACGGCGGGAGATGCCCTCCAGCTCGGCTACCCAGATATCGATTTGAGCAACCTCAACGGTCAGCTTCGCGTTGTTGCACGTGAATCCGACACGCTGTTGACGCTCCTTTTATGCCTTAGACGCGTTCGCGGTGCGCGCCATGGGCCCCATCTACGTCGGGAAGTACGCACCTGGCCGGATGCCGCAGAACGCCAATTCGTCTATCACGTTCACGACCGGTGTTGCCTCTCGCAAACCCTGGAAGGGATCTGCGCTCGTCGTCGCCGCCATCGGCGCGACCGAAGCATTCACCAAGGGACTGGCCGTCCAGATTGCGCCCATCAGGGTGAACATCGTCAGCCCCGGCCTGGTCACGACAGAGGTGAGAACGGGAGTCGATGTGGTTCAGCAAGAAGCTCATACGTCGATGCGCAGCTGCTAGACCGATGGCCGGAAGAGCAGGCGAAAGCCATGGTCGATCAATCGCTGAAGACTCTCCCCGTGCAGCACGTTGCTGACGCCGATGAGGTTTGGCCGCGTCATTACTGTCGACAACGCGTTTCTGACAGTACATGGCATGAAACAGGCAGCAGAGGCGTACCTGTACCTTATGGCGAGTCTCTGTGCGATGCGAATAGTCCTGAGCTAATATACTATAACAGAGATGCTCATATGTCACTGGCGAACGGCTGAACGTCGATGGCGGAGCTGTCCTTGCCTGATCGACGATTTTGAGATTGGGCGCGGCCAGGGGATGATTGAGTGTATCCGTACATATTCGTGTTCGTATGAGTGGAAATCAAGCATTCCGGCTTTGCGCCGCAGCGCAAGTCGATCAAGTAGGTACCTCACATTGGAATCGCAGGGATCCTCATGGCAACTGAAGTACATATCCTACCCTAAACTAAGTGCTATCGCCTTGGTGTCGCCACGAGGTCTTGGGGCGATTCTGCGACAAGCTCAGCCAGTGCAAGCCTTGGGTCGAGTACGGTGTATCGCGACGAATCGGTCCTCGCAAACGTTCTCCGCCGGCCATTGCTCAGCACCGAGTCGCTCGGTTGGGGGCAAGCTCTCCATTGATGGTCCCACTACTGTAATGGAAATGGAGTCAGCATCAAGCATGTAAACTCATGCATTCATGGTATCCCACTTGGCGCTCACTGGCTTGACAGTCTCGACAATATTAGCCCAAAGCTGGTCTTGGAGGAGGTGGAGGATGCCATTATCCATTCACTCGAGGACCCAGCCCATCCACGTCATTGCCGGAAATTCTACACTGCATGCTACAGTGCAATCGTTATCCATGACTACCGCTCCCGGCCGAAACATCCGCGAAGGACTCATTATGAGCTACTCGACTGCCAGATGAAGTTCCTCGCCTACCCCAATGTAGATCAGCCCTCCCGTGTCATGTCTTTGCTAGAATGCCGCTGCGACCTTTCTCAATCGCTTGAAGCACGAATGCATGCTCTGTATGATGGTCTTCCGACTACGGAATCGATGGACTTGTCGGATTTCATCGGCAGCAACGTAGCGACGGCGATGTGGATGTGCTATACCGAATCGAGGATATTCCGCTCCAAGAGCTCGCACAAAGCCTGGCCGTCTTATCATCGTTTCCTACGGTATGGCGGGTACTGTTTTGCATGCAGCTTTTCAAGTCCCAGCTCCGACTGGGGACCGCCGGTCCGACCCGAACATGCTTCTTCTCATGACTCGTTTGGAGAGGACCCGGAAACAATCTGCGGAGAAGCGCAAGATAAACGTTTGCGCGGAATGTATACACATGATGTATTGTTCGCGAGAGTGCCAGAGGCGGGCTTGGAGCAATCCGCTGGTAGCTCACAAGTAAACCTGATGTCAGGAGGCGCACACGTCGCTTACCGCCCCTTTGATCCAGACCTATCTGCAAACTCATCCAAGATGCGGTTGCTCGAGGGGTGCGCACCCCGGTGTGGAGTGTAGAGTCTTAGAGTGGAAGCTGCTGAATCCACGGATTCTTATTCGGAGTATCAAATTCTCGTTCAACATCTTGACTTTCTGGATGGTCTCTGTGCAGATGGATAGCATGGTATCCAGAAGATTTGATGCATGAGAAAGGGCTGCTTTCAAAGCAAGTATCTGGGCGATGACCCGGAAATCGGATTCTTCACCATTTCCAGTCTAGACGCCGAAGGTCTTGTACCTCCATCTTCTCACCTTCACAACCGCACCTATAACGCCCTCCAATGTCGACTCCGCAAATGCGGCAAGGATAACGCCCGTGAAGACACCGTTCAATGCCTTCGCCTCGACGCTTCCTCCATGCCTCCTTACCTCCTCCCCGTTGTCCGCTACCCATCCCGCCGTAAATTCGTACGACCGCGGATCCCCTCGAACCTGCAACATGACCTCTTTCGCGCTCGCCGGCACTTCAATTGGCCCCGGGGTCGAAGACAACGGTAACGGCGAGACTCCTCCCAAGACAACCGCACGCTCTTCACTGTCCACGGAATGGACGCCGAATGTGACGTGGTGCTCATGGTCCTGGTATACCACCAGCCCAGCATTCACGGCCGGCGCGGCCCCGTCCAAGTCAATGGTCATTTCGCACTCAAAGCGCAAGTGCCGCTGACGCACGCCGATGAACGTTGGGGACCCAAACGCGTCCGCGAGGCGCGCCCTCCCAGGCCGCAGCTCGACCTCGCCCGCCCGCGTCAGGTCATACGCGTCAGGCTTCGGGTTGCGGAGGTAGAGCAAGCCATGACGACGTGACAATGCCAGCACGTCCTCCCAATCGTCTCCTGCCCCTTCTGCCCCTTCTGCTGCCTCGGCGTCCGGGGGATCGAGCGCGCGCAGGTCCGCGACGGGCCACCCGCCTTCGGGCCAGTCGACCTGCACGAGGCACGTCTCGCGTCCGACCGGCCACGCGCCGCCTACAACGCGCGTCGCGAGACACACCGCCCACCACCTACCCATCATCCTTGCATCTGGGAAGAGGTCCGCGTGGCCGACGGTCTGGAAGAGCGCCGTCGACGAGGGCGCGGTGAGGATCGGGTTGGACGGGCACGGTTCGTCGAACGGGCCCCAGACGGACGGCGCACGGGCGAGCGTCGCGCGGTGCCCGAACTCGGTCGCGCCTACGGCTCCCTGTCAGTATCACCAATGCGTGAGAGATGAGGGGTCGAAGTAGGATTCACCTTCGGCGATCAGCAGGTAGTACCACCCGTCTTTCTTGTACATGTGGGGCGCCTCGGGCGCTATGCCACCCATGCCGGACCACCTGCTCGGAGCAGTCAGTCATCATTCCTGCGCTGGGCTATACAAGCGCGGGATACGCTCGCTTCTTACAGTTTGCGGGGTTCACCGGAGAGCGACTTGCCTGTCTTCAGGTCGATCTCAAACTGCTGGATCTCTGGCCGGACCTGGGAGCCGGAGTGGCCATTTCAGCGAGCAGGAAAGCCACAAAAAACCCTGAAGACTCGCCCTCCAATAGAACGATCCCTGGACGTAGGCCTTACCGTCATCGTCCCAGAAGAGGGACGTGTCGTATCCCGGGAAGTCGAACACGATGGGATCGCTCCAATCGTTCGTCGACGGATCCTTGCACGTGAATATGACCTGCGTGATGCCCGTTAGCTTAGCCTACATCGGACCTCGTCGGACCTCGAGAGGGTTACTCACATTGTGCCACCGGGAAAAGTCGTCGAACGCCATGTCGGGAAAGCACAGCGTGGTGATCACGTAGAACGTGCCATCGTGCCAGCGGATGGTCGGCGCCCAAATCCCGCCCGCGAACTGCGTCCCAGGGCGGAGGGTACACCTGGAATAGTCGATCTGCGACGTGCGGTTGATAACGTTTCCTGCCGTCGATAGCGTTCAAAGGTTCAAGTCTTCCCTCGCCATGGACAGAGGACTACGGGGTGGATGTCACTCGCCTATTTGCGTCCAGTGGACCAGATCCGTGCTGGTGTAGACGGGCACGCCGGGGAAATATAGGAAGCTCGAGGTGACGAGGTAATACGTCCCATCGACCTGGATACAAGCTGAGCGAGAGTAGAGCACTCGTGAGCCGGCCGTACGTCTGATCAAAGGGCAGCCATACAAGGGTCGGGGTTGAAGCCTGCAGATCGGTTCAGTCACTAAGAACGCCCGCCAGCATGTAGGTCTGGCATACCTGGGACTAGAATAAACATCACATTCAGCCTGTCGATCTCGAATGACTCAGTGATATCTGTACGTACTTGTTGGGTTCCGGTATGAGCTCATTTCCTCGTTCCTCGAAGCTTCTACTCGCTGTGGTGGAGTTGCGATAAGTAGCGTCGTGATGGGCCTCCAGGCTCCAGCTCTGCACATTAATGTATAAACGAGGGCCGCGCATCCCATGATCGCATGTCCGAGGATTACCCGGTTGACACTGAGTACGCATGCACGATAAAGAGTTCTTCACAGGGTCTTGGCGATGAAAGGAACATTATCTGCGGCAATACTGAGATTCAGACAGAGCAAAAGCAATAAATATTGAGACCCGTAGGTCTACCACTCCGGGAAAGCGTGTCATCCTTGTGCAGGGGCCATGCTAATCTTCTCTGTATCGTTCCAATTTTATCGTATGTCACCCCGAAGGGGACACGAACATAGGTTGGGTCAGGTGAACAGTGTGGCTGATTTCGCTTTGTGTTCATTCCGCGGGTAGGTTCAGAACACGAGTTCCTACTTGCCAGTCTGACGCTGTCAAGCGTCGAGTCGTCGCGCAGACTTCAGAAAGTGCATTAGCCGCGTACGCCTTCGCCTCTTACCTCCGTGTTTGTGTCATGTATATATCCTCCTTCAGGTTCATACCAAGTGACCGTGTCTCCGATGACTGAGCCTATTGTGTGAGTGAATCCTACTTCGGCCAATGATTGCAAGTTCGAGTTGAACACGCTTGGCTTATCCAGTGAGCCCCCTTCGGAGCTTGTGGACAGGACTGCCAGCGCATTAGTGCGCTCGTTCCAGGATCCAGACCATCCCCGTCATTGCCACCAATTCTATGCAGCATGCTTTGACACGATTGGCAAATATGATTTTGGACACTCGGGGAAGCACTGGCGAAGGCGGCATCACAAGCTGTTCGGCACCTTCATGAAGCTCCTCACCGATCCCAGAACCGACCCCATCTCCCGCATGCAGTCTTGGCTAACGAAACCCTGCGAATGCGATCTCTCACAATCGCTCGAAGAGACGATGCATTCTCGGTCAGCGTTTCCCTCTCGGATGCTCTGTGATTTCGTCGCTGTGAAGGTAGCAAGCGGGATCACGGACTTTGCATCCGCTTCTCCATTATCGCGATCTCGATCCACCTGGCCGGAAACGACAGCAGACCTCGTCCCTCACGGATTCGAAGCTACTTTGGACATCTTTGTCGGAATGATCGACCGCTCATGCCCGTCCGCCTTTGATCTCCTCAATGCGATGGTAGTTACCTTCGGATGGCCCAGGACGATGAAGACATTACTCGAAAATCCCCGTTTACCCAAGTTATTCTGCAACTTCCTCATGACCTTCGAAGAATCCGACTTCGGGCTTCACCTAGACAGCTATCCGGTCGATCAGCACCCGGCCATCTTCAATCATACTATTGCCCTGCGCAAGATTCTCGATTTCGCGCAGCAGCTGGCCGGTTGCTCTCCCGGAGCGGTGCTGAACTTCGCGGAGCGTTCCGGCGCTCCCCTCTACAGATACATCGGCCAGCTATCGCGTTTGTTGATCATCGTCCAGCGGGTTCAGGACTTCGCTCCGAGAGACCTTAGCCTTCGCAGCCACGTCGCTACGCACGCGTCGATGAACGAAATGCTGGATCACATATTGGCGATGTGCGCGACCTTCGGCGCAACCTTGGAGACGGCTGCCCCGCCCACGCGCGGTACGCACTATCTTCCGAGGATAAGTATGCTATGTGATCCGACCGAATATCGATGGCTGCCCCTCGTCGCTCGCCTTGGTATAACGCACCGGCAAGCTATAAATAACCCGCGATGTTTCGGTCCGGGGTGCACGGAGACAGAGGCGACGTCCATGCACAAGTTCCACGTTTGCGGCGCGTGCCGTCACATGCAATACTGCTCCCGGGAATGTCAAAGGCGGGCCTGGAAGCATGAGCGGGTACCTCACAAGTACGTCCCTTCTCTGGCCGTCGCATGGTCTTGCCTGCCTTCCGTGTGCTTCATCATCTTGACAATCCATGATATTACAGGCCTATATGCAAATTGATTCAAGATCTCGAAGCACAGGGGATCGTCGCTCCGGTGTGGTCGGTCGAAGCACTCGCACCGGCTATGAGGTCTCCCTCTGGTTCCGATCTGTTCAAGGTGTTACAAGCTCTGGTCGACCATATCGATAGTCTGACATGATGAGCAAGCTGAAAGTTTCGCGAAACATGAGGTAGCGCGCATGAAATGCTCCTCGTTGTAAGTTCACCGACGTCACGTCATCAACGAAGCGTCGGAAAGGTTTGAATTGTACTTCATAGCACGACGCCCATACGGCCCGGGATTGGGGAGACATTTCCGACTCCAACTCGTGGATCGATAACTTATAACTGTACGAATATGCCGGTTATTCACTCTATGTAGATGTAACAAAACGCCGTCGTGACTGACTACATATACTCACTCGTCCATTGTTCAACTAACTTCCAATCTCAACGCGTCATACTGAACATACTGACGATCCGGTGATCAATGTCTGGCAAAAAAACACGGAATGAAGGGTCTTACCACCGGAGCATCAAAGGGCAAGGAAAGCTAGATGAAACACGTCATGCAGCTGTCACCGTGCAGGAGGTTTGATTACTGACAACAAACTTGTTCCATCCCTTCTTCAGCCATGTTGCTGGGAACTTCAGTTTGTTGGAGAGGAGATGACAAGAGATCGCTAGGGAAAAAATCGGCCGGACGGGCGTCAATCGCTGTAGGGCAGTTTTACACAGTGCGATGGAACCCACCGGAACGCTCGCCGCAACTACTGCTCTCGAACCACTGGATCTCCCAGTTGAGCGGGTTGCTCTGAGAGTTGACATACGTGGAAATCTATGGCAGAATCGCGTCAGGGTTTGTTTGTATCCCATTGTGAAAACGGTCTTACGTTGAAGTTGGGGTTCGAGCCCGAGGCAACGTCCGTGTTCCCCGACGTAGTCTTCGCACCCGCAAGTTGGATAGTGAAAGTAGCGAGCGAGCTAGACTTCGGTATCGAATCCAACTCAAAGTTGATAGTCCAGTTATTGGAGCCTGGAGGAATAATCAGCTGGCTTGCCGAGCGTTTTCGAGATAACGTAGAGCAGGCGTACTGGTGATGGAATTGTTGCGAGTATAGCTTGGCCCGAAAACAGACCAATGGATATAGTTCTGCACATAGACGCCCGATGAGCCCTATACACTGATACAGCCGCGTCAGAATGTACCCAATCAACGCCATCGTGGCTCTTTCCAATAGTGTAGTTGACTCCATTGGGGAACTGCGTGCCAAAGTCCCATGCACCCCAGTAGATGCGATATTCTGAACATTTGGCCAACGTTCAGCAAAGTTCTATCATTACCGCGGGCCGCACGTGCTTACTGGAAGGGTGGTTTGGATGGGTGAGGTCGCGCTCCCAGCCGTTGCGGAATTCGCCTGCATGGGTATCAGCAACGAGTTAGCACAGCGGAATTCGGAACGGACAAAAAATCTATCGTCGTACCCGAGGTCTTGTCAGGAATGCCGATGCGCCACAATTCCTTTCCCGCGGACTCTGCTTTCCATACGACGTTCGATAATATAGTGGTTTTCCTTGCGTGAACGACAACGTTATCTTGAATGTAGTCGCCGAATATACCTGCCAGAAAACAATAAGCATCACATCTTTCAGTCCAGGACATCTAAGCCACGCACCATTGGCGAACACAGTCAAGCGGTACGTTCCAGCCTTCACTCGAGGAATTGACACCTGTCCGTTCACGATCTCCGCCCAATACTGATACGCTGACGGAACCTGAGCGCTATCTTGGAAATGGACGCCGTTCGCGCTCAACACCGCGAGTGGCTTCGTAGCTCCCTTCGGAAGAGTAACCTTGGCCGAGAACGTACCCCGTCCGGACGAGGGCACGTAGCCTATAACCTGGAGGCTCCGTAAGTGGAAAGGTCACAAGGACAGTTGGTGTGATCACGGTATACGCACGTAGGGGGCGATTTCGTCGTAGAAATTCGCATTCCAAGATGGAGCTGCCAGCGATTCCGCATCCGCGAGCAGATCGAATAGTGTCTTGTTCTTGCCCTGGTTGAAGTACAGGAACTTGAGATGGCACGAGATTAGCTCCGGTCAAGCGGGAGAAACATTGCCTAGGGCATACCTGAGGTCCGAATGTACGATCGAACCCGTAGCTTATGTTCGGGTTGCTGAGAAAGGGCACGTTAATTGACCGACGTCGAAGAAACAGCGTTCGGCGTACGTTGCACCTCCGTGACTGCGGAGAGAATATGAGAACCGATAGAAGAGTCATCGATTCGCACTTACGTGGTGGATTGTTTGTTGCTGGAAATGGACGTCATCGTTTAGGATCTTGGTACAGTTACGGAGAAGAACACCCACTAGATGATTCCATCCACCATCAGGTCAATATGAGTCTAGAGCGTTGAAAAGCGTCAATAATCCCGCGTATGCGGGTAAGGAGACTTCAGGGCTTACCGGACCACCAAAGAAGGTATCCTTCTGGTTGACGACCCACCAAGCACCGAGGGGCGTTCCGTCAGGCTTTGCTCCATAAAGTCCGTGGGCTTTGTTGGTTTGGTTGTCCGCGAAGGTATACTGATCGGTGACTTTTAGCCGATGAATCCCGATCGCCACCAGTGAAAGACTCTACCTTCGTGAAGTAGTCTGATTCCTGGAAACGTTAGACGGGCTCAGAGAGGCCGGATAAGGATGGGGTTTTGGAGTGCTCACCTCGACGACGTAGGGATCATCTGGCGTATTGCCGAGGTACCAAGTTCTGCACACGGAGTAAGACAGGATGATAACGCTAACTGGGAATAATTACGCGTCCTGGGCCACCACCTCGTTCGCGACGGCCGCAGCGGCGGGCAGCGGTGCCTATAGAGGATTCCGCCACTTGCGTTATCATCGAGACCGCATTGCAAGGATGGCTGACGCACCCATTGTTCGTTGTTCGTGATGATATGTGACCAGGGGCCGGAGTTGGGCCTGAACATCGTCCGCACCTCGCCTAGCTCGCCCTTCGACACGGTTTGGTTGTAGTACGCGAGTCTGACAAAGCTGTGGAGACCCGGTTCGTTGTCACGGATGAACCATGACCGTTGGACACTATCAAGTGATGGAGGGAGCATCGATGTGAATGAACGCATGCCGTAAGGGCGGGCGAACTAACATAGATCCTAGCGTGTCGTTGTCGGTGAGGATGATACCCGCCCAGTCGCTACCATTGACGATTTGATGGGTGGTGGTGCTCGTCAGGGCAAAAATGGCTGATGGAAAATCTGGACGAAACGGATAAATAGGCCAGACGAACGAAAACTTGGATAATAGCGTACCAGTGTACACTTGACCGGCATTCCCCGAAACTGTCCCCAGCGTTGAGACGTTGTCATACGTAAGTGCTTGGATATAGCCGTTCTTTTTAAGCACGCTGCACGACTCATCAGTAAGTTCATGAGTACGGGTGGCTGAAGTCTACTTGAACGACAGCCAGTTGTTGGCGAAGGTGAACGCAGTAGAACCTTCAGTCACCGAGACAGCCAAGGCTCCCGAGAAAAACAGCAGAGCACTGGACAGAATGTACAGGAGACGCATGTTTGACTTCATCTTCGATGAAGGGCCTCAGCGTAGTGTCGATGACCATCTTCCAACCCTCTGTTTTATAGGTACAGAGCATGATCTTCTCCTCGCCCGCACCAGCCGTCGCCGCCGCCGCCGGGCCGTCGAGAGCACGCGTTGTGTTCAGGAAAGCACTCTTGCACCATAGAGTTGAAGGATTCGTCGAGATGAGCAACAGACTGTCAAATCATATCGATATGTTTGGCCGCCCTTGGAATGCTTCCAAATCTTGAGAGATTGCAAAAAGTCGGGCACATGCCCAACCAGCTTCGAGAAGACAGAAAAAGTACCGGACGGAACCGATTGCATGCTTATGTCAACCGCCGCCGAGAGCACGCAATGGCTGTTGGGAATGAAGGCATGTCGACGCGTCCTTGAGGTAAGGTTGGTATCGTTGACTACTTTCCGACTCCCCCGAAGGAGGGAGTTGGTTTTTGCGAATGGGCCTCGTCACAGTGATAGGGCAGTGACCCCAGCCAAAACGTTACAAAAGCGTGATAAGGCAAATTGTCCCACAGTCACATCTACTCACATGGTATGGTTGTGAGCGTGGGATAGTGAGCAAATGCGTGGAAATGTAATCGCAACTCCGAAAACCTCAGCGCTTTGATTGGACGCTTGGGCCTCGCTCGCGTGATTTATGGGTACCCTTCATCTGATTCTACATTGGGCAACGAGCTGAAAGACACAGGAAGTGACCGCAGAATCTTGGGTGGATTAAACCTTGACCGACGAGCGAAGCACATTCACACATAAGATACAGATAATGGAAAGGAGTACAGGTTGTATGTAGACTGCACAAAGCACGGGGATGACGAGAGCAGTAGCATATAAGGGGGAGTCCGTTCTAACAACGATAGAATAATCGACGACAGGCATGCCAGATAAGACGATGGCAAGATAGAATAACAAAACGGCCACTCTAGAGCCTGAATAAGAAACCGAGGTCCTCCGGCGTCAAACGACCCATAGCTGAATCATCGGTCGAAAGCGTAGCATCCACCATCGCCGACTTCTTCTCCTGCAACTGGACAACGCGGCTCTCGATACTATCCTCGATGACCATCTTGATAGCTTGCACGGGACGATGCTGACCCAAACGATGGATACGATCCATTGCTTGGAACTCCACCTAAGAGCGAATGATGTCAGCGCCACTCAGGCAGAACCCAAGAAATGTAGCTTACCGCGGGATTCCACCAACTGTCCATAAGATACACTCGGGAAGCTTCCGTCAAGTTGAGCGCGACACCACCAGCCTTCAAGCTGACCAAAAAGACCGTAACGTGCACGTTGTTCACTGCGCGAGGACAAGGTTCAGACACATGTTCAGGTCCGACCACTGCGACACGATACTCACTGAAATGCTTAATCGTGGCGTCGCGCGCCTGGGGGCTCATAGTCCCCTCGAGCCGGCACACCACGAAGCCGGCGCGCTGCAGCCGGAACGCGATGAGGTCCAGGAAGTTAACGAACTGGCTGAAGACGATGCTCTTCGTGGTCGCATCTTGGCGCCGAACGTTGTCCAGCTCTTCGATCAGCGCTTCGATCTTCGTCGAAGAGCGCCAGGTGTCGATGTTGAGGCGGCCGAGTATACCCTGGCGGATTTTGGAGTTATCTTCCAGTTCGAGCGCTGGCGCCTCGAGGTCGATGGTGAGAGGAAGGTGACAAACAGGACAGGCGGGCTAGGCGAAAGTGAGCGAAGAACCGAAAAGATGACGGGTCCTGGCATACCGTCTGCTCCACGGCGGTGTTGAGGTACTGCTTGATACATTCGCGGTCGAAGATGTGACGACAGCGAGACTGAATCGCGTCCTCCGCGATGTCGTTGCAAAGCCTGCAGACGGTGGCCTCGCCAATATCCCCTTCGCCGATGAATTTGTTCGCATTCGTCTTGCTCCGAATGACGAGGTCCGGATGGCAAGCCATCTGGCGCATGCGGGTCAACCTTCAGATTGCGCATTAGTTCCAGACTTCCGAAAGCAGCACCGATAAGAAGACGAGAAACTCACAAGCTGAAGATGTTCGAGTAATCTGACGCAATTGCGTCAGCGAGGTTTCCCACAAGGAAGGCACGGACGTACTGTTTAAAACGGTACCGGAGTCAACGTAGGTGCTGAACTCGCGCTTCGCATCAGAGAAAAGAGAGAAATAGAGCTCCTTCTCCTCCGGGCTGAAGTAGTCCTTGCGCACGATGACCGTCCTAGGTGGTAAGCCGAGGTCATCCGCGCGCTCTACCTTGGTTCGGCGCAACATCATGCGGTCGAGAAGAATCCGCAGCTTCTTGAAGGCCGTTTGGCCGGGCCCGACCATGCCATGCTTCTGAATAGGCGTCAAGACCTCGGTGTTCCAAAGGCAAGTCTAAGGATAATCTTCAGTATGTGCATAATAACTGGATCCAAGGACGCACGTGCTGCATCGGCGTATGACCGCATTCATCGCAGTTTCGTTTGTTGCTGAACCTCCAGTGGAGCGATTTGCAGTCGCATTGCTTGCCTAACATTGCACATTAGCTGTCGATAGACGTTGGCAGTAGGGTTGCGCTTACAGAAATAGTACGCAAATGGATCGCCGCCGAGGAATCTGATGAGACTGTAAAGCTCGCCAACGCGGTTCTGTAATGGAGTTCCGGACAAGCACCACCGGTGTTGGCCCTTAAGCTCGAAGGCGGCTTTGGCGGTGTTCGTGGCCCGCTCCTTGATGTTGTGCGCCTCGTCAAGAACGATGCGGGCCCACTCGATCTGATGTAAGGCCGACTTTTCTTTAACGATCTGCCCCTTGCGCTTGAAGCCGCTCTGCTGCTTGCGGAACGCGCTTTCCATGACAGCATACGTCGTCAATACCTAACGAAGTGATCGTCAGGATCGGAAGGGCAGGTAGACACCAAGAGGTTGGACATACCACGTCGTATTTCTTCAGCTCTGATGGACTCGATTCTCTGCCGGATCCGTGCCATACGATGACTTTCATGCCCTCGGTATGCGAGGCAATCTCATTCCGCCACTGCATGACAGCGACCGTCGGGCTACGTCACGAGAGAACCATCAGAATATTACCTGCTACGCTTGTGTGTGATGGCACGCACGCAATGACGAGATTGGGCTTCCGAGGGTCAGAAACGAGCAGGGAAATGATTTGGATAGTCTTCCCCATGCCCATCTCATCCTGGATTCCAGCAGTGAGACGGAGTATCTTGAAGTACTGGTCGTACTTACAGCAAGGATTCCACCAGACCAAGGTCCTTGCTCCTGCTTTCGCATCCAGAAGAGACTTTCCTGCTGGAATGGCAGGAGGGTGACCTTGAGGCCCTCCGGTTGTGGGGCCTTTTGCGGTTGAACAACCTCCACCTTCGCTTGCAAGTCACCCCAGGCGTGCTGGAGCGCACGTATCAGAGCTGGATGCGGAATCTTTCCAGATGTGAACAAACCTTTAACTCCGGATGCTGCCTTCTGAGAGCGAGAGCAGTCTTCTCCGCCTGCAATGATGGTCGTTATCGGGAGAGTTACTCGAACAGATATCGAACGTACATGGGTGAGCCCCCGACCCAGCTCCATGCGCATTGCGTACTCCTCCTCGCGCACAGCTCTCTTCGCCGCCAAAATTCGGCGGCGCTCTTCCTGGTTCCTCCGGCGAAGTTCGGCCATAGTTGTCGGCGGATCCTCTGACGCTGCGCGCTTGCCTTTCCCTTTGCCCTTGCCCTTCGCCTTCGACGTTTTACCCTTGGCTTTCTTCGCGAGCGGCGCCTCGTCATCATCGTCGCTGTCCCACGCCCCGAAGTCGTCGACCACGTTCTGCTGGTTCATGAGGCGACGCTCAGCAGCGGCCGCGCGCTTGGCGGCCTCCGAGTTGGCGGGGGCGGAGAATGAAGGTCCAGCGCCCGCGCTCAAATCTCCATTCGACACCCTCAGGGACTGTCGGATGGCTTCGTCCATCATGATCTCCTCGTCCCGCTCGTCGAGATCGAGCGTATCTTCATCTAGGAGTTTGAGGACACGCTTCTTGACCGAGGGTCGAGTTCTGGCAGGTTTAGATTCGACGTCGAATTGGTCATCTGAGAGCTCGCTAAGTGGTGAGTCTTCGGCTTCGTCGACCTCAAACTCCGAACCGCTGGCCGACGATTCATCTATGTCCGAGTGGTACTCCAAAGAGTGGTCAGAAAGAAGCTCGACCTCATCAGTTTCGGAGGGTGCGCCAGATTCAATCACTGTCTTGCCGGTCCGTGGGGGCTGTGGCGGCACCTGGGGCAATTGATTCAATAACTTGAAAGAGAAAGTGGATATGAGGGCGCACGGATTGCTTAGAGTCCCTCCTCATGGCGTGTCTAGATGTTGGTAGCTCGACGAACACTTCCTGAGACACGACCCGCTTCTTTGTGGCGGGCTTTGGCAAAGCCAGTTCATCCTCGCTCTCGTCGCTCTCCATAGCCCGCTTGCGTAAAGCTCGCGATGTATACGTCCTTAGCTGACGTTTCGGTAGGGACGAAGGTGCCTCTTCGTTCGGACCTACGGACGTATCAGGGGTAGCGGAACGAGTCTTGTCGCCGGCGCTGAACAGGGCCGACACCTCCGTCGTCGGTGTCGCCAATGCCGAGGGTGACCGACGACGGGCGGGTGCACGCCTTCCTCTGCCAGCAGCCATGTTGAGGAACAGCGGGGATAAGTGGAAAAACTGGCGCGTCGACGGGGGCCAGAGTCCCCAGACACTAATTGCTGTCGCGTACTGAGACTCCCACGCCACATGCGCGCTCTCGGTGCCGGCGACGCTGACTCGGCGTGTTTGCGCGTTGCCTCTGCCTTGCCTCATGGATCTGAAGAAAATCTTAGCTCTTGGTATGGCATGTACAGAATGTGCATCCACAATGAAATATTTATACTGAAGCACGCCCTATAGTGTATAAGGCCATCGGTCATGTATACGTTAAGCCAGTCTAGCGAACAGCACCGAACATATCAGCACGACTAGCAGTAGCCTCTGTGTGCTGTTCCTGTTCTCATCTATCATGGGAGCGCTGCCGTAGCGACCGGCGAACCAATCAAAGCGTCGCATAAGTAATGAGACCTCGCAACGCTCGAGGAGTCCAACGATTCGACCAGTCTCGCTCCAGATGCGAATTAGGGTGCTCTCCATCACGGCAGCAACCCACTTCAGCCCTTGAAGACTCGTATCCATACGTTCCACTCGATCTGCGTCCCTGACGAGGTGACGGTACAAGTCGTGGATCACGTTCGCAGCTATAACGGCGGCAGCCATGGAAAATCCAAGGAGGAGGAATGTCGGCTTGTCGGACTCGACCGCGACGACGGTGCCCACAAGGATGACTATAGCAGATACGAGCAGCATCTCAGCGGCGTTGGGCGCGGCCGCCAAGTACGTTAACTCCGGATACATGCCAATCAGAGCGCCGTCTCCCTTGGACCACATGTAGAAGCGCCAGTACGAGCGCTCGCCGTTGCCCCACCATGGATGTGTCACCACACAACGTGGAGCTGCGACGAAGCCCTCGAAATGACAACTTTCGGGCGTACGCTCGAGCGCCCATTGACGTTTCTTCCGACAAAAGTCGATGTCCTCCCCGCCGCCGGTCTTCGGGAAGCGCAGGTCGTATTGGACGCTGTCGTTGACCCGACGCGCGATCAGGTTCGCCGTAACACCCCATGGAATATCGTCTGTGATCTTCTCCGCTATGTCCCAGAAATAAGTCACGCCCGCCAAGTGTATTGCCGCCTTGAAGACGGTATTTGCTATCGGAAATTTGACGTTGCCCACGAAACCTGGGGCATCCGGATGGGCGCGAATAATCCGCTCGACCTCGACCAGCAATTCCGACGACGGTTTGACGTCATCATCAACATAAAGAATGTATTCAGCTGCGGATTCCAGCATTCCTCGATTCCTGGATGCGGAGGCTCCCAGGTTTGACTCATTGACTCGTATGCGGACATCGACCCGATGTTCAAACCTACGCCTCAATACCGCTGTGGCTGGTGACGCTGGATCATCCACGATGATGATGAACATCACGGCGCACGTCGGCGAAGCCTGCAGCGCCAGAATATTACTGAGGGTGCCGATGTCGACTCTGTACGACGGGACGACGATATCCAACGTCAACTTGCGTTGAGCGGGAGGGGTCCGGCCCCGTAGCCACCTCTTCGCGCCTGCAACTCCCTCGTCGAGAGTCTCGAACGTCCAACCTTGCGCGTGCTCTTTAACGTATCGAGCATCGCCTTCTCCGCCTACGCTGTTGCGGATGCGGCAATCGAACATCTTCGAACATCCCCACCTCCTATAAAGTTGGAAGAGGTACGGGTCGCCATCTTGATTTACAAAGGCCTGCGGGACGACTTCGCCGCCAAAGATATCCAAGTGGGTACGATGGACGATTGGGAATGTCGGCATACCCGGGAAACTGGTGTCGGTAAAAACGACGCATCCGAAACCCAGTGGAACGTTGTTATCCTTGGCGAGCGTCTCAAACGTGGCGTGCGCATCTCTCATCCATCCCTCGGTGTCCACGATGACGTCGTCACCCATCAGGACCATGTAATCACATCCGTCTATCCACGCTTGTCTGGCGCAATCGCGCCATAGGGCGCAGACGTGACCTTTGGGATGTTCGTCGTTGATCAAAGTAAAGACGTCCCGGAATCCAAGATCGCGAAGCACAACCTCCGCTCTGTTCCTAGCGCCGGAGCCGCGTAAGAACTCGTCTCCTGCATCGATTTCGAGATATATCTTGACCCGATATCTCATGCCCCCAAGGGCATGGACATCGCGCCAAGAGGTACGACTCAGCGAGCGCCCGAAGTCGTGCAGGTTATCCAAGCACTGCGAAGGAGGGTTGGAACCTCGAGACGTGATAGGGAGGAGAATGGCGAAGGTGATCGCCTTGTCGAGGTCGACGACCTCGCTATGCCGCATCGTTCGTAGCGCCGCCGATCGTTCAGCCGCCGACATCCCTGATAATTCCTTGACGATCTCGCCGCCAATCCACTTGCCAGTCTCGCGCATCCCGTCCTCGAGCGAGGTTGTCGGCTCCCAGCCCAAAATCTCGCGGATGAGGTCGTTATTGGAGTTGCGGGATACGACCCCGAGTGGCCTCTCAGGTACGAAACGGGAGGGTAGGTCGATGCCCGCGCATCCCATGGCGATGTTCGCTAGCTCATTGATCGAGACGGAATGCTCAGAACCGACGTTAAGCGGCTCTGCGTATTCCGAATCGATCAAACGCATCACAGCCTCGCAGCAGTCGGTGATGTAGAGGAAACTGCGCCTTTGGCTGCCGTCGCCCCAGATTTCTATGTCGGTAACGACTGCGCCCGCCTCGGCAGCAGCGTATGCCTTTCGGAGGAGGGCGGCAGGGGCCTTCTCGCGCCCGCCTTTCCATGCTCCTCCGGGCCCGAAACTATCCTCGGAGATCAGCCTTCGAGTCGATACGGCCATAAATAAGAATGGGCTTGCGTACATGTTATGAAAACGCGCGATACGAACGCCTTCGGGGAACTCCTTTGCCTTGGCGAGCAGCCACGTCTCGGCATGGAGCTTTTGAAGACCATACAGGCCTTGGGAAGTGGGGCGGCCGTGCGCCCAGACGTCGTTCTCCCTCAGCGAGACATCGGAGCCTGGCTCGCATTGCAAATTCTCGGGATAAACACACGCAGAAGACGCGTAGAAGAACAGCGAAACCTCGGCTTTCAGACAAGCTTCAACGAGGTTGAGCGTCGTTATCTCGTTCTCTCGATAGATCGCGAAGTCGTTGCGGTCGTGGATGGTGCCCATCCCGCCCATGTTTGCCGCGAAGTGAAGGACGCAGTACACTCCATCGACGACGATATGAGCGAAGGACGGGTCGCAAAGGTTCCCGACGCGAACATCCACACCCTCGGGATGCGGTATGTAAGGCTCAGGAGCCAGATCCGCAACGCGAATACGGTAACCTCGTTTATGCAGACGTTGCACGACGTGACTTCCCTGCAGAACCTTGTCAGCAGTGCGACGACCGTGCCCAGAGAGATGATACAGACTATGAAACCATTGCCGCCACAGACAAGGTATAGCTTGCCGTCTTGGTTGTGCATAAGTGTAAGGCTTGGGTTTGCAGTCGGTGTCGGGGTCATAGAGGTCAGTATTCCTATCCCGGGTCTGACTTAAGAGACCTGTACTAGTGCGCAAAAACGGCTTATCGACTGCGGGGCGCACAAATATATCGACAAGGCGAGCTCCATCCCAACTGCGTGATTCCTGTTGTACAAAGTTATGGGGCACATCTTGGGATGAATTGCAGACCCATGATGAGAGCGTTCGGATAACCCGCGAGGGTCCTCATGACGTCCTGCATCAGAGAATAGCACACACAATGCTTGATAGCAAGGGAACATTCACCGGATCCAGGTTGGGTCGATAATGGAAAGCCACTCGCTGGCAATCGCGCGAGCGCCCGGACTGGGCGTACGATCGGCTTCCATTCGATTCTTGGAGCACGGTTGCGAGTTCATGCCGCCATATGGGGCCGAAACACCCGAGCCGGGAGGGCGAACACTGTCCCAACTGTCGCTTCGTGCTTTAACAGTCTGCACCCTGAACCTTGAGCTTTCCGGTAAGAGGGTCCGGCTGTTGGTTCTGGTTTAGCGTGAGTTGTTCGCTCGTCACAGATATGTTGATTCACACCGATACCAGTAGAGCTTCAGGCTCTTTCGCCCCCCTTTGTGAGCTCCCCAGACCAACACAGGTGAAGGAGCAGGCATCCATGACGCTGATATCCCGCCGCTCATCCTTGGGCTATGACAGAGCAGCAAGATCATCATGACTAATCACAGCGACGTTGCGATAGATTGCGACAACGGATACCGTTTCACCGAGACGCAAGACTGGTTCTCCTTCAACATCGACGCATGGAGGAATCTCTTCCCCACCGTAAACGCTGCGGCACCTTGCGTTCTCGAGATCGGCTCGTGGGAGGGACGCTCCGCCGTGTTCCTCCTCACCGAGCTCTGTAAAGAGGGCGGTAGCATCACCTGCATCGACCACTTCGACCTTCACAAGACGCCGGCCGGCCGCGAGCGCTACGCCAAGATCATGCACAACCTCGCCTTCACCGGCAAGCCGTTCCGAGTGATGGACGACTTCAGCTTTCCAGCGCTGATGAAGCTGCTGGAGGAGGAGATGTCGGCGGAGGAGCCCGGGTTTGATTGGGTGTACGTCGACGGCTCGCACGAGGCGGACGACACGTTGCTCGACGGCGAGCTCGCCTGGCGCCTCGCCCGGAAGGGCGCCATCTTCATCTTCGACGACTATAAGTGGAACGTGCAGCCGGTCGACGGCGTCCATCACCCCAAGCGCGGTATCGACGCCTTCATGAGCGTCCACCGGGGGGAGTACGAGGTGCTCTCCAGCCCCGATCAGTACCAGATGGTCCTTCGCAAGTCGTCCGATATGCGTATCGGGTTTCTTGTGAAGGATCGCGCCGAGGAGCCCAAGTTGGCGGAGGCGCTGGGGTACGGCGTGAATGTCGCCTTGGCCGTCGACTCGGCGTACGCGATGCCCGCAGCCGTATGCATGCGGAGCGCTGCCGAGCGCACGTCCGGGCGCGTCACCTTCTACGTGGTCGACTGCGGGATGACGGAGGCCGACAGGGACAGGATCGAAGCTTCCGTCCCGCAGGATCGGAAAAGCGAGTACACCGTCCAGTTCGTGCCGCTCCCTGCGGACGGGGTGGCGGCGAAGAGGGGCTCGTCGTGGGCGAAGCTCGACGTGATCCGGGCGCTCCCGGTCGAGCGCGTGCTTTACCTGGATGCCGACGTCCTTGTGCGAGGCGACGTCCGCGTCCTATGGGACACAGATCTGCGAGGGAAGACGATCGGCGCCTGCATCGACGTCGGCCACCCAAACGGCCATGCGGATATCGCGAGAGGCCCGTACTACAACGCAGGCGTCATGCTCGTCGACCTCTCTGCCGCGCGTCGCTCCGTAGATGGCCTTCTGGGCTTGGCCGAGAGCATGACAGACTCTAAGTTCCAAGACCAGGACGTGCTCAACGCGCATTTCGAGGGGGAGTGGATGGCCCTGGACCTGCGCTGGAACGCGCAGGGATTGGGGACGTACGCGGGGTATCCATCAGAGGAGCGAGCGTCGTTGGACTTTGCGAGCATGAAACGGCCTGAGATCGTCCATTTCACGGGCCCCGTCCACCCGACGGCGACGGAGGTACTGAACCCGTGGGTGCAGCCATACACATCCAAGCCGTGGGGATACGTTGGCGCTCCCGGGCATCCGTTCGCTAGAGAGTGGTGGGAAGTGCTGGAGAAGACTGCATGGCAGGGTTACCGTAACTCGGACGAGTTCAAGGGTCGATGCAAGAAGGCTATGGAAGATGCTTTGGGTGCGGTCCGACAGGAGTTCGCGCAGAAGGTCGAAATTATCCAGGAAGCCATGTTCGCCGCAGAGCTGCAGTAGTTACGTCCAGAGTTACAGTACGCATCGATTATATGCATGTACTGTCCGGCTTTTGAATACACGAGCGTCATCTGCATTGGCTTGTACATGAACATTGATGAATCGTCGGATGGTCGCTCGACGACACTCATAGACACTAGCCATAGTCATGATAATATCGATCAGCATGTATTGCTCCGAGTTCCATTGCACCGGAGATGACCTGCGTATGACTTGCGGGTCAAACATATAAGGCGCCGCCGACGCTTTCACCCTTGACACGGCCTTGTTCGGCAACCTCGATATGTATACTCATTCCAACTGTACCACGGGCGCAGGCGAATGATGGTCCAGCCTATCACAACGTTCGCGTTTGAATCTGAACGGGGTAATCACATGCTCTTCTCAACCCCGGACTCTCCGGTACCCGTTCCTCAAGACCTCGAAGGAGTGCGCCGCGCTCAGTAACTCTGTACCTTACCCCGCATTCTCGCGGCGCACCCCACCACTGCGCTCCTGCGTACCCGATATATCTCTGAGTTGACCTGAACGAGCATCAATGGTGACGAAAGAGCTCAAGATCTTCAGCGCGGAGGAGGTCGCGAAGGTGAGAGGGGCACTGGAACCGTTCTCACCCATACACCCATCCAATTAACCAATATCTGCCGGCAGCACAACAAAGAGGGTGACCTCTGGATCATAATCGACTCGAAGGTGTACGACCTCTCCCGCTTCGCGACGCTCCATCCAGGCGGCGCCGCCGTCCTGCTCCACCGGACCGTCGCTGGCCAGGACGCGACCGACGCCTTCTTCGGCCTGCACCGGCACGAGGTCCTCCTCCGCCCGCAGTACGCGCGCCTGCAGATCGGGACCGTCGACGGCGAAGTGTCGGTCGTCAAAGTGCCGGAACCGGGCGACTTGTCCGGGGTTCCGTACGCGGAGCCGTCGTGGCTCGCGCAGGGGTACCACAGCCCGTACTACAAGGAGAGCCATAAGCGGTTCCAAAAGGCGTTGAGGCGGTTTATGGAGGAGGTCGTGGAGCCCGACGCGATCAAACACGAAGAGGACGGGAAGCGTATCTCGCAGGACGTCGTGGACAAGCTCTGGTGCGTTTCTGCCGTATCCCTTGCCTTTGTGTTCCGCCCGATTGATTGAACATCTGTATTCTAGCGAGATGAATATACCGGCCATGCGCCTTGGGCCGGGGAAACACCTCAAGGGCCGGACCTTGCTCGGCGGGGTCGTCAAGCCCGAGGAGTTCGACTATTTCCACGAGGCGCGCCCCCGCTGTTCCCCGACTAACGCTGCTCAAGCTGAAACTTGTTTGTCTTGTTGCACAGATGATCATCCACGCCGAGATCGCCCGCATCCCGACGCGCGGGTTCCACGACGGGATCCTCGCTGGTCTGTCCATCGGCCTCCCGCCGATCCTCAACTTCGCGTCGGACGAACTCAAAGCCAAGGTTCGCTCCCCCACCTCTTTCTAACATCCTCCCCCTCCACTTCGTTCCAGAGAGCTCAAGCGATTTGGGGCGCCCTTAGATCGTGCCGGACGTGTTGGCCGGGCGCAAGTTTATCTGTCTCGCGATCAGCGAGGCGTTCGCGGGGAGCGACGTCGGCGGGCTGCAGACCGAGGCCGTGAAGGACGGCGAGGAGTGGGTGATCAACGGTACCAAGAAGTGGATCACGAACGGCACCTTCGCGGACTACTTCACGACCGGGTGCCGGACAGGCGTGCGTACCGGTCTTTCCTCCGTATCGTTATTCTGCTTACGATCTATCGCAGGACTCGTACACGACGATACTGATTCCGCGGCAAGACGGCGTGGAGACGAAGGCGATCAAGACCTCGTACTCGCCCGCCGCCGGTACAGCTTTCGTCACGTTCGACAATGTCGGTGTCCCCCCCTCCAGTTTTCTTACCTTTTTTTCCTTTGATATCAATCTGATGCTTACCGCTGGTCCACAGGTCCGGGTACCGGACGCTAACACGGTGGGAAAGGAGGGCAAGGGCATGTCCGTCATCCTCAGCAACTTCAACCACGAGCGGTGGATGATCACCGTCATGAGCGCGAGCACGCAGCGGCGGATCGTCGAGGAGTGCCTCAAGTGGTCGAACCAGCGGATCGCGTTCGGCAAGCCTCTGAACTCCCAAGCGGTCATCCGCCACAAGCTCGCTGACATGATATCCCGCGTGGAGGCAAGTGATCTCAAACATCCTCCTTCTTGGACCGAAACGGCGTGGTCGACTGACTGGGTTTGACGACCACAGTCGTGTTGGAACTGGCTCGAGACAATCACGCATCAGATGAACAACGTGGGTTTACCTCCCTTTTCTTCGAAATCCGACGTGAAAACCACCGCAGATGTCGTACGCCGAGCAATCCGACAAGCTCGCGGGCACGATCGCGCTCTGCAAGCAATACGTGACCCGGTGCAGCCGGCAGACGGCCGAGGACGCAACGCAGATCTTCGGCGGGCGGGGCATCACCCGGACGGGGATGGGCAAGTTTATCGAGAACGTGAGTTTTTTTTTCGGCGTTTCATTGGCATCTAAGGTTTGTGGCTGATGCTTTGATCGATAGTACCACCGCTCCTCGCCGTTCGATGCGATCCTCGGAGGCGCGGAGTACGTGATGGCCGACTTGGGCGTGAGGCAGGCGATGAGGAAGATGCCCAAGAACACCAGGCTGTGACGAAAGAAAAAACGTTGCTTGTTGCGCATCTATGATTCCCTCACGGTTGTATGTTGTACGTGTACGTACGGATGGACTTTCCAATTTGTGGCGTTTCCTCCGTGTCGGAGCCAGTGGGAACGATCGTTTCATGTCCATCTGCTTCACCGCGCCGTTTGTTGCGTCGTTTTGGCTTGTTGGCTGTGATTACATACTTGGCTTGAGGCCCGCATGCGATGCAGTAACAGTGTGTACGCCCACTTGGCACGCGACTCCTGCCGTACCTGTCGCGACCGCGCAAATGCAGGCAAATGTTCTGTGCGATCACACCATCTGCTGGATCCGGATGGCGAACCCCAGCAATACGTTACCCTCTGCGACGGCGCCTTGCGTCGTCCCCGGTATATAAACCCGCACTGCGACGCCGTCAGCTGGTAGTGGTGCCCTCGCCTCTACGTCCCATGTCTACCAGTACGACCACCGCTCTCTGGCCCCGCCCGTATCCTCCTGCCCGCCGGTCCGACCACGTCGACGTGTACGACAGCGCGAAGGACGGCAAGGTCCGCGTTCCGGACCCTTCACGAATGGCTCGAGCACGACGGCCCGGAGACGGAGGCGTGGACGACGGTGCAGGAGCGGTTTACGCGCGAGTTCCTGGACGCCATACCAGAGAGGAAGATCTTGGAGGACAAGATCAGGGAGAACATCAACTACGCAAAGGTGCATTATTTTACACACGGCGCCGGGCGCAGAGGGATGACCTCTGTTTTGATCCTCCGCCCCTAGTTCAGCTCGCCCTCGTTGAAGAACGATGGGCGCTGGTATTGGTACTATAATAGGTATCGTGCCATTAAACCCATCTGCTCCGGACATGAAATCTGATCGATTGGACAGCGGGCTGCAGGCTCAGTACAGTACGTCTCGTCACTCCCTGAACCTGACTGCATGGAGCTTGACGCTGCACAAAAGCCCTCTACCGCTCTCGCGACTCAACCCTCCCCGACTTCACGAAAAACCCGGAAGCCGATGCCGAGGTTTTCTTCGATGTCAGCTTTATAACACACCACCCTCGGATGTTCCGACTGACGTTCTCTCCATTGCTCCCGACAGGCCAACCTTCTTGCCGAGGACGGGACGGCGTCCCTCGGATCGACCAGTTTCGCGCCTTCCGGCGAACACTGGGCGTACTCCGTGTCGCGATCGGTTGGTCATACGCTACTCGATGCACAAAGTGATGTAACACACGGCCTTTAGGGTAGCGACAGCGTGACTATATACGTCCGCCCGACCTCGTCCCCGTATACCTCTGGGTCGCACGACGATGGCCGTCTAGCGGACGAGCTGAAGTACATCAAGTTCTCGTCGATCACCTGGGACCTCAAATCCGAGGGGTTCTTCTACCAGGTGCGTTACGCGACCCTTTGATGACTCCAACAGCCGTCCTAATCGTAAATGTCTGTCCTGTCGCGTAGAGGTTTCCCCAGCGCGACACGCTGGAGCTCGCGCGAGTGGACAAGATCGGCGCGGAGAGCGAGAAGGATGAATACGCGATGTTGTACTACCATCGCCTCGGCACGTCCCAATGTCGGTATATCCGCGATAATCCGCACCGTCTGGCGAGCGCACAGAGCTCACGCGTACAATCTTTTGTTCAGCCGATGACCTACTCATCTTGAAAGATGACAAGAACCCCCAGTACCGGTGGAGTGCGCACATAGCCGAAATCGACCGACGGTACCTCGTCGTTGCCGTTAGCGCGGATACCTCTCAGGTAGAGTTACACGCCTCTCCCCGTCCCCTCCCAATGATCGTCACGTTCTGAGGCCGCATGATCCCTCTCAGAAAAATCTCCTGTGGATCTGTGACCTGGCGAACAACGAGATCGGTCCCGACATGAAGTGGCACAAGGTCGTGGACAAGTTCCACGCGCTGTACACCGTGTAAGATGCCCGACGCGACAATGCGTGCGAGCCACCGCTTTCGCGTGCGCTAATCACTGCTTTTTAGTATCGCCATCGAGGGGACGAAGCTTTACACACACACGAACAAGGATGCCGACCAGTTCAAGCTCATCACTATCGACCTTGCCGACGAGAGCTGGACTGAGACTGACCTTATCCCCGAAGACAAAGGTGCCTGTCTGGAGCAAGTCGTAGCGGTGTCCAAGGACAGGCTAGCCGTTGTGTACAAACGAGACGTACGTCGCGCACATGCTTGCGTAGGACGCATAAGACAACGATATATTCATCGGGCTTTTTCCAGGTCAAAGACGAGGTGTACGTATACGAGCTCTCGTCGGGGAAGCAGCTCGCCCGCGTCGCGTCGGATTTCGTCGGTACGATGTCGATCAGCGGCGACCGGCGCCACCCCTGGTTCTTCGTCAACATGACGGGCTTCACCACGCCCGCCATCATCGGGCAGTACGACTTTACGGTGGAGGAAAAGGAGGGGCGGTGGGCGGTACGGAGACAGGCCGACGTGCGCGGGCTGCGGCCGGAAGACTTCGTGGCGGAGCAGCGGTGGTACGCGAGCAAGGACGGGACGAAGGTGCCGATGTTCATCGTGCGCCATAAGGCGACCAAGGTGGACGGAACGGCGCCTGCGATACAGTACGGTGCGCATGGCATATGTTGCATATGTTCGGCGAGAGGCTCAATTGCGCCACTCTGGAACCCTTAGGTTATGGCGGATTCGGTATCTCGGTCAACCCGTTCTGGAGCCCTGCGCTCCTCACCGTCATCGAGAGGTACGGCGGTGTGCTCGCGGTGGCTAATATCCGTGGGGGAGGGGAGTTCGGCGAGGCCTGGCATCTGGCTGGGACGAAGGAACGCAAGGTCGGTTAGGACTCGAACTGGTGGCTAGACTTAGCGCTGATTAGTCCTAGCACAACTGTTTCGACGACTTCATAGCTGCAACGTAAACATTATCATGGTACTCGAAAACATGAAGCCTTACTGACTTTTCGCAAGGGAATTCTTGGTAGAGAATAAATATGCGGCTCCCGGAAAGGTCGCTATAAATGGAGGTTCCAACGGAGGTGCGAGTTGTCGTTCACGTATGTGGCCTTGCCTGACCGGCGGCGACAGGTTTACTCGTTGCTGCTTCAGCGTTCCGAGCTCCTGAAGGAACATTCGGCGCCGTCGTGTCCGAAGTAGGCGTGCACGACATGCTCAAGGTACGTTCCTCTGCGCCTCCCTGCCCCGCCAGCCTGACAGACTCGGATCGCAGTTTTCGCAATTCACCATAGGTAATCTGAGCTCCCATCATCAGCATCCCTGGCGTTCGTTGCTGATGCACCGAGGATAGGCCATGCGTGGAGGTCGGATTATGGCGATCCGCAAAAACCGGAGGATTTCGACTTCATCAAGCCCATATCGCCACTACACAATGTCTCGACGGATAAAACCCTGCCGCCTACGATATTGCTGACCGCTGATCGTGAGTATCCCTACTCCGCTGTATACTATCGTGAAGCTGAAGTCGTCCGCCCTCATGCAGACGATGACCGTGTCGTCCCACTGCATAGCTTCAAACTCGCGGCAACCCTGCAGCACCTGCACCCGCAAAGCAAACATCCTCTCCTCATACGGATACAGAAGAAGGCGGGGCATGGCGCGGGCAAGTCCACAGAACAAGCGTGAGTCCTCCGAGTCCTATGCTTAATTTCAATGTCTGAGAAATGTATGTCATAGCATCAAAGAAGCTGCCGATAAATGGGGCTTCGTGGTACAGACGATGGGCTTGGTACCGAAGTCAGAGCCGGCGGCGCATTATTGAACTGAAACGTTGACATGGGAAATGTCACGTCAACCTGCCTGAGGCACATAATTCGGACGTTCAACCGCGATGCGCATACTCTATCGCACTCCCTACGGAACTCTCAGTACTACCCGCGCTGCCTACCCTGCAAGCTATCATTCTATTACATCAACACCTACTTATTTGAATACATCTGCAAACCCGAGATCACGAAGGATTTCCAGCCTATTGCTCACGTTCAAAGACTTCGACCGATCTACGACACTATGCACAATCCGTCTATTTCATCAAGAGCCTGTTCGCCTGAAGCTGGTTTTCTCGCGAACAGCGCTTCAGCGGGCTCTATCGAGCTCTGTGACCTCCTGAGATACTCGTACTCGGAGGATTTGCTCTCCATGTCGCTCACGCTCTCTTCAATGTTTAGCGATTCCTCGGACGACGATGAGATACCGCCTTTTCCTTCGCCCATGAAACAGACTTCCGCGGTCGCGCTTGTTGATCTCCGTGCCACCCCCTTCGCCAGAGGTGGGGGCGTGGTCATCCCCACGCGCAGAGCTGCCCCCACGGTGCCCACAATCCCGCGTTTACAAGACTGGGGGATCGAGAAGGTCGGAGTTGATCTTTGGCTGGTAAGCGGCAAACACTGTTATCGAGTTCTCCGGGTGACTGTGCTCACATGAGCTACGCTGGATCACAGGCCACCTTGACGACTCTCGAGCCTCCCGGACATGCAATATGGGAAGACCTGAAACCCACCCCTGTAATGCCGTGGATTCGTGAAGGCTCGCTCTATTCATCAGAGCTTCTGCTGGCACTCTCCCGGAATGGATCTCGCCTCCCCACCGTACCCTCACAAAGCCAAGACGAGGCTATACCCTTATCTCCCCCTTGTTCCCCGACTACAGCATACGCACCCGCAAGTCGGGCCTCGCAATATCGAGAGGCTTTGATTTTCGATCGGGAAGTCACGTTGACTTCATCGGGAACGCGTAAGAGGTGCTCCGTTCATGTGAAGCTCAGCGAGATGAATCCGGAGACTGTGAACATGATGATGCAGCTGCGCGACCTCAACAAGTTCTTCGATGACAACCCGCGCTCGGAGGCGCCGCAAATGGTACCTGGCCCAGACGCAGACACGCAGAGCCGTCCAGCGATTATGGTGTCTACGTCCCCGGACGCGCAGGAGGTTGTCCCCGGTCCGGACAGGAGCTGTAATCCTTCCATCATGGTCTCGACGTCAACCGTTGTAATGCCGATCTCACTCTCGTCGACGGGGACGCTGGACACGCCAGAGAATGTCGGTACCACGCCTCTCGCCATTCGTCGAGGGTGCCGGCTACCACAGCAGCTGAAGCTGAAGGCGGGCCAGGACATTCCGTATCCCGGTGTTCCTACGCCTTTCGTCGGGACACCGTCGGCGTACAAGATTGACAGCATCGATCACGCTGAGGCGGGCTCCGGCATGGGGGTTGAGGACATGGTCAAGGACCTGAGGGCGAAGTGCATGGCACTTCGTGATCCCACTGGGCCGGCGTCAACGCAAACCGTTCCAGAAGCGGACTTCTACAAGGTGCTTTCGTCGTCCTCTGGGGAACTGGCAAGCATCTCCGAACAGTCGGAGGACGACGAATGGGCGTTCGCCAACGATTTGATGGAGCGATGGGGAGATGACCCCACGTTCGGCGTGCCCCTCCCGCCCGTACCATCGCCTCATCTGTCGAGACCGTCGACGCCCGGATCCCCAGCGCTATCCATACCGAGCCGACCCCAAAGCGCGGCATCTTCCTTGCGCGGCATTCTGAAGTCGCCCAAGTCACCCAAAATCGTTCGGTTCGAGTGCCCTAGCAGCGAATCCGATTCGTCCGAGGACCAACATCCGGCGCCCAACAGGGATCAGAGCCCGTCTCCTCATTTCTTGAGCGATCGCCGCGTCGTATCCGTCCCCGCACTGCGAGGTCCTTCTCCCCTTCACCAGAGCGTCTCCATGGCGACGCGCGGCTCCTTCTCGTCCAGCGGTTCATCCTCAGACAATATTGTCTATGATGGGATAGTGCGGAGCAGGATCGGGATGAGGGTGACCCCCGTCCCATGTGGAGTGAAGTACCCGCCACGCCAGTCCTTCATCGGACCTAAAAGCCTGCGGCCGGATACTCCGTCGCCTAAACGTCCGAGTAGACTGCCCAGTCCGGTACCCATCCATACGGCCGCTCGAGCTGCCGCCAGGAAGAGCGTAGCTTGTCCGGCGCCGACATCTATCCCGGCAACGCCGAGGAGACCGCCGCGACCCCAAACTACTGCCATGTTGCCTCCCAGCCCCGTCACTCCTACTGGTGACAGGCGGAAGACAATCGCAGCCGACGCGCCGAAGGCCGTACCGAGGGTGGCGGCCGGCCCGGGGAAGCGAGCAACCGTAATGTTCAACCAGCACCGACCCACCACTATCATCGTGGTCGAGGGGTGTGTTCAACAGAAAGGACCACAAGGATCGCCTAATACCATTCGACGCGTTCCGCCTCCCAGCGTGAACGTGAACAGACGTTCCGGTGGTGAACCCCCTGCTACTTGTACGATCGGGAAGGAGAACCGAGTGCTCGGACGCATTGCGGAGGAGAGAATTCCAGGATCCGTGACAAGCAACGCCAAAGTCGCTTCCTCTTTACTGCCGATCCCGGTCATTGACACGCAGCCAGAGAAGAAGGGCAGCGGTAGAGCCCGAGGAATGACGTTGCGGTCTGTTTTAAGCGCTATACCCATAGCGAAGCAGTTATCACGCAACCGTGCTAGCGCCCCGAATGTTTGATGATCTGTGGTTTATTCTATTGTTCGTCTGTACCGTCCAGTTTTGAATCGTTGTATATCGAGATGCGGGCATAGAACACGGCGCATTCATCGTCGAATTGCAGGCGCTCGTCGCGTCGCGACTCGTTTCAACGCGCTGTCATGTGATCGCGACGCGCTGCGCGTCCGACCGCAGGTCTCCTTCCGCCGAGAACGCTCCCGTTTTATTCAGACCGTCGATCATGGAAGATGGCATATCACTGGATTCATTGCTTGCTGGACTGAACAAGGAACAACGTGCAGGCAAGTTTCGCACCTCGTACGAGTTGATCCGTTCCGTCTTGAAGTGTCATAGCTGTTGAACATCCACCGGACGTGCCGCTACAAATTCTGGCTGGACCAGGCAGTGGAAAGACCAGGGTGAGGATACATGCATGAGGATGGCGACCGAACTAGGGACGTAACTCTCTGCCCACAGGTCCTCACCACTCGCATCGCATATCTAATCTCGAAGCATGGGTTCGCACCTTCGTCTATATGCGCCGTAACGTTCACCAACAAGGCGGCGAATGAGATGCGCGAGCGCCTGACGAAGCTTTTGGGGAGTCAACGCACCTCTGAGATCAGAATGGGCACTTTCCATGCGCTTTGCGCCATGTCCCTGCGTCGGTATGCGACTTCAGTGGGCTTAGAGTCAAACTTCACCGTCTGTGACGCCGACGAGAGGTGAGTTGCCTGACCTCCGAGTTTGTTCCGAATCCAATGCGGAGCTTTCAGCAAGAAAATTGTCGGGAGATTGCTAAAGACATACAACGCGTTCCTTGAGGAGAAGAACATCTCACTGAAGGAAGGTGTCGTGCTCTCGATGATCTCGAAGGCAAAGGCCAAAGGAACTTCGGCAGAAGAGATGCTAGCTACTGTCAACAAAGGGTCCCATAAATTGGATCCACTCACCCACGTCGTAGCCGAGATATATGCGGAGTATGTCATGCACCCTCCCACTTGTTCCTTGGGTTGTTCATGACTTTTTATTCTTACATAGGTATCAGTCAGCTTTACGAAAATCGAACTCCCTCGACTTCGACGATCTCCTCGTATACGGTGTCAAACTTTTCAAGTGGAACAACGGCCAAGTAGTGAGATGGTGTAAACATGTGCTCGTCGACGAATTGTACGCATATATCCGGAATTCATATGAGTATGGCAGTGACATCGGTTTTGTGCTCTGGAAGCCAGGACACCAACACGACGCAATACGAGCTGATGATGCGCATCGCTGCGGCACATAGGTGTGTGACTATCGTTGGTGACCCTGATCAGTCCAGTGCGTTTTTGTCCTCGCCCTCATATGACTTTCTTGCTCATCGAATGCTCTGTGCCAAAGTCTATGGATGGCGATCCGCTGAGGTCGAAAACCTGGCCAAGATGCGGAAGGACTTTCCGGCGACGAAAGAAATATTGCTCGAGCAGAACTATCGTTCAACTGGCTCCATCCTTGCTGCTAGCCTGGCCATTGTAGAGCAGGGTGAGTGCCTTGTTCGCTTTTCGGATGAAGCGCGTCATCCAATCCGTGTTCGCAGATAAAACACGGATACGAAAATCCCTCCGCACCACTCACCCGACATCTACGTTGCCGGTGCTTCAACAGCTTCCCTCCGAGCAAATGGAAGGTCAGTCCATGTATTACGGGGCTAACATTGCACGTTTCTGACCTCGCAATAGCGCAGTTTATTGCCCTCGAGATCAAGCGATTGGTAGCCGAATTCGGAGGAGCGCTAAACTGGAGTGATTTCGCTGTTCTGCGTATGTCTGTTGGGTAGTTTCTCTGCGGTACTAGTCCCGATGCCTCATACCGTTTCTAGTTCGCTTCAGCGCCCTTTCTCGCACGGTTGAGAGCGCACTGCAAAAGCAGGGGATCCCTAGTCGAGTACTTGGAGGGCACAAGTTCTTCGACCGCGTCGAGGTCAAGGACACCCTGGCGTACCTCCAACTTGTGGACAATCATCTATTCGTGCCTGCGTTCATGCGCGTCGTCAATGTCCCGGCCCGTGGCATTGGAGAAAAGGTGATGATTGTGCTGACCATGCTGTCACGGTCGAACTAATGTTCTTTCGCAATTTTAGACGGTGGCCGAACTGATTCTACGAGCCTCTAGACTCAATATTTCTCCGCTGCAGTTGCTCGAGAAGATCCATGACGGCCGAACGCCTGACATCAAGCCCCCAGTCAAGCGAAAAATCGGCGCGTTCGTCACAGCCATACGTAGGCTGCGCGAGTCGGCACAACAGGTGGGTACTACCAGCGCCGTGCTATGGGGTGCAGACGTGGATAGCAACTAACATCTCACCAGGGAGCGTCCCCGGCAGATCTTATAAGACAACTGTTGGACCTCACCGGTTACGAAGAGCATTTGAGGAAAACGCACGACGACTTCGACACCCGAATGGAGAACATAGAAGAGCTCATTAACTTCGCCGCCGTTGCACAGTTGGCGGACGACCCGATTGCGGACGATTTGACCACCGGCGACGACACCTCAGAAGGGCTGGTTATCGTGGACGCCGAATGGCAGGATTCATCACTTGCTGAGGATTTAGACAGAGATGGCTTGGTGATGGTCGAGCCTGCAGACCCCTCAAACCCCGTTGAGGTCCAGCCAAACCGACCATCCTCCGGGTTCGTGCATCGTATCTCGAATGATCACAATTTGTTCACACGATATCATAGGACCACACCCTTACGAGTCTTCTTACAGGCATCGATGCTATCGACCGACAGCGAGGCGCAAGATGAGCAATCGGCGAATGAGGTAAGGTTTGACCTAAGCGATCTTTGTCAGTTCGTGAAATCATCGGCAGAAAGTTACTATATCAACTTGCCATGCGGCGAAGGGACTGGAATGGCCAGTGGTTATGATACCAGCTGTGGAAAACGGCGTCTTTCCCTTCTATCGGTCGGAGGACACAGAAGAAGAACGGTTTGTCATCATGAGAGGATCTCGAGCATGCACAGGCTTATATTGGAGAAATCTTGCAGACGTCTGCTCTATGTTGCCTGTACGCGTGCCCAAGGCTTCCTGTACCTTACGCACGTAAGCAACAGGATGGCAGGTGGGGAAGCGAAGAAAAGAGAACTGTCGGAGTTCATTTCCGTGCTGTCAAAAGCTCCCAGAGTACGCATCATCTCACAGATTGTGACTTCCGTTCGTGCTGAAGACAGCTGTAGCCTCTTTTTTTACCTCACTCTCCACGATTAGCCACCCCGGATCGTGTCAACGTCGCTCGTATGTTGGGAAGACAGCCACCTGATGAAAGGCAGGTCGCTCGACGAGTAGCAGACTAGTGCGTCATTCGGGGAGTTGCACTCTATATTTACTGATGGCCTCCACTCTCTTGATAGCAATGACCTCATACGTCGCGTCGATCATGGGCCAGTCGCTAGCCGTCCGGTGTCAGCGCGAAGTCAAAATCTTCCCATCTACAGCGACGTCGGCTTTTCGTCCGCGCGAACCCCACATCAATCAACACCTAGGCGCATGCCCTTGGTAGCCTCTCGCCCTCCTGTTTTCAATGGAGCAAATCAAACTGCGCTGCTGGCGCCGAATCGCCGTCCGGACGAGCGGTCTTCCTCTATCGTCGCCAATGATGCCCTCGTCTCGGAGTCGGGCGTACACCATGCCCTGCCTACGACAGCGAAATACTCGAAGCCTATAACTCCCGATACTCTCGCCAGTCCTGCCTTGGTTGCCCGCGCCGATTCCATTGTACCGGTAGCGAATCCCGGCACGAAACGACGCCTGGGTATGGGGCGCGGCGGTACCGGTTACCAGAACAAGAAATTCAAAGTACAAGCTCCGATCATATGATCACCGCCATGGCTTATACCCTAAAGCATCTTCTAGACCCGCTTCGGCTCTCGCTGTCACCAACCCTGCAATTGTAGTCGTACTCATCTCTCGTCACGTCATCGCGAAAACATGTATCATCATCAACATCACATATAGACGAAAGTTTATGAGAGGGATCGTCCATAACATTTTAAGTGAGAGAGAGTCAAGGTATCCTCCCGTCCCCGTTCATTAATATCCACAAGCGCCGATAGCGGGCAGATAGATTAGATATAAAATAGCTTTTCATGGTCTTCCAGGCGACACCGTGTTCACGCGCAAACAGGCGGCTGATCATTCTGTTTATCGGCGAATGAGCCATGCATCTGATACGTCGAGCATGACGATGCTCACCTTCGAAAACGAAATCATATGGCAAGTGATATAGCCTTTCGCGAATCCGGCCGCTGCGTACGCGAACAGGTACTGCCATTTCCTTTTGATCGCATCGAAGTCTGCTTGCCCGTTGGAGGAGCTCGACGATGGTAACCGGAGGGTCAGCTTCACGTCATCCTCGCTGGTGTTTCGGCCCCCGGTAACGGTCGCGCCGCCCTGTTTCTCCTCGTCCTGGCCCAGACCGAGATCCGACGGCCGCAGGTTCTGCTCCAACCTCCGTCCCCATTCGCGGAGCGTGCGCGGGTAGTGCGCGCTGTGGTTCTCGACCGACTCGAGGGTGAATCGGCCGGACGAGCCGTATTGGGCAGAGGTGACGAGCACCGTCGCGGAGGGGAGGCATGAGTTAGGCCACATGTAGCGGCGCATGAAGTCTTCGGGTCTGTGCAAAAGGTTGAGGTCAGAAGGGTGAACACAGCAACGGCTTGGAATGGAGTGGTGTACTCACTGATACCCGGTGTAGCGACTTTCTGGGAAAGTCGAGGAGCTGATGACGACCCTAGCGTTCGATGGCTTGAGCGCCCAGTCGACCAGCTTGAAATAGGTGTTGTAGTGCTGAGAGCCGACGTGCTGCCATGATGATTCCCGTTCAGCGTCTCGTCTCCATGATTCTTCGCGCTGTGACGACAACTCGCTCACCTCCAACATCTCGATGCTGACAAAGGCGTCGAACGCCGATTTCCATTCGGCGGGCATGTCTCGGTAGTCCATCAGATGGACTCGGATTCGGTCCTCGAGCCCGGCCTCGCGGATCCGCTCTTCGGCAAGCCTTTTCTGTTCCATTGACAGCGTGAGAGTGTCCACCAAGCAGGAATAGGTTCGTGAGGCCTGAGTGCATCATCCTCATCAGCGAAACCGAGCACGGCGAATCGAAATTCGTGGCAATCGCACCTCGATCGCCAACGCTCCCCAGCCGCTACCGAATTCGAGCAGCCGGTCGCCGGGCCGCAGGCGGAGCTTTTTGAGCGCGTGGTGGATCTTGCGATGCTGCGCTGCTTCTAAATCATCTAGACGAGAGGAGAATTTGGGTTTATACGAGATGAAGTCGTCTATGAGGGTTTCCGTTGATGAAGAGGCCGAGGAGATGGCGCCGTATGGGGCATGGAGATGCTGGAGATCGAGGTCGCCGCGGACACCGCCCTCGTTTGGACCCCAGTACGCACAAGAGTACATCATTTCTCGTGAAAGGAACGCCTACATGACAATCGTTGTGAGCCAAGACAGGATCGCCCAACGCTATTGTATCGCTAACCTGGAATAGATCGTTGCTCTGGTCGTATGCCGCGATAACGTTGAGTCGTGATTGGCTAAGTGTCTGTCCAAACAATGCATTTGAGAGACCGGACAAAGCGGAGGTGATCTTGTTGATGCCAGATGACAATCCCGACATGGTAGATTCATTATCGAGCCATAACTTCCCACAGGAGTGTCAGCAGATGCTTCGTATCTCAACGGGTAATCGACGCACATCGAATACACCCTTGAGGTTGTCGGCTTCGACTTGGACTTCGCCAACCATGTATGCCTCGCTAACTGCCAGGCCGATAAGCGACGTATCGTAAGTATCGTACGAACTATGACTCACATCCGAGATCTCCGTTTGCGAAGACTCTGTTCCAAAAGTGTTCATCGTTGACGTATAGATAGACAATGTTCTGGCTCTCGCTCCGAGACTGTCCGAACATGTATGTCTCGCATCCCTCTTGTATCTCAAGGCGACCAATGAGGATCGCCTGCCGCAAAAATGCAATGGTGGATGAGCGAGCTGAACAACTGTTAGGCACCCAAACTAGCAACTATATAACGTTTGATCGCTAACCGAAAGCGGATCGCCAAGAGCGGCGAGCTGGACGGGAGGCGGCGGTGGCGGGCTGAGACTGGCACACTGCCGGGCTGGATATCGCGGAACCCATGGACAGAGATACGTTTGCTGGATAGGAAGTGGGAGAGAAAGAAAAAACCCTGACGGTATGGTGACCGCGAACTCCACCATACTTATAGTCTCTTTTGCGCGACAGGCAGCTGCCAAGTATAACCGAGCAGCCGCGCATTTCACCCTGGAGGCATCGACCCGCGCCCGCGCAAATCATACGTCCCGCCAGCCCAGCCAGGTAATCGCGGCAACCTCGAGTCCAGGATATGCCCTACCCTGCAAAGAGCCCGAAATTACGGCACAAGGAGGAAGGGCTAGGGCGCGCCATGCGGTTGGAAGTAGGCAAAATCTAGACTGGATTGCGCTATTGTGTGATCCTCCAGTCATCGGGGAGAGATATCCTTCTAACTTTGACCTTCCAGATCTGAGATAGATTCGTTGAGATTCATTATGTCGAAGTCATGTCATTCGACAGTGATGCGCGCGTGCACGGCGTGGTCGAAAGGTAAGTTGAGCAACTCGGAAGCGCGGCGTGCGTGCCGGCAAGTCAAAATGACCCACGATCACGAGACTCGCCTTTCCGTTCTGCCACTGCCAGCAGCCGCCAGCGTTTCTTCTCTGCTCCCGGGCCGGATTTGCGCTGCTCTTGTCGGACAATAAAGGGACATCGTTTCAGCCTTTGCCGGTCAACGTGTCTAACTAAAACCTCATAAAATGCCTGACATGACCCGTCTAGCTTATTTTGACATCGGACCAAGCAGTCTCTCCATGCCATCCGAACGCGATTCATTGGCCTGTTCCTACTTGATCCCGAATCCGATCCTCCAGACGCGTCATCCAAATACCGAGCGCACGGTGAGTCGCCGAATTTGATTCGCACAGGTACGCCAAATACACATTGACATCACCTCTTACCTTACCTCCAACAGCCTCTAACGCCGCCGAACTTTCGTTCGCGGCAGTAAGTTACTTTGCCGTGATGTGATAAGCTTTTAGCCTCGTCTCCCGGCCTTAAGCTTAAGGCCTTACAGCTTGTTGAAATGCATCATATTTGACCTGGACAGGAACACCGTCGCCCGGTGACATGCATAACAACTCGCGCAATTTCTGCAGAGGAAATTCGTAAGGGCCGCTTATCTCCCAAGGATTTGCAGAAATGCCTCGAAGCCCTCCACCAGGACGGCATCGTGATCTTGGAAGACGCGGTTTCTCTAGTAAGCAGGGCAATGCTTTCTCCATACTTGCGTCGACGTTTCGATCCGGAGATCGGGATGGTTTCCGTCGTTCAGCATGAAACTTCGGCCCGCAGGAGTCCCTTGACGCGCACATCGCCCGTATGACGCCCGAAGCCATCAGGCCCCACGGCCAGGCCGATACGACCTTCAATTTCGGCTCCGCAGCGCAAAACACACAGCAGGAGCCGCTACCTGCACCGGACATGCTGTTCCAAGACGTCCTCTGCAACCGGTATGCGAGCCAGGTGATCAAGTATGCCCTAGGCCCAGAGCCCGTCCTTAGGTTCGAACGCCGAGCCCTTGGTGAAAAGGCTTTACAATGCCGGCGACCCTGACTACCCGCGTTAGGTTCTACTCTGCCAATAATTATGCTATTTCCTGGCAACGCGGCCCAACCCGTTCATTCGGACGTTGAGACCGCGTTCCCGCCCGCCCCCTTCGCGTACGCCGTCAACATCCCGCTCATCGAAGTCACGCCCGAAGGCGGCTCTACGGAATGAGACTCGGTTCTATACTCTCTCCAGTACCACGGCACTGATCTCATCTCTTGCGCCTACCAGATTCTGGCCGGGGACCCACCTGGTGCGTTCATGTATGCCACACACTCTGATATCCTTATGGAAGATGATCATAGGGATCAAATCAGCTCGGGGTGGACCATCAAACCTTCGCTAGTACAGCGACGTCGTCAGACGCCTGGGACGGGGTCCGGTTCAACCGCACCTTCCCAAAGGGTCACTGATCATTCGCGACCTCCGGCTATGGCACAATGGGAAGCGCGATGGCGGTAACGTTTCCATATTATTAGACTTTGGCGACCGGAGCACGGGATGGTTCAAATTTGGTATCTGGTACTTGCGCAGGAAGGGCCACCCCGGGTGATGCTCATCCTCATCGAAGTCTTCTTCGCCTCGTGGTACCGTTCGTCGTTGCGCCTGACGCTGTTTTAGCGTGCCCGGCCGGTGGTCGAGCGGTTTGCGCTGGAAGCGGGAGTGGAGATCGCAGTGGACTATCGAGACGCAGCGTCCGAGTCGTTGTCGGAAGATTGGTATCCGGAGGGGGGGCGCATGAGGTGAGCTGATGACGTTGCATGAAGAGTTCTGTGCTTATCATGTGCTTGGCTGACGCTGACTTCGTCGTTATGAGCAGCACACGTTCGACCAAGATGTGACGCGGGAGTGGTAAGCGTACGTAGTTACGCACGGGCGCGCACAAGTGTAGACAGGCGCCTGGTTACCAGTATAGTACAGATGCGACAGTCCGCTGTGCCAGGTTGTGGTAGCAGCCAGTTAGCGAATGTAACCCCTTTTCGGTCCACGCTCAGTGTACTTCCGCCAGTTGATGCGACGGGGCGAAAGCGCTGCTTGGCGCCGCATCCCTGAGTCTCGCGCCGGACGCGGATGTCGAGCTGTAGTAAAGGCGCCCGGCGACGTCGTGTACGACCCAGTCCAGTCCTTCCGTCAGGTTCTCGCCCGTCACTGCACTGCACGACATGATCTTCCAGTTGTGCGACTTGATCGACGGCAGATCGAGCGCCTGTTTGGCGGTCGAACGATTGAGTGCCACCGTACGCGCCGATGAGATATAATTGATCAGGCTCACGTCGCTGATCTCGGCGCTCGTCATGGAGCCGCCGATGTCCTGCTTGTTCGCGAAGACGAGGAGAGATGCCCCGGCAAGGCGCTGAGGTCGTAAAGTCAGGTCTCATCAGAGGACGGGCAAGGGTGCAGTAGCAGGGTAGTGGACCATACATCTTCGAGTAGGAGACTATGGAGCTCCTCTTTGCAGTCCTGCGTCCGGAACCGATCGCTGGAGTCCACCACCCACACGATCGCGTCCGTCTGCTCGAAGTAGTTGCGCCAGTACGGTCGTAGCGTGCGTTGACCGCCAACGTCCCCTTCGAGGCGAAATGAACAAGGCGCATCGATGGAGGATAAGGAGACGTACAAATGTTCAACGTATACCTAGCGGGATGGAGGATCCATATCAGTGTATCGTTTTGAGAGACGTGAAAGCACTGACTTTCCGTGTTGGAATGTCTTGATGTTGAAACCAAGTGTCGGGCTGACGCTCATGATATCCTCGCCGTTGATCTTCTTGAGAATGGTCGTCTTTCCGGCATTATCCAAGCCTCTGGGAGCAGCAGAGACGCGCTCGTCAGACGGAGTCAGACAGAAACCAAGTACCAGGCCGACAGAAACAGCAGCCGCATTTCCTTCTCCTTCTCGCGGTTTTTCCGGATGATGGTCAGGAGGCCCATAGAGACTCGTATTGAGCGTAAAAGAAAAGAAGGATGACAAGAAGTCCAGCTCAGTGTTGCGGTCTTCTTGTAGGGACAGTCAGACGAAAGAAAAGCAATAAATATTGAGACCCGTAGGTCTACCACTCCGGGAAAGCGTGTCATCCTTGTGCAGGGGCCATGCTAATCTTCTCTGTATCGTTCCAATTTTATCGTATGTCACCCCGAAGGGGACAACAGTTGCAGGCAGGTCAGATGACGTATGTAACGGATTTCGCATTGTGTGCGCTTCGCGGGTAACACGCCTCGGGCCTCACCTCGAGTTACCACCCAGCTGCGTCGATCTGACCTAAGCCTCTCATATCGCGCGCTCACAACTTCTATCCCATTCATCTGGCAGCACGTTTCCAGTAGAAATCGTAGACAATCACGCAAATCCCTTTGCGCATCGTGTTTGGATGGATGGCGGCAACCGAATGTACGAATGAGATCCAAGGATTGTGCTTTCGTCGTATGCTGATCATCTTTGACTACTCGGCGCAAAGATCAAAAGCACTTGTTGACCAGATTGATCGCACTCTCATCCGCTCGCTCGAGGATCCGGCTCATCCACTCCACTGCGAACAGTTTTACAGCGAATGCATCCGCATCATATCTGAGATAAACAGCCGGTACCACTCCATGAAGCATTGGCCAAGACACACCATCACAGGCTTCTCGATACCCTGATGAGATTCCTATCCTTCCCAGGTCCCGATTTTTGGTTCACCATCGCGTCGCACATTCACTTCAATCCTCTCCAATGCTCGGCGTATAAGCTTTTCGACTGTAGGAACTCACAGACGCGGCATTGTTGCAAGCCTGTATAGACCGCTAGCGCTGAAGGCAACGACGTCGCGTGCACGGTCGCGCGTCTTCAACATACAACTTGTGTGCATACCCGCATCATCTCTTCTTTCAGATGAAGGTTGCACCTCGGGAGTACGATCGATCCAGTAGTCTGTTCCCCTCGCACGCTGATTGTCCTAGACGATGCATCTATTCATTTTCTGAATCCACGACTGCAGCTCCGTTGGCAGGTATTGGCTCTGACAGCGCAAAAGTTCGATGACGAAACCCAAGACGTGTAAGACGGTCGCTCCAATAATCAATGTAAAATAGTACATCCATGCAAAGAAGAACTCAAGTCACAGACGTCAGTTCCGAGACGAGACTATCGCGTGCTCCGAAATGCTCCGGGATCCGAGGGAGGGTGGTAATAAACGACGAGTCCATTACCAGTCTCCGCCGTCGTCGCCACCAAAGTCGTCTTGTTGACCGTCCTGGTAGCCGTCGCGGTAGGCGTCCTCCTGCGAGTCGTCGAGCGCGTTCTCGAGGAGCATACCGCCGAGTAAACCGGCACCGGCTGAGTAGCGGCAAGTCGTTAGCGCAACTCTGAGAACGATGAGGTGCGGGTGAGGACGAACCTCCGGCAACCACGGTGCCCATGCCGATCCCCGACTTCTTCGGTGGGGCCTGCTGGTACACGACCTGAGGCTGCTGTTGCTGCGAAGACCCTCCGCCGAAGCGACCGAAGAAGCCTATTGCAGAAGGATACGAGAGAGATTGATTAACACGTGATTTCTGACAACAACGGCGATTCGAGAGATATGATAATGCAGAGCCAACGCACCTCTGTCCTCTTGTGGCGGACCTTGGGGGTATCCGCCGCCGTATCCACCCTGGTTGTAGCCCTGCGGGTATCCGCCGCCGTAGCCGCCCTGGGGAGCGTAGCCGGCTTGAGGCCCGCCCCATTGACCATGCGGAGGGCCGTTGAAGCCCCGGTTGTCGTATCCGGGACCGGGACTGGGGCCGCCGTAGGCCTGGTTGGGCGGGGGCGGTCCGCCGGGCGGTGCGTATGCACCCGGCGAAGGTACGGGAGGAGGCGGGCCGAGCGGGTGCGTCCAAGAGGACCGGGGCGGGTTGGTGTTCGTGTCAACGTAGAACCTGTGCGGCGGCGATCTCCCGTCAGCACTGCGCCTTCCGGTGCTCAAGACATCAGACGGCGCGCACCATTGCTTGTAGCTGCAGGGATAGGCACGCGATCAGCCACTGCGAGCGAGCGCGATCGGAGGTAGATCGTTGACACATACTTGTTGTCCCACTGCTCTACCCAGCCCGGCGGTAGTTTCCTATTGTCGGGGTTGACCGGTGGATTGGCGGGGCCGCCGTATGGAGGAGGCTGCGACATGACGATGATGAGGGGGATGAAGGAGGGATCAGATACGTGCTCGTCTTACGTTGCTCGATGGCGACTCGGCTTTATACTGGCCAAAGCACGGGGCTATCGAAGCTGTGCTCACGCAGCAATAACCCGACAGGTCCGGCCCTGGCGCGGCTAAAGCCGCTCACCTCATCATCTCCTGCCCCAGTACCGCAACCCTCACTACTCAGCCACACCGGCGCAGCAGGGCCTCCACAGATCGCGCTCAGAGCGACGGGTGGTATGTACGATGAGCAAGCAGGGAAGCGATGTGTTGTCAAAAAAAGAGCGGGTAAACGGAATATCGCGACGACATACAAGAAAACATATGTACGCGGTCAGGACTAGTACTATGAAGAAGCATAGGGTATTATAACACAGGTAACCGGAGCATATAACGAAACAATAAGGCATGGTACAGCCGGCTAGCCAATCGTCCCAGTCACAATATACCTCTGTTGAAGACGAAACTCGGTATCGATCTGGTCCGTACAGTTCTGGTTCGTTTTTTTCTCCGTTGACCCGATGGAGACGCGTGGTAGGTGGTTTCATGCCTTGGATTTCTTGGGCTTGGCGGAGTCGTGCTTCTTCGGTTTTTTAGGCGTAGGCTCGGGCTCTTCTTCTTCGGAAGAGGAAGAAGACCCAGCGCTCTCTTCTTCGGAGGATTCCTCGCTGGTGCTTGTCGTCACCACGGGCTCGGGCTTGACCGCGGCCTTCGGTTCGGTCTGGCATGATAAAGGGGATCATGAAGCTATCGCGGAACAAGGACGACGGAACAAAGCGCGAGACCGAGACGTACGGTCAGCGGGGAGGGTGCGACTCCGTTGGCGGGCTTGCTGGCAGCTTCATAGGCAGCCTTCTCCGCAGCGTATCTGACCTTGCTAGCCTTCATCGCGTCGTCGTAGATCTGCAACACGGGCAACGCACGCGCAACGGGTGTTAGCAAGAGCACGAAACGTGGTCACGAACGCCATCTTTCCGTACCTGCTTCTCCTTCTCCGACATGCCCGCCCAGCGCTGCGAAATGAGCGCGAGCAGCTCGTTGTTGGGCAGCGACGGGTTCTCCTTCTTGATCTCCTGGCGGACGGCGTTCTGGAAGAGGAGGTACGACGAGGCCGGTCGCTTCGGCGCGTTCGGGTCCTTGACCTTCGTCTGCCGCTTCCGCTTCTGGGGCTGGGCGTGTTCCTCGACCTGGCGGGGCGGGCCGCCGCCCTGCGGCAAGACGGGGGACGAGAGCGCGTAGCCTTGGGGAAGAGGTGGGATTCCTTGACCGTGGTGCATCCGCGACACGGCCCCGGCGAAATTGTCGAGGACAGTTGCGGCATGGCGCATGCCCTCTGCGACGGAGCGTAGGGCGTCCATGGTCTGAGTGAGACAGTGTGCGACGTGTCGGTCAGCGGCGACGACGACGAGGGGGAAAGGGGACGCGTGCTGACCTGGAGCCTGGCGAGTTCGAACGTCTGTGCGTCGTTCACGGCGGGGTTCATCGCGGTGGAGAGGGCGGGCGGGGCGGGAACGCGAGTCCGACGCGTCGCTTTGCAGCGGGGGGAAAAAGAAGTTGAAGGCGGGTCAAGGGGGGCTTCAAGCCGCGTTCAATGGGAGTCAGTGCGCAGCCTGATCTTTTTGTTGATCCGTCTTGATTGACCTCTATTTGCCAACCTAACCAAATGAGTAATACATTACACAACTGCTTTCGCCCCATTGTTCCCGCCGAGTCGCCCCGGATTGAACCTTGAGAAATCTATTCTATATCGTTTCCGTAGCGCCCTCACGGTCTTCTGACAAGCGTGGCCCGTGTGCTCATGCGATGCAATTTCTCTCCGTACGAGAGACCGCATGAGTCTATGTAACGATAAGGTTTCGACAAATGGAACCCGGTGAAATGCGATCGTGGGAACGACGGTCTTACCGAGGTCTCAGTTTCAATCTCCGCCAAGGTGCCCAGTGACCAAGCCCACGGCAGTGCCTCAACGACACCTCAGACATCCCCAAGACGCCAGAACGGCGGAGACGGTTGGAAAAGCGTCGTAGACACACAACGGCCAGGTTTGACCTTCCTGTCCGAACAAGTGAAAAAAAGATCGTTTCTTTCGCGCAGAGGTCATAACGCCGCGCACGTTGGAGGGTCGCGTCTTCACCTTGAAAAAGCATATCGAAATCGAATGGACGTGTACAGTCCATGGCTCCAACCCAGCGACAACAACCATGACGGTCGGTCGAGCGCACCCCCAGGCGCGACGCCGCCGACGCACGGCCAACCGAACCTCGACCTGAGCGAGCTCGCGTTCGGCGATCTGACGGGTGAGCAACATGCCATATCGCGGCTCGCAGCGACGAGCGTGCCCAGCGAACGCTGATTTCCAGGATCGCTAGATTCCACGAATCCCTTATCAACGCCATCCGCCTCGTTCTTCCAGCCCTACCAGCAGAACTACTTCATCTCTGGCGCGCCCGGACCCTACAATGCCATCCCGTACGGTTCGAGCCCGTGGCCGAGCACGTCGCAAGTCCCAGTGTCTTCCTACTCGACCCTTAACGGCGCCACTACTTCACCTCACCTCTCGCAACCGTCTCCGCCTCCTCAGCATCAACAGCCACCACCGCAACACCAGCCGCAGCAACAGCAGGCGATACAGCCCCAGCACATGGTTATCGAGTGCGTCACCCAAAAAAAACACGTATTTTCTCGCGCATATATTCACACAATGGTTTTCATCTCCAGCCCGGCACTCACGACCATGAGCAGTAGCTCACCGCCACCTCCTCCTCAATACTCCAACTCTCCTTTGAACGGGCAAACATACGATGTCAGCGACTTTCTCCGCCAGCTCAACCAGCCCGGCCTCGGTTCCACATTCCTTGACCAGTTCATCCGACCCGCAGGCCAATCGACCCCGCCCGTGCGTCCAGAACAGACGCTCTCGCCCCACGTCCTCCACAACTCGCCCCCACCACCGACCACCATCGCGCCCTCCGCCTTCTACACCCCCCAACCTCAACAGCAGCCCGCCGCCCCTCCTCAGCAACCCCCGACCCCGCCGACGCCGACCGAAATCATCCAGGCGAAGAAAGATGCGTTCCAGAGCGCGATCCGGCCCCTGCTCGCCCCGGACGCGTTCAGCGGCGCGAAGCACGTGCAGAAGCTCGTCGGCCACATCGACGACTACGGCTCGAACCTCGTCGACGCGCCGATGCGGCTCGAGATCCTCACGAAGATGCGGGACAACGCGGGCAACCATTATTTCCGGGCGTGGTCGGAGAGCCCGGCCGCGATGGACGTTACCCGAGAATGGTTGAAGGCCGGCATGACCGGAAAGTCGGAGGGTCAGCTCCGGGAAACGATCATGCCGTTGTTGCACGTCAGTCTAAACGAACATCGCGTTTCGCGAGAAGGCGGTTTTTTACTCACTTGTTTCGTTGATCAGATTATTGACCGGCTTCCGTTGACGATCGAGTCCCTGAAGACATCAAAGCTGGGCAAAATCATCGTCAAACTGGTCAAGGATCCCCCGTCACCTGGTAAGTGTTTGTCGCCCGCTTTTCAGCATCGAGCGAAAGGCTATCCCGTGTGTGGAGCACGTCGATCAACCAAGGTCGTGCGCCGTGCATGTCGACCACTTAGACACGGATGCGACGTTCACTCTGTTGTGAACATAAAATTAACGACGAAACCACCCTCATATCATTGCTATCGAAAACGTAATAACGTAGAAGTCCGTTGTCTGACGTTGTATCGTTTTGTTTCCGTGAATCAGCGATCAAGGATATGGCTTCGAACCTCGAAAGGCGTTGGCGCCAGATGGTGAATCCGGGCGAAAGCAAACAACCGGACAAAGACGCAGAGGGTGGGTCATGTCAGTCCGTCGTACGGTTCCACCAAGGCTGATGCATTTTGTTTTCTGTTTTTTTTTATGACTATTTTTGATGGCAGACCCGAAGAGCAAGAAGCGGAAGGTCACGGACCCGAAGGCGGCGCCCCCGCTGAAGAAGCAGGCGATCTCGACCTCCGGCGCGGGGCCCTCGTCCCGCTCGGCCCCGGCGACGGCGACGGTGAAGAAGGAGGCGGCGAAGCCGGTGGTGACCGCCGTCAAGGACGCCAAGTCGGACTCGTCCTTCTTCTCCGCGCCCAAGCCCAAGCCCAAGCTGCCGACGTTCAAGAAGGCGCCGCCGAAGAAGGACGAGCACGTCGCGCAGCCGTCCGCCATCGATCCGTTCCAGGAGGCGCTGAAGGATATGGCGAAGGCGAGGAGGGGTTCGCCTGCGACGGCGTCGACCCCGCCGTCGGCGACGACGACGCCCGCGCCGATACCGGGCCCGTCGAAGCTGAAGAAGAAGGGAAAGACGGTTTCTTGGGCGCCTGAAGGCCAGCTCGAGATGGTCAAGCTCATCGACAGGGCGATATATGACGATGATGCCATTGCTGTAAGCGTTCTACTTGTTTCATGGTCGAGGGGGGATAAGTATCTGACCAAAACATCGTTTCAGGCGGGTGGTGTATGTCACAACGTCCGTCAACTCGACCGAGACGAGGGCGCCGCGATGCATGTCCATCTGTTCGACGAGACAGTCGATTGGTCAGAACCACAGCGTGCGTTTGCAGTCAAGTTCGCGCGTATGACGCCTAGCTCATTCCCTCGCAGCCGTCGAATTCCCGCCTGAGCTCGAGTTGTTCGAAAGAGGCTCGTCCAGTCAGGAGAAGGATCTGCAGGCGCAACGAGAGCAAACAGCCCTCGTGGCCATATACATGTCCCTTGACCAAATACCGCCCACACCGGGCGAGCCGGTGACGGTCATACCGGAAGATCAAATGGACAAAGACGTGAAGGCCATGATCGTCGGGTCCAAGGCCGACCCGCTTTTCTGGAGTGGGGCTCCTCCACCTCCGGGGGGTCCAGCAGGGTCTGTCGCCGATCTCGTGGGCCAGCTCACCGCTGCTGCCAACGGCGGGGACGTGCACATGGCGGACGGGACTGGCCAACAATCGGCCGGCCAGGCCTGGGGAGGAGCAGGTGGCGCAGGAGGGTACGACACTAGGGTGCTGCAGAACATGCCGCCGGATCAGTTGCAAATGTTGTTGCAGCAGGCGCAGGTGCTATTTGGCCAAGAGCAGCAGCAGCAGCAGGGTCCGCCCATGGCCCCCCCGGCCGGTGGTGTTGCTCCTCCGTACGACGGCGCTGATCATAATTGGGATAGTCAGTATCAGGACTATGGACATGACGGGAATGGGCATGGTCGGTGGGATGGGGATAGCTTCGGTGGACGAGGGCGGGGACGAGGTCGAGGCCGCGGTGGCGGCGGCGGCGGTGGCGGGTTTAGACATAATAAACGGACACCCTGCTCGTTTTTCATGCAAGGAAGGCGAGCATCAAAGTTTAAAATGTTGGTGTGTGACGAGAATATTGACCTATGGTCCCATGCTGCAGGTGCAAATATGGCGACCGCTGCGATTTCAGCCACGATCCCCAATATTGACGGCCAGGTGCTTACGAATACATGAGGCCCAACTCCATCTTAGTAACATACTGCCTGTATACGATTGCATTTCATTCCCGTTCGACTTTGCGTTCGACACGCTTTGTCGCCTGTGACTCTTTTGAGTCTCCGTAAAACCGCCTCACAGTCACCGCCATCAAAGGGAAGGGCTTCTCTGCGATCGCTGTTTTGATGTTCTTGAGCGACGATCCCCGCGCACGCGGGGTCCGGTTTCCTGGACCGTCCGAATCGGGCACGAGGGACGGAAGACAAGACGCAATCGGTTTGGGCAATCTAGTATCACTACAGCATACAAATGGCGATAAATATAGCAGTAATAAAACACGAGAAGAGGATAAGGCTGGAGAGGAAATGTGACGAAGAGGGTAGGGAAAAAAAAGAAGAAATTGCGACTGATGGGGAGAAATACACTATGTAGTATTGTTGTATGTGGTGTGTGTGAGAAAGACAGATCCGAGTGATGCAAAAAAAAAAGATCCAATAGCAGCGAGACGGTAGACAGAATGGGGATGTCGGTGAGACGGGGAGGGGAGCAAGCGTCCGGAAGCCGAGTCTCGATCAGTTGTTTATGGTAGCGGTCCGTGTGCGCTTGCGCGTCGGTCGCTTCGGGGGCGGCGCTTGCTCGGACGCGGGTGCGCCGGAGCCTCCGGCGCCGTCGGACTGCGCTTTTCTCTTCAGATTCGTCGCGGGCGCGGGTTTCAACGTCGGGGTCGCGGGCGTCGGTCCGGATGGCGTCGGGGCTGCCGATGAACTCGCGTTGCTCGGCCCTGCGCCCTGCGACTGCAGAGGGTTCGGCTTGTGCTGCTTTTGCGGGGATGACGGGACGGATGACGGGTTGTGCTGCGTGGTGTTGGACCCGGGCGTGTGCGCGTTCCCGGCGGGAGTGCCAGGGAAAGAACCAGGACCAGGGCCAGGACCGGGAGGTCCTTGACCGGGCCCGCCTCCGCCCGGGGGTGCCCCGGGCCCTGGCCCCGGTCCAGCCCCGGGTCCGGGTCCAGGGTTGAGCGCTACGCCGAGAGGGGGCATGACCCCATGGTGGTCGCGAATCTGTTTTGCGAACGCTTTCAACGCGTCTACGGGATAATCGTGAGTTCTATGCGGCCAAAGTCACGACCAACTTCGCCGCAGAGGCACGTACCTATCGGGCCCAACTCCGTCTCGGAGGAAAAGTTGATGAGGTCGGACATCTGCCCAACGCTCTCGGCAAGCTGCGCGGAACGAACGATCGTAAGTCTCTTGCGCGCGCGAG